CTGATGTAGCCTATCATCCCCCCCCCCTCCCTCCCAACATCCCCCCAATCAGTCTACTATCTCACTCCACTATTCCTATCTTACATATCTGGGTCAAGTGAAACAAACGACAACTGATCCTTGGTATTATGTCGACCATTAACATACAATGGCAAATGGAAGAAACAGCGAAGTCAAGTTTCCGGCGAAGAGAAAGTCACGCGATCGGTGAACCGTAAAAATGACGTGGGTGCATCATTTAACCACAATCCCCTTATAACCGCTTTCAGTGATTAGTATTGGTGAGAGATTTTACTTAGAGCTAAAGGTTTCCTCCATTTTTTATTAGTGATAAAATTTGCTTGACAAAAAGTTAAATTCAGGATTAGCTGTCAATAAAAAAATTTTCCTTTCACTTAGCCACCGATGATAACAAAATTATGCAACTGTCATACCTGCATACGATGCAGTATGGTAATTTTGAAATATTAAAATTTTGGCTAGTTTTAAAATATTCGAACGAACGTTGGAATTACATTTGGTTATATCTATTATGTGGGTTCTTGCTGCTTTGTGATTTTGTGATCCTTAATCGCATTCACCTACCTCTATTTATCTCGATCACTCTCACGACACTGAGTTTCTTCAATACCGTCCGAACTTCTTATATACGCCTATGCTCCTCCACGTCCCTCTACCTTTTAACTCTTAAGACTCTCCTTCTGTCTTCCAAACACTTTCTCCGTACGCGCTTCACGTACCGTCAACTGTGATTGTGAGATTTTACGGGCTCCGGCAATCTTATATACCTACGTTCCTTTTGGGGGATGCTGGGATAGTCGCCGAGGACGTTAGTGGGGTTAAAACTGTGAGTCAGACGAATGCAACCGGACCTTTGATAGAAAACGACATTTTTTAAAGACACTTGGGTTACGGAAAATACAATAATATATACAGATGTATAGATGGATAATCAGTTAAACCAAAAAATTCAAGTTTTAATTTATCGTTAAATTAATTGACTTATTAAAAACCAGTCCTTATTTTTTAAAACCCTTGCATAATGAAACGAATCCAAATTTTTGTTGTACAGTTTGAAGAACTGGATTCAGAGATTTAAGCATGTATGTTAATGTTATGTGATTTGGAGATTCTAAAGTAAAATTTTATTTTCGTATATTATCAGTGTCATTTTTATGACTATGGAAAAAGTGCGATTTAGATTGTTTTGAAAATAAAATTTGTTTGATTGTTGTATGTATATACAACGTAGGTATCAACGAAAGTATAAATATATAAATAATATATAAATGCGAATATATAAATGCGAAATATATAATGCGAAATATATAAACATATGTAATATTCAAAAAATTATATTGCAACCAGTGAAAGGCATTTTGTTTCGTCTAACCTCAAAAACCACAATGGAGGTTCGAAAATTGTGTCTTTCGACACGCTTCTTTGGTACTGGGATCCAATTCCTGGAGATGGCTGTACTCTTGGATCCGGGCTTGCGTAATAAGTCACGTTCCTGCAACTGGTAGTATCCAGAATCGTAACGAAAGCCAGTACTACGCAGGTATATTCAGACAGTGTAGGAATGAATGAAATCGTTATTATGCAACGAGGACTTTTGTCAATGAATATACAAGTTGCACAACATGTACCAAGATCCTGGTCAGTGCACCTGATACATAATTAACTAGTAAGCATTAAGAAAGTGCACTTTTGAATTTAAAAGAAAATATTTGTACAGACACAAGTGTATAAAAATTGTCATTGTGTCTGCATCAAACAATAGTCGAGGCTGCATATAAACTGATGCATCAAGGTTATTGGTTGCATTCTGGTGCAACAAGGTCGATAACCTCAATCCATGACGTAAATCTTAGCCGTAAGAAGATGAGGAAAAAAGATGAACTCGTTGAACGAGATTTTTTCTCTTTCTAACTTACAAAACAGGATATACAAATAGTGCTTGTTATGTGGATCCAAATTCTTTATGGTGAATTATGTTTGATTTTTTTTCACTTTTTAGTAATATAATCGTAATAGTGTCTGTAGGAAGATTTTTATGATTTTTTGACAAATTAATCGAAAATTGTTGGAAATTAGATAATTTATGAGGATTTTTACGTATTTTTTCTAAGGTATCGACAACATGTGAAATTGCCTTTCGTTACCGACAGTAGTTAATACACCAATGAACATGTGTATCAAAGATGTAAAACTGGAACTGAAAATTTCAGTAGCCTAACGAAAAGAATTGTATCTATTTGAAAAAAGATGTAGTCTACATTAATACTGGCAGATAAATGTACTTGTATATCATTCTTTTCCGGCGGAAACGACTTCCTGGCTAAATTACCATTTCCTCCCTTTCATAGTTAAGCAAAGTCACAAGACGAGAGAGTACTTTCTTTTTGATGCTCCTTCTACGTCAACCTTGACATCATGACTGAGTCATCGAAGCATCCTTAACAGTAAATTATATACAAGCAGTATACAAAGGCAGTCAGTAATAAAAAATTGCTTCATTTTCTTAAAAATAAAACAAAAATTTTAATACATTTGTCAAAAAAAAATGGATAATAATCCTAATTGAAGTGAATACCATTATTTGTTTCCAAAAAAGTTTTCTTTTATTTCAATTAACTTTAAAGTTACCCATAGGGATTTTATCTATAGACATTTTTTTTGTTACGTTTACTCGACTGGGCAACGGCCGCATTCTATAATAAAACATGGCCGCTCATGTTGCAACAAGAATACTGGGCGGTCTAAGGTTTTGGGTTCCGGGAGAAAGTGCTTGGTAGGATCCTCGGATCGCCGGGTGTAATAACCGGCCGTGAATCAAACAATTCCCAGATGCATTATGCATTACAAACGAGAAAGTCATTTGTGCATGGTGCTATATAAAATCCCTACAAATTAGTAAACAAAGATTCAAAATTTAATACTATTTTTTTTAAATAACAACATAAAAATAATACTTACGAAGACAGTAAAATTAGACATTCTTATCTCATTAAACTATTTGACCTAAGTGGATGATGCACTTCATTGTGCAACGATCAAGGGAATTTCCTACGTATTTCGTAACCTGGGAATTTCTGCACACAGCAACGAAAGGTAAGACTGTCTTGACCCAATTTTTTTCGATCAAGGAAATCGTGACATGGGTAACACGTATGTGTTTAATTTTCTATGTTGCATACAATATGCTTCTGGGAAATATATATACTATATGGCATATGTTGTGAGTAAGGTATATGTTTTTGGAATTGACTGTCTTGCGAAAGTGATTAATTTATAAATATTATCATTGTACAACAATGGAGAGGAGGTTTGATAATTTTGGTGTCTAATTAATTAAATCGGGTATTAAGTTTTAATTTGAGGTTACGTAAGTGCATTTTGTGGTTGCACTGGCAAGTCCATAAGACACGTACGGTATTGTATGGTTATGTTTACATGGCGGGACATGCTAAGAGTACTAAGAGTATTTGAGAAAGTCCTTAGATGATTTCACTTTCCCTTTCGTCGTGACTAAACGCCTACGTTTTGGTCATCGGTTGCTCCTTGAGAAGACCGGAAGTCGTATATGGGAATATGTGGAGGGTTAATTAAAATTCTTTTTAGTCCCGGGGCGATTTTGATTTCTATGTATTTTTGGGTTAATGGATTTTATTGTGATTTGTCATTGGTGGATATTGATTAATTGATTGGATAGTTTTTTTTAATTTATTAAAAAAATTCTTGATTACCAATGGCGTTAGGTGTTTTGTCTATTAGGCAAAGTGAAAATCGAGTAGGTTAATTTCTCGTAATCCATAATGGTTACTATTTATTATATGTATTTAGGCTACGCCTCCGCGAAATATCTAAATGGCAAGAGGAGTCGATGCCTATTTCGATGAATCTTTTGCGTTTCGCGAAATCGGCTTGGATTTCACCTTCTATCTTCTTCTTGTTCTGTCATTACCTTGTGGATTATTTAATTTATGCGAATTACGGAAGCCTTGACTTTTATCCTTGCAATTTTTGAATAGTGATTTTTATGTGCGCTTCTTTTCGTGTTCGTGTTATTGTTGTTGACTTTATGTTTGCTGATTTGACGAGGTTCTTGTGTTACGAAACAACGTATTCAAAATTTCTTGTGTTTGGAAGACGAAATTATTTCAAGGTTTTCGAAGATGCTGGTAATTAACTAATTCTGGGAATTGGATAAATCAGTATTGATTGTTTTGTAAGGAATATTTGTATCCGTGAAATAAATACACTGGGTGGTATAGATTTTGAAAAAAAAGAATGGCAGCTTTTATTTTATTTTCGCTTTTGTGCAGATGATGTTATCGATACATGATACATGAGATTTACCGACAATGAAGGTAGGCGAGACTATGGTAAAACAGAGCAATGACAGTTCATCGGGTTACCGACGGAACCATTAATTTCTCTGAGGTTACCGATCGAGCATTTAGTAAGCGATGTTGTATCCGTGTTGTTCGATAGAGTAAGTTGCAGGAGCGGCCGCAATTTCCAATGGCGCCAAAGGTGCTCCATACGGATACGACAGGTACGGTCCATACTGGATTGTTAAAAGAAAATCATATAAAATTAACTGTCACAAAAAAAATCAACAACACCACTCTATTCTTGCACGACTCAAAGATAATAATATATAAACTCTTCTCATGTACTCACCTGTGGGAACAGTGCAACTCGCGAAGTTGGACTGATCAAAGGTGCAGAAAGTGGTGCAATGATTGGTGTCAGTTTAGCTGTGGATGCCGGAGTCTTAATCTCAGAGATGAACAATGGCTTTGGAGCCGGAGCTGGTTTAGGTGCAGGTGCAGGTGCTGGATTCGGTCCAGGTGCAGGTGCGGACCAGGCTAAGCCCAAAAGCGCGATGAATACCAGCTGTGTTTGAATGACAATGAATAACAAAATAACGACGATATACAAAACTGTAAGTAATATTTTGAAAATAAGGCCCAGTATCTACTCACGAATTTAATCATGGCGATGAGTCGAGAGAATCGAACCTTGTACTGGGAAGCTTCTGTAATTCTGTGCATGGGGTACCCGGTTTACCTGGTACTTATAGGGGCCCTGATGAGGCCTGTAAAAACTAGACTCGTTCGGTACTGCAAGAGTCCCTACGCACCATTGCATTGAATCGCATCCCAGCCAGGGCCGTCCCTATTTCTATTTTCGTTGGGTATCTAAACAAATGATTAATAATAACGATACGCTAACGATAAAAAGCTTTAAATATCAACTGTCCAAAATATTCTAAAAATTCTCTATCCCATACCAATACTTGTATTACTTATTTTTTATGACCCTCTCTAAATTTCTCAAAACCTTATAATTTTACAATCGTACGCTCCTGGACGGTACATCCACTGCGTAGTCTCTGGAATTTCTATCTTACATGAGGACGAAGAAGGGATCCCACAAAAGTACAGGATCTTGCTTTAAGGCTATTTCTAGATAACCTAACCTTCTTCTATACTATTCATCATTATTGATCAACTACCAGAATTCATTTTCGGTATCGTAGCATTCAGCTACTTTACGGATACACGAGGACGTACCTTAAGGAATACATTTCCCGTCTTAGCGTTTTAACCTAAGAGGTCGCTAATCAATTCTAGGAATACATAAGAAATTCTGGAAAATGATCGATAACGTTCGATACATTAGCCAACCCTTTTTTTTTAGTGAGGCTGTCACTAAAAAGTTTGATCGGTTATTAAATTTTTCTTTTATTAATAAATTTTTTTTTCTTTTTCTCTCTCTCTCCGTCTAAACCGTAACCCGACTGGCCTTCGCAGTCAAGTGTGACGGAATTGCCTGTCAAATCCTTTTTCTTGCGGATCATTCGAAAATACTTGATTCACAAAAAAATATTTGTCTCACAATACACTTTGCATTAGAAACAGCTATCACTTCGTAAACCGATTCTAATGATCGTACAGTATCAGATACTATAATCGAAAACAATTTTTGAAAAAAAATTCAAAATTTTGAAATACATAATTTTTTATTTTACATGGTTACTCAATGCTTGCTTTTGTTTACGGTACTTTACGAACACCCGGTAATACGGATCGCTGGTTACGGACCATGATCTTGAGCGATCATATAACGCAAGATCATAACAAAGGCCGTTGCGCTCATTTTCACATAAATGCAACGAGTTAATCGCTCGATGATAGAAACAAATAGGAGTAATAAATAAATGAAATTATAAATGAATGAAATCAAGACTAATAATTATTATTTACCAATTAATTTAATAAATGCAATTAGAATTGATTATGCAAGTAGACAGTAAATATAATAAAGATAAATAAAGAAGCCATTTTGAACGATGATAATAATATCAATTGCGGAATGCTGCCTGACCTAAAAATCTGAATTCTCCAAAAAATTACATAAAATTTAACGACCTTGTTTAAATCGCTTAGCCTACGTTGCTCAATTGGTTGTAGGATAACTTAATGGCCGTTTTCGTACAACGTAAACAAGACAAAAGCAAAATGTCTAAAACTATGAAAACTGGTCGTGAATTACGAAAGAACAGAGGTACCTCTTATTCCGTAATCCATCCTCCATTATCAAAAATGTCGACACATCACGCAACAGTCATTTTTAAAAATTCCGAAATATTAGCATGGACACGAACCAGAATCCTAAAGGGAACGAATGGTTTTTATAAATTTGTCTATCCTTTTTCTATCCTCCTTCATTCAGTTCAACGATTCACCGATCAAAATCCTTTTCTTGTTCGACCAATTTTTTTAAACCTACATCTGATGCAATCCCCAACCAGGAACCAGCATCTGACCCAATCTCCAACAAAAAAAACAGACCCCATTACCTTATGACTCAATCCTATACGATACATATGATAGCCCTAGGACCCATAAGTTCATCCAGAAGGGTATAGTTAATTATAAAAATTTTTTCAAATTCTTTTAATGATACTCATTAAAAAATTCCTAACGATTACTACAGGTTAACCTAACCTGAGAATGTCTAACCCATAATCAATATCAAGAACACGCACAGAATTCCTAGGGCTAAATAATAATAGAGAAATGTAATTAGGTAATACAAATTTTTAATCAAATATTCAGAGTGTATAAGGAATTTAAAATAATTTGTTTACCTGCAATATACATATATATACAGTCAAGGGTAATAAGATCTATAATCAATATCTGATTATCGATACGTATCTCCCATGTGTATTGTATGTACAGGCTATCGTTTTTCCGCATTGGTCGCAGCCACTTAGGTATCCAGAGCGTGGGGACTGAATTTCTAGGAAATCAACGTCGAAGGTCCGATAGTACCTGGTATAGAATTTTGCCGACGAAGGAGATTGTACGCCGCGACGCAAGGCGTCGGCAGAGCTAAAGCTTGATGCTGGGTCGATGCGGAGGTCGTTAACAATTCCGATCGTTCGTTCACCCGGGACCTTGAATTCCCATGCAGCTCCTTATGGCGAAGCCAGTATAGACAGAGTGTTCCACCCGGTTGGATAGACTTGAAGTCGGAGGATGCGTAGAAAAAGTATTAAAAAATTGCGTTTTAAGGTAAACCAAAAAATATCATCCCAATCTGACAGTTGTCAGAATCAGCTGTTACAGGATGGATAAAAAGAGCGGGAAATTCCTTGGGATTTGAAAATGCTTAATCATTACTGTATTTATCCAGGAGATTCTGTACGGGTAACAGATCCTATTTTTATTCGCAGCATCCGTAAGGCTGTAAAAACGTGTATTCAGTGTGGGTAGACCTTTTTTTAGAGCGGCTTGTTCTACCAGAAAAATCATTGAATGTGTCTAAATTTGTTTGTCTTTTTTTTTCGTTATTAAAACAAGACACCCGACACGTAGCTCTTTTCGAATCAAAATGGCAATGGACCTTGAACGCAAGGCGTGCCTGGTCCAGTGAGAAAAATTCTGAATGAGGCAGGTTTTCACCCATTTAACCACCCCGTCTATGTACCAGTCTACTTTGCGTTATATGTTTTGCGATGTTCGCCATTTACGAAAAGATCATTTGAGCCAGGAAGATAAATATAGGAATAAATAATGAAAATAATATAAACAATTGTAAAAGTAAAAATTTTGTATTCCTCGTTAATTTATTGTTTATAAAGAAAACTTTTGGAAAAACGTGTATCCGCTTCTTGTATCCTTCACTTCCGGTTAATTTTATTGCCTCATCGATGGAATTTCAAACAATATTTTTTTTAATCCAAAGCGCGACTCACGGTCCAAGTATCAGATTTAATATAAGAATCTACTCGATTTACCTGGTCCACATTCACCGCGTTCGTAACGTGGGAGTGACTATTGGTTTTTTTTTTATTGTTGCTCAGCCAGAAGTCAGTTCCAAGGTAGCCTCGCACAAAGGAATTACAGGGAATACAGAATTTTTATAGACGAATCCATCTCCTTTCCCCATTTGTCACGTCCTTCCATTGAGAATACCTTGAGATTTTAAATTTAATCCATATTTCACAGGAATTTCTTCTTCATACAAAGGATCATCGTTGGGTATGAATTTTGTATTAAAAAATTGCAGAGTATCTATTTAGATAGGAAATATAATTTATTTGAACTATCATTTCGATCGAAATGTAATTGGAGGAAAATTACTTTTTTATGCGTTACATAATTACTAGTAGATACAGTCGCGTATGTGCAGACGCACTGCTAAGTTAGGCCTCGTTCACAATGGAAGACTGCCTGCAAATCAGTTCGCAGCGCAAGGCGGATCCTGATGGAAAATTTGGTTTCAAAAATATGAAAAAAAAATATCCTAGGATCGCCATGCTAATACCCATCTATAGTGATTCAAGCTGAAGAAGTCCAGTCGTTATTTGTTGAGTGACGAAAGATTGATTTCTGAATCGAGGAAGTTTTTACCACACGGAAACAGCAGGTGCGGCATAAGCGTGAGTGAGATGAGCCACAGGTGCGCCGTGATGAACGAGACTGTGCCCGTAGCTAGAGATGGATTTCTCAGCGACGAGGGAGTGAGCGACGGGTACTGCATGTGCAGCGTAGACTGCAGGTGCAGCTGCATAAGCAACAGGGCTGGCGTGTGCGGCATAGGCTACAGGTGCAGCTGCATAAGCAACAGGTGCGGCGTGGACAACAGGTGCGGAGCTATGCACGACTGTGTTTCCATGGGATTCAATTGTCTTCTCAGCAACAAGTGCGGCAGAGCGTGCAACTGCAACTGGGGCTGCATGTGCAACTGCCAATGGTGCAGCATGTGCAACTGCCAATGGTGCTGCATGTGCAACTGCCAACGGTGCTGCATGCACTACTGGAGCACTACCGTGCACTACGGTGTTCCCATGCGACTCGATGGTCTTCTCGGAGATCAAGCTACCCAGAAGTGGCGAAACTCCATGCAGATTTCCAGGACGAGCAACAGCAATAGCCACGATGGCGGACAGGACAACCTGAAGACAAATCGTTCTCCATTAATCACGCTTACTAGTAGCATATCTATTTCCTTTGAAAAGATTGAGTTATTAGAAGTACATTCCCCCTTAAAATATCTCCTCGGTCGTTGCAGCTGTTCATTAACATTTTAACTCAGTCAGCCGAACCGTGTAATTCTTTAGAAATGCTAAATCGTCTTTCGTGTAAATCATGAAAATTCTTTAGCATCGAAAATATTCTCCATAAAAATGATTAAAAATATTCTCCCTCGTTATGACGATTATACCATTTTTTTACATCTTTTCCAAAATTCTCAGTGTCTTTTCTTTACACAAAATTTTTTATCTATTCCTTCACTCACCAGCTTGAACATCTTGATAGGGGTTTTTTTTTAAGGGTTTTGCGTGTCTGCTGTAGGATAAACCTGAGACTGATCTGCCAGAATGAGGTTCCACCTCAGCTTTATATAGGAGAGCGCTTCCGCGCACTTCCAGAGACCTTCGGACACATTCGAGTTCGCCAACACCTTGTTCATACAATAGTCTACCTTCTCCACGTATTCAATTACCATTTTTCCCGTTGCTATTAGAAACGATGAATTCTATGCCGCTTTGGGGATAAATATCGATAAATCACAAATAATTGAGATCGACTATAATAAAAAATAAAAAATTGTTTGGTAACTTCCTCATGCAAAAAAAGTCACTTTAACGAATCTTTTTAAGGGATTCCGACTAACTGTACTTAATTGCGTAATTGTACCATAAACAAAATAAATCAACGAATCATTCGAGTCACACTTGAGCTAACAGATAAATAAGTATTCCGAATGATTTTATTTTTATTTTTACATGATATAATTTGAATCGCACTATTGTTCCCGCCCTATTACATTATTGTCCATTGTATCGTTATTCTTGTCTTATGAACAATTAAAATCGTCTTAACAAACGAAAGTACTTTCCATCTTGTAACATTACGTAAACCATCAGATGTGTAACGTCATACACTGTTGAATATTATAAAAGGAGAGATGTCAGTCATGCCCGAGTGAATCCAAAATTATTATAGTCACGAAGACAAGGTGGTTCGCATGAGGCAATGTGTCAGATTGCAAGGAAAAAAAAGAAAGTATAAAAAAAAATGTTAACAGATTAAGAAAACTTTAGAAATTTATGTTTTTTATAAATAATTTCTAAAATTTTTTTCCGTTTTTCAATAAAATTTGTTCTAATCCAAATTTCATTCTGTAACATAACCTAGACCTAAAACATACTTTACCCGTACTACAGGTCCGTGTAAAAATAATTACAGGTCAGCAATCAAATACGGAGCAGATTTCTTCCTAGTGTCCTTCATTCCCTTCCTACACTATTCAGAAGGCATTTTCTTCGCTTGCTTATTCTTATCCGGCCATTCGTATCAGCAACGCATCAAGAAGTTACCCATATTAGCCTGTGGGCCGTAAGAATCGGCTATGTCGTCCATGCGTGACCCTGAATCGTAAATTATAAAGCGGATCTCGGCCCGGGCGTAAAACCGTAAATTACGCCTGACTTTTGCCGCACGACAAAACCGGAACAATCATTCGATTCGTTGAGATTGGGGGGAATTTATGGGGGGGAAATCTGACGATAAACATACGTCAAAATATATTCTAAAAACTCTGACGTAAAGATAATCTAATTTGGACTAATTAAATCCAGATTGATTGATTAGTCTAGAAATTCAAAGAAATTAAATATTTTGTGCTATACGTGGGAAGAGTTTGAAAATTGACCTTGAAAATTTTATTTAGATATATCGAGGTTATCTTTGTTTCTCTTGTTGTTATTGTTACTATGGATAGATGACGCAATTCGTATGTGTTTGATGTCATTATACTTCGTCATTTTCTGGGACTAATTTTTTTTTTCTATATCGGTCAGGATCAATGATCGTAATTTTTTCTACGTGACCTTGATACTTTCTCCAAAGTACTTTGCTCTTGTAAGATAATCACTTTCTAACGGTGAGATCTACCGTGCATGAAGAGAATTTAGAATATTTTGTAAGAGACTGTACAATGCTGAGGAAAGGAACTGCATAATGATGATTCTACGTGACACTCCAGACAGTGACTTGAATGATAATTATCAGCGTGACAGTCATTGAGTTATGAATTCTCTTTCCACATACTCGGCCAACCCTTATTATATAACGTGAGAGACGGTATAACCCATAGAATTGAAGACTTGAATGATCAGATACGGGTTAAAGCTGTCAAAAAATATATATGACCACCAATTGACTTCCCATTGTGTACGATAGCCAGAAATAATGACGTTAACGACTATGAAATATATGAAAAAAAATTTTTGCAATTTATTTAGGAATACTCCTAGGTCGAATTACTGAAAAAATTGCGAAATGAAATTCGCTGATCTCACGAGGATTTGCATTCGATCAGTTTAACGTTTCGAGAGAAGCAATAGTGAACATTTGAGAATTGTTGTGACTGATAATAAACTAGGGTAGGCGATGAGAGACGATAATAAAAAAATACAATAGAAATATTTTAGATGAAAACGATTTTATTGAGTATCATGAAGACTGGTTTAGAATTTCGAGACTGTTTGACTGATAAGAGTTATCAATTTAATGAACGTATCCAGCGACGATGGGAGCGGCATGGGCGTAGGCAGGTCCAGCAACGACTGCAGGTGCGGCATAGGCCAAGGGTGCAGCGTGTGCAGCATAGGCAAGAGGTGCTGCAGGTGCAGCGTAAGCTACGGGTGCAGCTGCAACCAATGGGCTCTTGACGGAGACCTTGTAGGTGTTGGCGTAGCTGGTGGCAACTGGTACCGAGTGAGCAACAGCAACTGGTGCAGCTGCGACCACAGGTGCAGCATGAAGGGCTGGAGCCAGGATGTTACCAGGTTTGGGTGCAGCAACGGCGCAGGCCACAAGGGCGAAGAGTACGGCGAACTTGTACATGACGAAGGGGTGTGTTTGGTGCTTCGACTTTGAGGATCGAATGATGCTGGTTTAACTGGTTGCTGGTGCTTTTATAGTCTGCTCCAGCAGTGTTCCTTCATCCCCACTCGTTTTCTTTCCTTATGTTTCTCTTGCATTCCCTATCTTATCCCATTACCTTATACTGTTTGTGTATGTTCTTCTTGGATCTCGTGATTGCAGAAAATTTTATTATTTGGGTCCTGCGTACCCGCTATGCACTGTCAAGGACTTCCTCTGTTACTTATTCGACACATATGTTAATTATGGTCAGACGCTATATTTTACACTCTATACTCAATGACGGTAGTCTGGACGTTATTACGTGTACTGCCCTTCGACTGGATTACCTTAGGGCGTGGCGCCAATGATTGATCGATATCAGTAAATTATTAGAGTTTCCGCATTACGTATATTCATGGTTTAAAATAATTTAATTTTTTAATTACGTAAATATTCTTTTTTATTTATTTATTAGATCATATCAGACTCAATGATTATATATCAAATTCAAAAATATTTTTATTTTTAATACATTGCTGTTATCGCGATTTTGACATTGAATTTCGCTTATGTACGTCACGCGGCTTGATACCTTTTGACAATTACAGTAAATTTATCCAGAGCGTCACAAGTACGTAACTAAGTATCTATTTGAGTCTTTGTATACCGGCCAAGCCAGTTGACACAGCTCTTGATTAAGTAACCATACGTAATCGGCTTAGCTCCTCCCAATATGTCATTTAGCCAGCAACGTGAAACAATTCATCTTGAAAGTACACACGCTCGATTTACCCAATTTCACATAATTTCAACCCTACCACGTATCAAACTACTAGTCAGCTGGTCTAGCAATTTTAAAGTCAATCGTGTCTGACTAGGCTGTTCGTAATTTTTTTTGGCCTTCTTGTTACGCTACTATCTGCACTATCTACAGACTGATACTGTACGTCAGTCCAAATAAGTCTACTCGATTTTACTAAGTAGGAGAACACTGGTGGACGAGTTCCAGGCCTTGGCGATGGTGACTCCTGGAGACCGTTCACGTAGGTGATCGTGATTGTGATTTCGACTGGGAAAGATTGAGCCACACGGTGGGGTCACATAGTGAGAAAGGTGGGGTCCGTTGGGGCCCTATAAAAAGTCTAAACTTTGCCAGAGGAGCATCATTCGAACAGCAGCTTCGAAGTACGAGTACTAATCTCAACCTTAAAAAAATCATCATGTACAAGTTCGCCGTACTGTTCGCCCTTGTGGCCTGCGCCGTTGCTGCACCCAAACCCGGCAACATCCTGGCTCCAGCCCTTCATGCTGCACCGTTGGTCGCAGCTGCACCAGTTGCTGTTGCTCACTCTGTACCAGTTGCCACCAGCTACGCCAACACCTACAAGGTCTCCGTCAGGAGCCCATTGGTTGCAGCTGCACCTGTAGCCTACGCTGCACATGCTGCACCTTTGACCTACGCCGCACATGCTGCACCCTTGGCCTATGCTGCACATGCCGCTCCTCTGACCTATGCTGCACCTGTTGCCTATGCTGCTCATGCTGCACCTCTCACCTACGCTGCCCATGCTGCTCCCCTGAGCCTCATCCATTAACTCAACTTTAGAAAATTGTTTTAGTTGAAATATGAAAAATTGCAATAAACTCTGTGTTTCTTTTTGAAACTTAAAATTTGAATCTTTTTATTTGTATCTATCACCTTTCTTTAGATCTTGCCAATTTTTGATATAATAGAAAAAAGGTTTAGATATTTTTGGTTTTTGACATTTTTTTGATAGTATGATAGACTATAATTTTTATTTTTATGGTCTGTCTTATATTTCTTTATTTTTGTTATTTTTGTGGGTTGTTAAATTGTCAATAACGTTTTTTGACAGTAACAATTGACACGTTGACTGCCACTGTACTTTTCAGAATTAAATCAACTACGAGTTATCTCGTAGTTTGGCAGCGAACGTGTTAATGATTATCTTTAAGTAATTTACGTTTTTTTTTTAAATTCGTAGATTGGCAAATGAAATATACCAGTTTTTGATTTTGATAAAATCCTAGATGTCATTATAAATTAAATGGTTATCAAGTTAATGATTACAATTCAACCGTTAATCAGCAATGTAATCATTCGTCTATTATTTTAATAAAATACATATAATGTTATAATGCGGTATTCTTTTCAACGAGTCAATAATTTTTATTGAGTTCTACGTACAAAATTAAATACCACATACGAAGAGTTGTTATGACTTCGGATAGATAAGTATATACAAAATGATCAATGAAAAATACACAATGAGTCGAAAATGGAACTCAATAAAATTGTAAACCATCAAATATTGATAATCATATAATTTATAAATTTGAAAATGTCCAATTTTCGCGCAGTTCCTGTACCTAGCGAAGTAGTCTTCCGGTGAGTGCTGAGAACGAAGTGCGAGTAGGCTTGTGAGCCCAAAGACATTCTTCGTGACAAGTGTATCGCTAGTTGAATTACAAATTGAATATATGTATAATTCATACTAACGAATTTGAGTGCTTGCTATTTTGCCCCTGGTCATGAATACTTTCCGTGTATAATTTCTCGATTTGTTGTCAGTTCGATACTAAAAAATGGGATGATTAGTAAAAACTAAGTTGTTATTAGATATTGGGATAAATCAGGATAAAAGATTATAAATATAATTAGCAACAAAAAATATTTTTATTGCTAGTCAAAGGTTTTAAAACTTCATGAAATAAATAATCTTCATATGCCACTGATCCTCTTAGTGAACAACGACATGATTGACAGCAGGTACAACATGGGCAGTCTTGACAATAGCTGGTGCAGCAACGACGGCAGGTGCAGCAACAACATGTGCAGTTTTGACTACTGGAGCTCTGTAGGTGTTGGCGTAGCTGGTAGCGACAGGAATTGCATGTGCAACATGAAGAGGGGCAGCCTTGACAATTGCAGGTCCAGCAACAACTGGTGCAGCCACGATTGGAGCGGACTTGATGATTGCAGGTGCAACCGCAGCATGATGAACAGCAACAACAGGTGCAGCCTTGACAACTGGTGCTTTGTAGGTATTAGCGTAGGTGCTTCCAACTGCTACCGAATGTACAGCTGGTACAGCGTGCGCAACTGGCACGGCATGTGCAACTGCAACTGGTGCAGCTACAACAGGTGCCACAAGATGACCAGGTGCAGCAGATGCGCAGGCCACTAAGGCAGCAACAATCACAAACTTGTACATGATGACTTTTAGTGGATTATTCGTCTTCCGTTACTACGAATCGAATGTGCCAGTGACTTTACGGGATCCCTTATATATTCGAATCTTACTTCCAGTTAACATTGAACTAACAGAAATATTGCGACTCCTATAAGGTCGCCATAACGTTCACTTGTTATTTGACTCTTGAAAGGATTAAAAAAAAAAAAGAAGTAAGAGTTTCACAACTCGCACTCATAAATCTCAAATACTCGTTTCCCGAAACCTTGATTGTCTCGGGAAGCAAAAATTGTTTTCTCTCTCTCTCTCACTTTTCGAAGGGAATCAAATCAAGACTGCAATATATTAAGATTTTTATCTATGGGATATTCATAATTTATGCCTTTCGAATACAATTAACCAACCTTCCTCGAATATACTTGTTTATTAATTTTGTAACACTTGTTTTTAATTTTTCATTTTATTCATCACCTCATATAATTTCTCTACACGATTACGTCTTTTTCACCTGTCCAGTACTCCATTGCACTGTATAATTTTCCTTTCGATCAACTTTGCTTCGTCAAACATCCTCTTGATCGGACCGAAAATCTGACGTTTATTAACGATCAGCAAGTCATTGATTTAATTTCATTAATTTTTCCCTTTCTCTCTCCGACTTGTCGGCCTAATTAGGTTCTTACTTAAGTACAATAACGTGTTGGCCCACTTATGCTCTGTTAGCTTTAATATTTTTGTCCTTCTTTATTTTCATCTCACACTGCACTTTCTTTTTCCCACTTAATTTTATAATATCCAATTAGCAAACACTTGACAATATTTTTAACCCACTCGCTCTCGGCCTTTGCTACTATAATTGGGCAATCGGTATATCAATGTTTTATTAATTCTGATTTCGCGCCATTGACTCACGTTGAGTATCGATTAAAAATTAAATTTATCCACTCAATTCGTTATCAAGTACATGCTGTAACGATAAACAATCAATCAATGGCAAGATAATTTCTACATGGAATCAGTATGCACATCGTTACAAAATGAAGATTTATCGTGTCGAGGATCCAAAGGTTCATAACCTTGTCATCCTCAAGGTCGACATTAGGAAAAAATAAGTATAATCATTTCACACTGTAATATTCATCGCTTTTAAAGTGGTGGGGATTTTCACTTTCGATGATTCGTATAATACTTGACCTGCGTGACCTCAATTGGAATCAAGTTTTTGGCCTCGTACACCATAGTCAAACTGTGGGTCGATGTGAAATAAAAATCTCATACTTATCCTGCACGAGACTTATAGATAGTCAAGAAATTTCGTAATTGAATGAAAAAATGTAGTTTTTGAAAATGCAATTTTGAATGTAAAAATTCTGATCATAGATGTAAAAATGATTAAAATGGAATTATTTAAGTTTATTGTAAAATCGGTAAAATTGACAATTTCATTTTTTTTAAATCATTTATTCAACTACTCAATAGTACAGACACAAAGTCAGTCCAGTGATTTATCGTTTGTGATAAATGTAGTTTACACATTAAATATGCCTTGCCTTGCCGCAGCCTTGATCCATTCTTCGCAACTCTCTTTACTCTATGTCCTCATGCATTTCGGGTGTCTTCGGTCTTTTCCGCAAGTGAACGTCCTTGCTCGCATAAATTTACGAGTAAAGATAAAAGGAAACATAATGGGGATTGGATAGACAGTGAATTTGAGAAACAAAATTTTTTGATGAAAAACGCAAATATATTATTTTCCGTATCACAAGGAGCGAATTATAAAATTTGGTTTATCTTGTAAATAAAAAAATGTTTTCATTCACAAAAAATGTATCCGTCATTCTCGTGTGGTAGTTGGGCATCTGTGATGACAGAGAATTCGGTGCCTTTTGTGCAGTGACGTAAATAATTATGTACAAATTTATCGTATCGTTGCTTGCTTTATATATTTTTTTGTTATTATTTTTTAATAGTCTTCAATTCGGCTTGGTTATCTTATTTTTATTGTGATTCTCAATGGAGGTAGGATCCATGTCCGTATCCGTGTCCCAATCCATAGCCAAGACCACCGTAGCCATAGCCGAGGCCGCTTCCATAAGAAAGTGCAGGTGCAGCTGCATAGCCGTGACCATAGCTCACTGTAGGAGCATATGCGAGAGGTGCAGCAACAGCGACCTTAGCGATTGCAGGTGCGACTGCGACTTTAGTGATTGCAGGTGCGGCGTAGGAGACCTGGTATACACAAAATTTATTAATAAAAATTTTTCTCTTTCCCTTGAAAAATATTATATTTTTCACAAATAATCTTGATAACCATAGCCCGCTATACTGATCCTTGAATTATGGTCCAGATCGTATCTGATTGGACGATGACGCAACTTCTTAAAATTTCGCATAAGACTCCCACACGACACGATAATCTATTTCGTGTAAGATGAAAGGAGATAAAGAGAAGAAAAGTAAAAAAAATACCTTGTAAGTATTGGCATAGCTAGTGGCAACGGGTGCATGAGCAACAGCAAGAGGTGCAGCATGTGCAGCATACGCAACTGCAGGTGCGGAATAACTGATTGCTGGAGCTGCTACAGCTACTCCATGTCCAAGACCGTATCCGCCATAACCGTAACCACCATGGCTACCATAACCACCGTAACCAGCAACGAGACCGGCAGATGCATAAGTCAAAGTGGCGAGGAGAACGATCTGAAAGAAAAAGAAATTCAAAATTATTAAAATCCGCATAAATTGTAAAATCCCTTAAAAAAGCAGTTTAATCTAATTCTCAAGAAATTTTGAATCCCATCATTTTTCACATATTTACTTTATCACACCAATAAACACTTTGTCCATATCGACCGCAAAAGATTTTCAATGATTTTACAGAAAAATTTAAATCTGATCCTTCAGATACTCACCAGCTTGAACATGTTGTCTAGATTAGCTTGTATTGGCACAGACTGATCAGACACAAGAGTTTCCCCCTTTTATACAGAATGAACCGCGAAGTCTATCAAAGAGAACGGTCGGGTGGTTGATAAAAAATTTCCCCCGTTTGAATTAATTCGGTATGAGTTTCCATGGATCGGTGAGGGTGGGTGGGGGTCCGATGGGGACTTACGACCGGGGCCTTCTCTCCACAGGGCTTGGGCGCGGTTCCTAAACAGGGCCTGCTACACGTTCACCAGCATCCACACTGCGGATCCACGAAGGCCGAATCTATTATCAGACACTGGGAATAAGATCCGTACTTGACGAATGATCTTAGGCTCGTGAGAAAAACAGTCTGGCCACCTTGACGCAATGAGCCAACTCGTAGCTTTTGCTGTCACGCGAAGCGTGAAGACTAGCCTAGAGATCTTAGGAGCCTGATTAGACTGCAGCTGCAGAGCTTCTTTTTTCCCATGCGATTCCCTGATGAACTTTGACCCTTATGTAAATAACAGGTAAATGTCAAAGTCATCTTTAGGACTCTGCCCCTAGTAACGACTTTTGGGCAATATGTGTTTACATCCTTAAATACATTTTTTTTTTTATAGAAATGAATCAAATATAATTTTTTAGGTTGAAAAATGGGAATTTCTTAAAATTAATATTTGACCATTCTTACCGGACTCGGAAATTCTTAACTATAAGGAGATTAAGGACAACAGGATTCCTAGTGCAAGGTGATTAGATGTACTTCTGTGTAGTGTGGGAACGTAGTGTATTCATAGTTTAGCCTTGCGTACAAACAGATAATTATCTACACGTGATGACCAATAAGGATTTAGAAGTGATCTATATAAATATAATACTGTATTGTTTCAGTATATCCGAAGGTACTTCCGGTTGGAATAAATCCTAAGGATTGATTTGTATATATTTTGGTAGTAAAGTCGAAGATAATTATAACCTTTTCGAATGATTTCTCATTGGCAGTGAAGGGCGATGATCGAAGCTCTTGACATTATCCACGATTTATCTTTGTATCAGCGAAAAATTACCTCACAATTCTACAAACCTGTATTATTGAAAAATGTAGAAAAAAAATTTATAAACTCTTTTTCACGATCTATTATTAATATAATTAATACATAGTCAATCACCCGATATCAATGGTTGCATTGTGCGAGATCTCGCGTGCGAATTCGAATGACTCATAAAGAAGGATCGAAGAATTCTTTAAAGTACCTAATCTTATTTTGCAAGTAAAAAATGTCCATTGCAATAATCTCGCCGTCCAATCGGATTAACAAGCCGGTTAGGCACGGAATCATAATACAAAGCGATAAAATCTACAATCAATGTACAATCTTCGTTGGACATAAGCTGATCTGTGGTTAACCTAAGAAGAAAGAAGAGAAAAATCATTCCTTACACAATAAAACGTTAACTTTACTTGAAAACGTCAAAAAAAAGGCAAACAACATACATAAACTGCATAAATGAATTTGCGTAAACATTACAGGTACTGATACTCATAATTCTTGATAGTTCAATGTATTATGATTATTTAATTAAATTCATTTATCCTCCCCCTCGCCTTCTTCCTCCTCGTCGAATTCACCGTCTTCCTCGGCCCTGGCTTCCTGATACTGTTGATACTCCGATACAAGATCATTCATGTTACTCTCAGCTTCCGTAAACTCCATCTCGTCCATTCCCTCTCCAGTGTACCAATGAAGAAAAGCCTTGCGCCTAAACATGGCGGTAAACTGTTCGGAAACCCTTTTAAAGAGTTCCTGAATGGCTGTGGAGTTGCCGATAAAAGTGGCGGACATTTTGAGTCCTCTGGGTGGAATATCACAAACAGCTGTTTTAACGTTGCTGGGTATCCACTCGACGAAGTAATTGCTATTTTTGTTCTGTATATTCAACATCTGCTCGTCAACCTCCTTCATGGACATTCTTCCACGAAAAACGGCAGCAACTGTCAAATATCTTCCGTGTCTTGGATCGCAGGCGGCCATCATGTTTTTAGCGTCGAACATCTGTTGCGTCAGTTCCGGTACGGTTAACGCTCTGTACTGTTGACTGCCGCGTGAGGTCAACGGCGCGAAGCCAGGTATGAAGAAATGCAGTCTGGGAAATGGCACCATGTTCACAGCCAATTTTCTTAAGTCGGCATTCAGTTGGCCGGGAAATCTGAGACAAGTAGTGACGCCGCTCAGAGTTGCTGACACCAAGTGATTCAAGTCGCCGTAAGTTGGCGTAGTTAGTTTCAATGTACGAAAACAGATGTCGTAAAGAGCTTCGTTGTCGATGCAATAAGATTCGTCGGTATTTTCGACCAGCTGATGAACCGAGAGTGTACAGTTGTAAGGCTCGACAACTGTGTCGGATACTTTTGGCGACGGCACTACACTGAACGTCATCATAATACGATCGGGATATTCTTCGCGTATTTTTGATATCAATAGTGTACCCATTCCTGCGCCAGTGCCGCCACCTAGCGAGTGAGTCAACTGAAAACCCTGAAGACAGTCGCAACTCTCGGCTTCTTTTCGCACCACGTCCAGGACCGAATCTACCAATTCTGCACCCTCGGTATAATGTCCCTTGGCCCAGTTGTTACCGGCGCCGCTCTGGCCGAAGACGAAATTGTCCGGACGGAATATTTGACCGAAAGGTCCTGATCTCACGGCGTCCATTGTACCTGGCTCTAGGTCCACGAGGACTGCCCTCGGCACGTATTTTCCACCGGTTGCTTCATTATAATAAACGTTAATACGTTCGAGTTGAAGATCCGAATCGCCATGATAAGTTCCGGTGGGGTCGATGCCGTGCTCGTCGGAGATAACCTCCCAGAACTGGAATAAAACAGATAAATTTTTTTATTCACGTTCAATCATTTTTCCTTATCAACATCAGACAATCTTATTGACCTTTGAGAATATTACGAAAAAAATTACCTTAGCACCAATTTGATTACCACATTGACCGGCTTGAAGATGAACAATTTCCCTCATTTTTTGTCTTCTCTTTCTTCCTTTTCACGTATGACGAATTGATTGCTTTTCGATTAACTTAATTATTAATTACCATTAATACTAAGCGTCCTGGCTGTTCTGGCTATCACGGAAAAAGAACATTAGCCAATCGACTGTCAACAAGGTGTCAGATTTTATTCGCAACCATGACAACTGTCATTAAGTGTGCTGTAAAAGAGAAGGTCATGGAAAATTGTTATGAGAAGGCTGTAGAGCGTAACGTTAAATAAGTGTATACTGTGCTATTGATAAATATAGGTATACCTATGTGTATATACATATGTAAAAATAGTAATTCATTGTTAACGGTACGATGTTACGCATTACTTGACGCATTACGACTCCAACATGGTTGCAAAAATTAAACTAGGTTAAGGTACGTTTTACGCGTGTAAATTGACTTCACGTCGTTTCTGGAATAACTCGGAATGAAACAGAACAATATATGTACACGCGAGTGATACGACAAAATGGAGGAATAAAAATAAACCAGTTGGAATATAGTCCGATAGTTCGAGCGTTCATTATACGTATATATTTTTTGTTAGAATTTCTAATAAAGTAAGCGAACCGTAAAAAAGACAATTGTTTCCTTCTTTTTTTATTTATTTTACTTTCTTGTAACAGGGCTAAGCTATCTAAGAACGGTTTCGCTTGATTCGGTTTCTCGTGGATTGTTTTCTTTTTGAGTTCATACAAAAAAATTTATTTTGAACGGCAGAATTTTTTTATTGTATATCAATCATGGGTAACTCTTTTTGGCGGTTATTGGAATTACGAAAATTTTATAAAAATCCCAAAAACCGGATACGCAAGGTCCGTTGAAATTGTAGTCTTTTGCTTATGTAATAGAATTTCTTTCATTGGAATTTCAAGCAAGGACTCAGCCTTGCTTTTTGTCGTAGTTTCGCGTACGAGCATGAAACTATTGTCACAATACGAGAATACGTTTCACATATTGCGCGTGGGACGATAATAAAGGATGAGCTAGTTAAATAAGAAATATTTAATAAGAATCTATGATACGTGAGATTAAATACCGTTATGAGGTATCTTTTTTTTAAGTTTATATCCGGTCTCAATATAAAAACGCGATCGCGACTACTTTGCTTTTTCTTTATTGAACGTATATCTATAGATAGTTCAGTAGTAACTATGAGTCGTTTATATGCAGGCTGACTCGACTGGTTTATTTTTAGTGACTCATGATTTCTCATGGAATTGCATAAGTTCACGCAAGAGACACACCTCCGCTTCTCATATACGGAATTGCATTATGCATAAGGTGACCTGCAGTTGTATCTTCTAGCGGTGCTAATGCAATCGGTGCTTATTTTGGAAATTTTTTTATATATCAATACGATTTATCATCGATGAGGATTTAATTAATAAAAATTGTTGTTTTGGTATTTGCGAGTTTTATTTATTGTTTTGTTCAAAATTTATCGCATTCCGATCTTATGTATGGGACACCGGCGTTGTTGGAAATTTTGCCACAGGCATGTTGCATGTGCAACAACGGGATACTTGTGGTGTTCCAGTTATCGCTATTAAAAGTGTATCGTATCTAATGTTACATGCGTTGACCAACCACAGAAAGATTGATAAGAATATATTACGGTGTATATATCTTTGTGAAGGCATTGAATGACATTAACATAATTTGAATCGTAAGGATAATGTTTGATTCGTAATACATAAGATGGTAATTGAAGAAAATATATGGCGCCTACCCGTGGGCAACCTGACATATTTAATATTGAACGGCTTGTTCAGTAAATTAAGGCTAGAGGCTAGATTGCTTTATAGTGAAAATTAAAAATGTTAAAAAAGTTGTTTTTGGTATCTGTTTTTGGTTGATGATTATTAGTTCGTAATTTGAGGATAAGAAATAGTCTTTTTTTTCAAAGAATGAATAGTTTATTTGAATTTTAATCGGAGATAAAACGTGATGACGGCTGATGAATGATCACAGAATTCATGACGTGCGAGTTAGACAGACCAAGCGCCAAAGGCTCCCTCTCTTGAGAAAAAATGGTAGCTCGAGTTGTTGAATTACAGTACCGACGGATGGTAAGTTGATCCTGATGACGATCGTCGTGATGAATTTATTGATTGGGGTTGAGGTAGTTGTTGAATCCCGTAAAATCATAAAATATCCAGGATAGAAAAGTACACCCTTGTAAATTTTGACGTTGGGATTTTTTTCTGTAAACGTTGGTTTTAGTCCAGAAATGAAAATGATGGCTCTGTCAATTGTTTGCTATCCAATTGTTGTTTTAACGACGTCCGACGTAGGCGGAGTAGGCACTGACGGGTAAAGCTGAATAGGCGGAAAGAGCAGGGACGGCGGAATAGGCTAACGGCGCAGCTGCAACTGCAGGTGCAGCCAGATAGGGAGCAGCAACAGCGTGGTTGATGGCATGTGCGTTGTAGCTGGTGGCATAAGTGCCTACGGTAAGGGCAGCGGGTACCGCAGCTGGAACAAGTCCGGCGGAAGTGATGGCCACAAGGGCGGCGAGGAAGAACTGTAGAAAAATATTATAAATTAAAAAAGTGCAAAAATTTGTTATTTATCGAATAGCATTCCTGTTTTTAAAAATCAATTCTCCAGTAACAATGATTCGCTACACTTTATTTCGATCAATTCACTGTTCTCATTAATTGTCCACTAAACAATTTTTTTTTCCACACTTACTAGGCACTTGGTCATCATTTTTCTTGAGTTTTGATTGCTTTGTTGCTTCGCTGCTTGAAACTGCGATGCCAGTCTGAACTTTCCTGCCTCTTTTATATGTTGAGTTTGCCACATGCGACTTCAGCCCCACCATGGTTGAACCATGCTCTTGCATACTAGATGACCTCTGTTTTTCTCACGACCACGCCCTGAACAACTCCCACCCCAATTACACTTCTACTTTTATTCGTCGCTCAATTATTTTCGAATTCGATACTCTCCTTGTTAAACACAACCTAACAAAGTGACTAACCTAAAAAAAATATTCTTAATTTTCGTTATTGCTACCCTTATAAATTCAGCAACGTAAGGTTTGAAAATTTTACATTCATTTGTTTTCTCATGCAACCGTTGCAGCTGCACCTGCTAGCAACTTTGAATAAGTCAATGATGTATATACAACATATACATATTTTTTAATTGTTTACCATGTACGTCACGTACACGATGACACGTTGCCGGAAAACAAAGAGTTTCACTTTTAAATGGAGTCCAAGAATGTTGGCCAATAATCATTCAGCAACGTTGCCCTGGATTCTAGCGGTTACCGATTCTATAGAGAAGATTGAGTCATTTTGTCATCATGGAATAATCTTAATGATTAAATGCCATACGATAGTCCATGTCATTAAACTTTTGTAATTTATATACATATATATGTATATATAAGCCAAAATGCGTGCTCTGTATATCAAGTAATCATTCCAATTGAAATCATTAAAATGACCTATGAGTAATTTGACACGAGCAATCACGATTTCTTCTAATGATTTATTCACCCTGTACAATCTTTTCGAAATACCCCGATAAGATTTGAAACTTTTCGCTCTTAATATTGGATATAGGATTAAATTCTCGAGGCAACTTTCCATCGAACGAGACAATGGGATTATTTAAATTTTAAATCAACGCTTTTTCCAAATGGTATCAATTACTATTGAGCTATCGATCCATAGAATTTCGCACGTGCTTTGATTTTTGACTAAAATTTGTTGCGTCCAATCATTGAAACAATCATTGATATACAATTGTAGGTATACGATTGTACTAGGAAAAAGGTATATAAATCAAAGTTGAAAGGTTAAACTTTTCAGTTAATGACAGTTCGATCGAATGTTTTTTTTTTTTTAAAGTTCGATCGAATGTAAATAGTCTAAGGACTTTTATAGGCCACCTTTAACATTGTATTTAACGATAAATATCTCATCAAACCTTATCCCATTATTTCCCCGTGGCATTTACCACCGTGATAAAATGTCAAACGTCTAAATTCCATAGTAGAATTTTTCAATATTCCATTTAAGATTAACATTTTTTCCTCTAGGTAGACCATATCCTTTCAAATCATAAACACTTCTAATTTAGCTCGTAAAGTTTTGACTTGATTTCGCAAGTGACTTCGTATAGATATCAAGTTAGCACATCGAGTCAGCACAGGAGCAGGATATGCTTCAAGGTTGGCAGCAAGAAGGTTGAACCAGTTTCGATTTCAGAACGCAATTATTAGCTTCCGCGTATCAACCCCTCTCCCTGCTCCACCCACGGCACATAAAAAGACTGGACCCTCAGCCATTAACATACGGGAGCCGTTAAGGTTATTCGAAGACAAGGTTCTCCACCATAAGTAAATCGAGAACCATAAAACAGACAGCCATATATGCACTGGGTACAGTACCCATGGAATTTATGGGACCATTGAATTCATGGTTAGAGACCAGTATTCTTCGTTTTGTACGATTAAAATGGATCGTCGATCTACTCTGTGATCGGTAGGCCACCTTAGTATCGTTAACAGATATTAAAGAGGTGATGGTAAAATAAGAAGTTTAAAGGGGTGCAATTAAAATAATAATGAGTCGTGGTGAATTTTAAGTAAAATATTTTTATTTATGACAAAAAGCGTGGTGGGTGGCAAGGCAATTCATAACTCGAACACATAAATTTTTAACCGATAACAGCAGGTCCGTGGGCAGCATATGCGGCTAAAGGTGCAGTTAATCTTCCAGCATACGTAGAATGCACCAATGGAGGTGCAGCTGCGAGGTGAGCAGGGACTGCACCGTAGGTCAAAGGTGCAGGTCCAGCGATAAGTGGCGCTGAATGCGCTGCGACAACTGGTGCAGGTCCAGCGATAAAAGGCGCTGAATGGGCTGCGACAACTGGTGCAGGTGCAGCGATAAGCGGCGCTGAATGGGCTGCGACAACTGGTGCAGGTCCAGCTACGATTGGTGCTGCATGTGCAGCTGCTATGTATGGTGATGCAAGAGCTCTTGTACTGATGTCAACTCTGGATGCAAAGGGTGGAATGTTGTATGGTATTGCCTTGGCATAACCCACAGCTGCAGGTGCAGCAATTACTGGCGCGGCTACAGCTGCAGGTACCACGCCGCCTGCCATTGACGTTGCCAAGCTCGCCACCAGGACGATGAATGTCATCTGTAAATAATTAAATAATTGTTTAGTCGACTTGACATTTTTTTTTTCAATATCTACTTTAAAATTGCATACCGAGAAGGAGTTCATGATGCTTATTGGTTGTTGTTCACTCGAACTCACTGAGGTCTGTGATGACTTTGAATTGTCAGGGTTCGTTTTTATAGGGACGTCAGTCTGATAGAGTATACTTTCTTCATGAACGTGATCGCCCTGATAATCAGAGTAATTACGTAAGACTAGTGCGACAGAATTCGACGTGAACTCGATTACTCGATTGGGAACAGTAACGTTTTTCAGGCGAATCGAATTTTCAATTTAGAAATCAAAATCCTTACACAATTATTTAAATTTAACGAAATGGTATGGATATATTTCTAAGGTACTGCCAATTTTTTTTAAATTGATTTTCATATAATTATAAAATAAGGTGCAATTAGAAATTTATGGTACACCCAATTTTTAATTTTTATCTATGATTTTTTTATCGTCATATGCGTACAAGAAAGCGTGCTACTTCTTTTATGTTACGTAAGCTTTCTTTAAGTGATATCGATGTATCATAACGCTTACTATATCGTGAGTGCTTAAAATTGAACACAATAAAGTTTGTAATGATATAATATTATATTGAAAAGATAATTATCGAATTTTAGTAAATATAATATCGGATACACCCGACGTTATCAGATAATGAATTTTTTCGATAAAAATTCACAAGGGAACCGAGTATAGAGAGGGGATTGAAATTTTTCAGAAATTTTTGTCCACGTTATTTACAGATGCTGATATTAATTTTTCCAAATATTTTGTATTCATACGTACGAGTTATATTTTGTGACAACAAAAGATTTGAGGATAATGGAGTTAAGGATGTACCCTCTGGGATAAGAAATGAGATCATCTAACGAAGGCACTTTTCTGGACCCGGAGCTGGTCAAGTGTTGAAGTATTTCAGCACAACTGTTTTAATTGCGCTAACTAGACGCCCTTGGGTCAATTTGAAATCTAGACAATGCAAATTGGTGTAAAGAGATGTCTCCTCTTTAAATGTCAACTACGATTTAATTTCACTTAACCCAGTTCACGCGTTAGACATGGTTCAGCTTAACGGACTGGGCAGTGGTAACCAGAAAAGTCCATTAGATTTGGTAGCAATACGCAAACTGGATTAGGGAGCTTGCGTAAAAAAACGTTCGTCTATGTAAATCTACGATAGATCTACAAAAGGTGTGTGTGAAAAACTGGGACGATTGCAGACTGGAATTCATTCCGGACTTTTCGATATTTATTCAGGACTTTCCATAGACGTCCTTTGTAGATCTATCGTAGATTTATTTAGACGAAATTTCTTTCGCCCGAAAGTCTGTAAAAGTCCGAAGAAAATTCAGCTACCTTAATCCGAAATGCTAATATCTAGTACGAAAGGGGTACAAAATAATTTTACAGATAAAGTATAGTTTCAACGATTTATTCAATAGAAAAATAGATCAACAGGCATAGACGAAATGTTCTTATTTCTTGAGCAGAAGAGGAGAGGAAAATGCAGGTGCGGTGTAAGCCACAGGAGCACCAGCAATCGCAGGTGCGCTGTAGGCCAGGGGAGCACCAGCAACCGCAGGTGCGCTGTATGCCAGAGGTGCACCAAGAGCCGGAGCACTGTAAGCCAAAGGACCACCAACAAGAGCAGGCGCGCTGTAGGTCAAAGGTGCAGCAACAGCAGGTGCGGTATAAGCCAGCGGAGCTGCAGCAAGGGTGTTGTAGTTCCTAGCGATGACCTGGCTGCTCCTGGCTGTTACAATTGGTGCTGGAACTGCAGCAGCTACAACTGGCGCAGCAGGCACGATAGCTGCAGATGCGGCAGCCACAAGGGCGAGGATGCACTGGAAACAGATTGAAAACATGAAATTTTTCTTTCTCTATGTAAGACAATTTTTTTTACTTCAGCTACTACATACTATTAGTATTTATCTAGTATCCAGTTATTTTTCACACTTACAGCCAACTTGAACATGTTGTAATTATCTGGAGGATTCAACGTGTCGTAGACAAGTGATGATGACCGCCCACGCATGCTGATTTTATACCGCGATCGGCTGACCCCCCATTCAACGACCCCCCTAAACCTTGCGAAATGACCAAACCGAAGCTCTAACGCCGTCTCGATACGTTAGTTGTGAAACTGCCTTAATTCTAAAGAATAGCTACCGACGTCATATTTGTGACTCATTATCTATACAGTCATCCATATCAATCCAATTTTGGCTGACATTTATAATCACCGATACGTCATTACAATTACATGAACAAGCTTTAAGACGCATTTCAGTATCTCAGCCTTCGTCAATGGGATATTTTGTACAATGCACCAGGCATTTATTTCCGACAAATTTCAAGTGGGTGGTTTCCTCATAAATTTGCATAACGTCCGCAAACGGAGTTAGATACTCGTCGCATTAAAATCGATAAACAATTCCCGATATTGAACTTGACGCTTTCACGTTGCACAATCAATGCACTCGATTTCGTATTAAGATCAACTGTTACGTAACTATACAAAATTTACATAGTCATCCGATTTTTTTTTTAAATTAAGTTTCTGCTATTATTCCTATATCAAAATTTCATTTACCATTAAATTTCTTTAAATTTCTTTGATTAATTTTCTCATATGTCGTCATTACGCAATCTTTAATCTTAGATTTCGTATCTATTCCACTATGTACAATGTTGATGACCTTCGTAACCCACATGCATCCCCTTATTATCACAAACACTACTATATCTTATTACTCAACTTCTCGTATAATACTAGGGTTATGACATCCCACCGTATTAGATGCCGATGAAAAGCAAAGTTTAGCAAGCATGCCAAGCCTAGCTTGGAGGACGTCACAATAAAGAGTTATGTGAATATAGGAGTACCCTAGTAGGTTGGTAGGTTAGTCGCTGCGACACATGAAAAGAAAGCTGAAGACATTTGCGATGCACGTCATGGTCAACCTGACTGGACGCATGCCGTATTAAAGAGGCGTGGCGATTCTCATGTAAGTTCATTGCAATTTCCAGTACGATGAAGAATTTTTTTAATTGCTTCCACTTTTGTTATTGTTTTTTAATATTTTTTGTTCTCCTTCCTTTCTGCACTCCTAGGTGGCCTTTGCACAATTATCTCTACCTGCGACATCCTGCTTGGTCTTTTTGGACTTCTTTATGGTATTACAAATCTGGATAACCCTGGAGGGGTTGTTGCACCTGCAGGTATAAAAGCGTTAACGTCGCCGACGATTGGCGCAGTTCGCTCTTGTCTTTCTAACAAGAATCAACAACCCCCTAACAAGTCATCATGTTCAAGCTGGTGAGTGGAGTGGGAGATGATGGGGGGGGAGACTAGTTATGGTTTGATTGATTATTTTTTATTTTGTTTCAGTACGTATTCCTCGCCATCCTGGCTTTTGCCATGAGCGCACCTGCACCTGCACCTGCACCTGGCGGTCTACTACCTGCAGTTGCAGCATACTCCGAACCCCTTGTGACTGCCACCAGCAGCCAGTACATTGCTAGGAATTATAATACTCTTGCTGCAGCTCCATTGGCCTATGCAGCTGCACCAATTGCGTACAGCCCTTATGCTGTTGCACCTGCGTATTCTGCATATGCTGCCGCACCTGTTTTTCTATGATTCTTTTCTACTGGATTACTGGAGGGTCCTTCAAAAAAATACACGCTTGATAACATGATTTGATTTTAGAATTAAGTGACAAATAAATTGTGCTACTTGGTGTATAAAATACTTTTATTTTTTTAATTTTACCCTGTTCTTCATTGTCAATCTAAATTAGTTTGATATGTACTGAGTATTCAGTATTGTGCTCTGTAAGGTTTTTTTTAGTTTACATGCATGCTTGTTTCTTATAAAAAATTTCTTAGACAAATTATTTGAATATTCCTGTTATCTTATGTGAAATTTTAAGTTTGCCAATGTTCATGCTATTTATGACTCTGGTTGGCTTGCATCAAGACCAGTTTCATTAACCAGTGCAGTTAATTAGGAATTGCACTTGGTACTTGAGTAAAATGAGGAGATATCATCCAGTTATACATTTGTTACCGTGTTACTTGGAAATTCAGTACGACTCCGATAACTGGCTGGTAATTAATACTTATTTTTGTTTACCCTCATTTTTTTCTGCATCTTCAAAAAAGAGAATAATTTCAAGAGGGTGACTCGGTAAAAAAATAGGCGAAAGAAAGCTGTCTGAAAACTTAGTACGGTATTTCTTTATTCTCGATTAAAAAGCCATCTATTTAGCTCGAAAACTTAGGAATGCCTTTTCCATAAGTGGCCAAATATCAAAATAAAGGTGGGATCGAATAACGCAGAAACAAAGTCTAGACGACGCATGGAACTTTATTCATAGAAACAAAGAAATATCGTACCCATTAGAAAATCGTTGGGGCTGATCCAATAAATCCAGGCAAGATTCATCCACCCTATTGAAATTGTAAAGCGAATATTTTCTGCTATTAAATAAAAATTATTTCTAAGGTGTTAGAATAATAAGAAAACTTTCATATACTTTCAGAAAAGGTCTTTTTATTATTGCAACGAAGAATCACAAGGGCAACGTCTTAGTGCATCTACTCGACGCACAAAGGGTCCACCAGGTACGCAATACTTCCAAAAGGAAAAAAAAAAGAAAAAACTATTTCTTAATGCATTACTGGTCCATCGTCGATCTTCGGAAGTCATTTGCGATCATCTTAATAATAAGTGTATGCCGCCTTGTAAGCCAAAGGGGCGCTGTAAGCAACTGGTGCAGCGGCGTAGCTCTTGTAGGCAAGAGGTGCAGCTGCAACGGCACCATAAGTCAAAGGTGCAGAGTAAGCCAGAGGTGCGGAGTAGGCAACAGGCGCAGCTGCATAACTGCTGTATGCCAATGGCGCAGCTGCGATGAGACCGCCCGGAGCAGGTGCAGGTGCGGGTGCAGCAGCAGCTACGGCCATAACGGCGGCAAGGACGAACTGCAAAATCAAAGAGAGAAAAATAAGTAATAAAAAAAAATCATTGTCAATTTAAAATTTTACTCAAATTCAATCACAATTTCTCAACATTATTTTCACTGTCATTTCTCATAACTATATTTTTATTAACACGTGTTTACTTACCAGCTTGAACATCTTGGCGGTTGAAGTGGTTTACTGGCTGCGAGGAACTAGTATGATCTCTCTGCTGTTTTCGGTCCTCTTTTATACTGTCTTGTCCAAACGCAAAACGCGATCCGGTGGTAGCAGGAGTAACAGACAGGGAATTGGTCGCAAGATGGCCGCATCGTGCCACGCCTGGTTCAGGAATGACCTTGAGTCTCATCGCGCCTTCCTCTCTCAATCTTTAACTCTTATGGAAGGCGTTCTGACGTACTTTGGACCGAGAGGGCGTGTATCGGCCAAGACCTTCGAGTCTGTCGAAAAGGGGAGAGAAGTTAATGAGGCGAAAATACAGTCAGGTCATATGTGGCGTGGATTTATTTTCTTTCTCTTTTTTAAGACATTTTTTTTTTAACTACGGCCAAACGTCACTTTACAGTCTTCGTCTACGACAACCTGATCCTACCTTACCCACTCCATAGTTACACTGGCTACCATTGACAATTATGACAATGAGTTCGATGATCAAGTTTTACCACACGTGGGAATCATTTATCTTGAGGCTTTATGTGTGTAGTTCATTATGTGATATATATAATTGGAATATGGTAGGGGCGGAAAGGATCTCAGTGGGTATATAAGGACGAGTCTAGAAAATTTTCATTATATTACTGATCCAAGTACCAGTAAAACTGTTTCAAGATGTTCAAGCTGGTGAGTAAGAATTATAATAAATAAAATAGTAATTTATTGTATTTATCATATAGTTTTGAACAGTTTAAAGTTTAATATTTTACATGTGAATTAGACGATATACGTTTTAAATGACAAATTTTGGTATTCAACAAAAAAAAATGACGTACGGTACGTTCATTCGTATCACGTAGTTCCATGTAAATTTAAATTTACGTAATAATCCGAAAATTGATTACTAAGTCAACTGGTCCGGTTTTGGTCATTTTTTGTATTTCCTCTCTCTGACTTACTTTTACGTTCTCTCATTTTGCATATATATTAAATATAAAATCTACTAGTGACGTTCTTGGGGCCTTTATAAAATATATATATTTTATTTTTAAAAATTTTGTTTCAGTTCTTCTTCGCCGCCCTCCTGGCCTTCGCCGCCGCAACCCCTGCTCCAATCACCCCTGTTGTCTCCAGCTATAGTCTCGGCGCTGCGCCCGTAGCCTACAGCGCCGTCCCTTATTCAGGAGTCGGTGCCTACGCTGCCCCCTACAGTGCCTACAGTGCTTATGGTGCAGTGCCATACGCTTACAGGGCTGGTTATGCAACCTATTTGTAAATTAATCATGACGACAACAACAATGGCGACTATCGGCTCACGCTAAATTTCTAATTGGATATTGAACTTTTTTTTCTCTTGTATTTACCACTTTACACTATTTCTTCTACGCTTTTACCTTGGGAGCAATTTTTGGTCTTTGAGGTAGAAGAAAATTCACACACAGTACACCCAGGGATATGTTCTCTTTGTGACTATTCCAAATTGTTTATAATAATAAATCTGTTCAAACGCAAAAATATTTGTCACCTTTTTTCTACCTTGCCTCACCTTCCTCAATATATTTTGAATTGTCAAAATTAACACGCCTCCATGACCATTCGGCTTACGGCCAAGGGTAACGAGAATTCGATGGTAAACTGGATCGATTGACTTTTATAATTTTTTTTTTAATATATCCTTTCCATATTAATCAATGCAATTATGCTAATTTTTTTATTGACTATCTATACAGCACCGGCAATGCAGTCATTTCATTTCGATGAACGTGTAGGTGAATTATTTTAAAAAGTTTATATGCACACCGGATTTTGAAATTTGATAAACTTTATCGATATATATATATATATAACAAAAATATCACTGCGCAATTACATTACGAATTTCGCAGCTGAATTCAATTCTTACGTGACGTGAATTCTATGCAATTTGTACGATTAATACTTACGAATCACGAAAGTGACCAGCGTCATTGACAGTATCAGTCAGCATGCGTATTAACTGTAAGTACCATATAGCATCTTATTGTCAGTACATGTGTGACTTGTGCATTGCGCAGTGGCTACGGCGGATCGAAAGTCGTATGCGTGATACGATTGGCAATCGGATTTTTCGGGAACGAGGTGAAATCGTTTCCCTCGTTTAGTATTGATGAAGAAAAAAGAATCAACGATTGATAAACATCCGATTAAACATTTAGGCGTGGTATCGTGTTATTCATCGGAGTGGACTAATTTAATTAGTATTTCGATATTCGAAAATTCATAACACCCGTTGCGTCATTATAGTGGGCTCTTTTGGAATTTTCAGGAGACTCAAATTTATCGAAATTTGATAGGTTCGTTCGGTTCTGGTAATCTTTTAGATTTCGAAATATCATTACTTTATATTTTAGTAGCGAATTTTTTAATTAGGTGATAAATTTAATGAGGGATTTCATCCTAATAAAAAATCTAACAAGATCTTTGGATTAATTGATTTGTAGTGGCTCTATAATTTTTTTGCCACCATATATAGATATAGTTGCGATTTTTGAGAATGGCTCATATCAAAAGGTCAGGAGAATTGATGTAGAGATGAGATATTTCGATTCGTTAATTTATATTTATATTGGTTTTTAGTATAAATAATGACGTGTAATTTATTATTTGGACTCTTTATTTGGCAGATTTTTTTTTATAGATAATTCTTGTCGGATGAGATACCGTGTGATTTAAAATTCAAATTTCGCGCTCGAATCTTTTTCTTTAGTATAATTGGATCAGAAGCTCATCCGGGTCTGGAAGAAACTTATAAAAACGAAACTGATTAGGATTCGCATTACGTAATGAACGGCAGGTAATAAATTGTATGAAAAAGCAGTAATGTCATTCGAATTTATTTATACAGATATTCAAATTTACATATTAAATTAGATGCGAGTTAGATTTCAAAATTTGCAAAACAACCTTAATATCCAATACCAAAATCGTAAGTTCTATTAAAAGTTTTTAATTGCAAATAAATTTTTGATTTAAAGCATCAAAGGGACAGTCAAAGAGCACAGAATTGGTCAGGTGCATCCATCCACCATCGGATTTACCAATAAATTATCAAATAGATCAATAACCTTTCAGATGGACCAACGAACTATCGGATGGACCAACTTTCCCAACCGCTACCTCATGCGACTCTGTTTTAAAATTTTTATCAGGTTACTGATAAGAATATTCAAAGCCAAGAAATCTAATATTCTTTTCCACTAAATTGAGTGAATTTAAATAAATCATATTGCGACCAATAACAAGACTGCTTGCTTAATCATTATTGTGACGTCAATGGCCAGCATCACCTGGACAAAGAAACATTGAAAATGCTTCCTACACAGCAACCCCCTGCCTGTTTCATAAGGCTTGTTTTCACTGGATGCGTCCCTGTTGTCGATAACACGTTCATTATATTTGTACAGAACGAATCGGAGATAGGCCGATAAGTAACTACATTTTATTTGTGTAGCAGATTACGATTAATTTCAATTAAAAAATTCAATAAAGTACGATATTTACATTTTGTAAAAGATTGCATGAAAATTTATCAAACAAAAAATTTTACGGATCTGCAACAATTTCCTATATATTCATTTACAAAGACATTTTAATCTCATTACTTTTTATACCTTCTCTCTCGGTTCGTTGCACGGCCATGAGACTTGACCGCGAACCAGACTGAGAAAGCAGCTTTTTATAATTCTTCAAGAAAATTACCGGTTTGGTACAAATGAATTTACCATTGTTAAAAGCTGATAAAATTTTTGATTTTTGAAATAGGATTAGAAATTTATTTTCTCGTGGGAATATAGAGAGATATGAGAAAAATAATTTTTTAAATATTTTAAACTCAAGGTATGCTTATATAATGCTCTTGAAAATTTTATTTTATAAAAAATTAAAAATCAATTGATTATACTCGAAAATTAAATCCTTTTATCGGAACGTTTTCGGGTTTTAATATGACCGCGCTTGAACCCGGAACTCATTGGGAAATGTCATAGCAGGCTAATCGGATTGCTGTCAATTTTACTTCTTACGATATATCCATATATATGTATATGAATATTAAATTGATACGAAAAATTTCGATTATTTTTTAACAATTGATAAAAATTGTGCATGATATGTAAAATAGTGTATGAAAATCATAAAAAAGTTTTTTTTCTACAAATGTCATTCAGCAGGCTAATCTCGATCGTCCTGATTGTGTTACAGATTGCAGGATCCTGGATGCTGGATTAGCCTCGTGGACCCGACTGGTAATTAGCAACATTGGTTAATTAGAAATGCTCACCAGAAACACAGTTACGCGTAGTCAACCGGTTATCGATACGTTATTACGTGTCGAAGCTGATTGCGTAAATCTATGCTACGGGGGCGTCGGCTGTATTCACGACGACGTGGACGCTGGGCGTCGTCGTTATTTTGTATTGACTAGTTTAATCAACGAAAGCAGATACTGGACCAAATGCCAATGCAAATTTTGCGACTGTCCGAATAACAATTTTTTCTTAAATTTTTTTCTAAATATACACATAAATATTCATCAATTATACGTGTCGGACATAAGTGACTGTCTCAATAATTTTTCAATAATTTCACAAATTTTATATCATTTATAAAAAAATTTTTTTCAACAATCTACATTTCGAAACAATTTTGAACACTAGAAATATTAAACACGGTCATAATGCCTTTTTAGATGCATATTGATATCACTGATAACGGCAGTTCCTATGCTTATACACTGTATTAGCATATGTATTCAATATTAAGCAATTCTACATTAGCTATATATATATGTATATTTCTCTGAGTCATTAATGCTAACATAACGTTAAAGCCATTTCAATAGTCATTATAGAATTTAGTCACGATTAATTTTCTCATTTACGACACTACCTTCTTACATTAAATGATCGATTATCTGTGACCTCTATTAAAAAAAAATTAAATATACATTTTTGTTTTAATAATATTAAGATACGATTTTTATATCAATGAGTGATAAAAAATTAAATAGTTATAAAAAATAAAAAATTGATTATGTAAATAATCGAAGTTATACATTACGCAGTAATATGTTGTGACAGTAAGCAATGCTCATGTATATTGCTGCTTTTGTATGAGCGTCACGACGCTTTCATAAAGAAGCGTCGTTGAGGACACAGCCAATCGGAAGAAGGGCCGTCGGTTGCGTAGCAATTGAAATCTCCGCTGACGTTCTGCCGAATTGCCGAGCGGTACTGACAAGTGAAAAGATGAGAAACAATGCACGATTATCTCCTTTAGAGAAGTATAGCCTTTATGACCCCAAATAGCATGCTTAAAGGGATTATCAGGCGTAATCATTTATCTGTCATTAATATCAGCTGATGAATTAAAAAAACGATCGATAGATCGAGATTACCTGTAATTAATTAAAAAATCGATTGAAAACATTATCGATCATAAATTTCATATTTTCGATCTCAAGCATTAGTGCATCCGGACAATGATTGATCATATTTTTGTTGCATAAAAAAGTTAATGATGCGATTATTTATTGATGATAATTTTGGGGATATATTTTTTGAAAAATTTTGAAAAAATTATTTATGGTTTATCGTTTTTGGTATGTGGTAGTCATTTAATGACTGTAGCAATTTTAGGTAAGTTTGGAATTGGTAATTCTATCGGACTTTAAGTGATTGAAATTTGTAATTGATTCGCTTCCGGTTTTATCTTTTCTTCATTATCTTCATTGTCTTGATATTTCCTTTTGTTCTCCTCTTCTTGGATCAGACAAATTTTCCAGACGTTCATTGGCCTATACTGATTGTTATTGACTGCCGTTACGCAATCTGATCTTGTTATCATCATGAAGGATAAAAAATTTATTGCGTCATTTAGTTGCGTTAATTAGCGTAACTGATGGATATAACGAACGATGAAAATCCAATGCGACTGAGCTTGTCGATAATCGTTCTAAAATAAATTGAGTGAAATTATGAAAAAAAAAAAAAAATTTCCTAACCTTATTTTCATTATGCATTTTTTTTATTTCACAAATATCCCAGTGACCAAACAAAGCCAGGAATTTTCATGAGGAATTTTCGGTGATGAACAAAAATCAAAATTCAAAAAAGTCCACACACACCCATGACCTGGTAATTCCAAGCGAACGGAGTACCGCCTTGTACGTTTTTGGAATTTCTAATAAAGACTTTGACAGAATAGCAAACTGTAATCCGTCACCATCTTCCTTCTGGTTTCATAGAATTTCTTCAAGTATTCAAGCAGTTCCGCATTCGAGAGTCGAATATGTTGTTTTTAGCATGAGGATTTAAAGAAAAAAAAAAAAAGTCGAATCACCGACCAGGATTGACTCACGTTCGTTTTGATACTTAATGACAATCACAAAAAACCGGATGAACGAAGTCACAGGAAAGATACGTTAAATAACTAAATCAAGACAGCCTAAAACTTTGAATAAAAAAATTTCATTTAATCATTTCGAAAAGAAGATCCAAAATAATATTCCATCTAGGTATCCAACAGAAACTTGACCACCCTATTAATAAATCTCCCATCTGACCATACGTAATATTCCCATATGTCAAACGTGCAAATTTACATAAACCACAATGCACTGCTCTATTTATAAACGATAATTACCAACTGGACTCATAACTTATTCTAATCGGAAATACATACTTTCGTAATAATCCATATGTCTCGTATTACATATCGACCGCGACAAAATATATCAACCTTCGATTCTATAATAATAATCCCCATTAGTGCAAAGAGCATCACGTTGCAGTTGCGCGTGCATAATAATGCATACAGACGAATAAGGATTCTGAAGTTAACCTAAAAATAGTAAGAATCTCGTGCACGGGTTATACAGATTATACGATGCACGGAGTAAAAGGTACGAAAAAAATCTTAATAAAAAAAACAATACTGATTATAAATATCTATACTGTTAAAAAATATGTGCATATGCATACATAGATAAAAAATCATTACAACCTCATTACTCGATGCCGAGCCCCGATTTGACTGTTGAATTAAAACGAAATAATCGTACCACTTGTCACATGCTAATTTGATACGCTTTTAATTTATATTCTACCAAATGGACCAGCCATGCCTCTATATCTATATACATACATACAGTCCAGCCAAATAATACCAGTATGTTAAATCAGAGTATCGTAAAAGCGTCGCGACATATGTGAACTCCCCATACGGTTTACGGATACGGATTCGTCTGGTAATATTATTCGAGATATTGGGCGTGGTTGTTGAACTTGAACTCTATAGCGCGCTTCAAGTACGACCGGATGCGATAAACGGCGTTAAAAAAGAAAGGACTCAACGTCCGACTATGATAATTGGAAAGGACTGTGCTGGACGTAAAGACCCGGTTGAATAATTGTTATTATTATAAATCGATATAGGTGACAGGTATTGAAAGGAAATGATACCGTACATTGATATAAATTTTGTAAAAATATCTATATTAAGAAATACACTCTGTATAATCGATTTCATCCAAAATCCACGTGCCATTGATATATATGTATTAAAAGATATACCCTTTAGGTACAAGGTATATAGTATATGAAGAGTCCTGTACGCCTCGTGAATATATGATATTATGCAGAAACATGAACTCGAGTTAGAGTTCGTCAACCTGCTGGGAAAACGTAGAAAAGCCGATGCCTGGCGTCGTCGAAAAAAAAAAGAAGATTTAGTTTGAGTTTGAAAGGGACTGTAGCTCCTTTGTCACATAAACGTATGAAATCCTTTGTTGAATATACAATATATATATATATATATATATATATATATATATATATATATATATATGTACATTATATTCGACGCAGAAAACGGTAGCGTTCATAACCGAACGACTAGTCAGCAGACTGACACGTCGGTAATTCATACCATTGCGGATAGCCTTCAGGGCATTGGTAGATAATAATAAAAAGACGTACAAAAATAAGATGAAAAAGAAAAAGAATCTACGACCAGAAGTTACAGATTATTCAGGGTTAGAGGCGTGGCAGCACTGTGCGATAACCAAATTCCTTGTTTCTTATAACGCACGTGTATAAATTGTCAGACTTCATAAAATTACGTTTATAGGTTATGTTCAAGTAGCTTGGATAAAATTGACAATGAAAATGGCAAAAAGGTAAATTACTGGGGAAACAGTATCGGAAATTAATTATAAATAAAACGGATGCTGGGTTACATATATATTACATACATACCTTAGAAAAATTACATATGATTGCACAAACGCTGCAAATCCAAGTTATTTACCTACCATATACATTTTCAGTCACTTTTTACATTACATGCAAGTGTGTTATTTGTTGCGTGTAATATGTGGTAATAACAAGAGACTTGAGACTATGTAAAAAGTGACTACCGTAGAAAGGATAGGTAATAACACACATGAATTTGCAATGCATACACTGTAGATTCATAGAAATTTCGCGTAACGTAATTACCCATAATGCAGCGTAACACGTATCAGGATGATACTAGATTTGACAGCTGGTCTAATTATACAATTAATACGATATTGAATGCGCGCATGGATTAGAACAATTATAGATACATTTGTATATATATAGGGAAAAATTATTAATAATCAGGTTATGGCAATGCCATAATTTTAATTAGTCCAACGACTAATTAGCCATTGTAAATATATACGCGGCTATGATCCATTATACAAGCAATGCAACGTGTCATTTATATGCATCTAAATGCACATGCATATACGAATTCAATAACTCAATGTTTTCAGATCTCCCCCACCCCTCCCACCCTCCTTCAATAGAAGACGAGTAAATGTTAACAAATCTATACAGCTCTGAGCATTCTTATCGGCTGTTACGTAATCCACAGTGCAATCGCGAAAAACAATGGCTGCATGTTACCCGACTGTCACTCGGAATGCAACGTTCGATGCATATGTTATCAATACGTATTTCAATGTTACGGCAAAGTTATGAAAAAGTTTTATAACGCGATTACCTATGTAACGTATCGTAAAAAAAAAAAAATACGTCATTTAAATATGTCACTGTGAATACGATAAGGATGAAATAAACATTGACCCTCTGATAATAGGTTTTTTTTGGCTATTTATTTATTTATCAATTGGCTATGAATTTTTATAAACACATTAATTACTTATTGTATTGACAGACTGGGGTATCTGCGCACCCCACACCAGTGTTACGAAGCTGATGGAATTATCGAGTAGTTAAGCTGAATAATGTATCTCGAAATTGGTGTATGGGGAAAAAAAAATAAAATGTAAGGTTAAGAGAAAAATTATTTTGAAAAAAATCTCTGTGTATCCAACGCATACGGCTCTGCGTTTATTCACGTCGTACTTTGACTTGTCGATAACAGAATTTTATATGGCGCAGGTTGCCAGTCTGCGAATTCTCAGACAGTGTATTCAATTGCAGACAAATATATGTATACATACTAGTCTGCAATTGGCATATATACAGTAAAGAAAAGTTATGTCTAGAGAAGAATAATGTGAGACTAGTAGACCCTATTCGCCATAACTTACCTACCTAAGTGTATGGCGAAGACGACGATGATCCGTAAAAAAGTTCGTGAACACCTACGTGCTTTTGTGAAATTTTAATAAATATTGTATAATTGTCTTGTCCGGAATGACTGATGCTTGGGGTCGGGTCATTGACCTCGGTAGTTTAGTGAAGGAAAAAAATTAATTTTATTTGATCCATACTCAAGCTTGATGATTTTTTTTTTATCGTGATAGTATGATTGTACAGGGTGATCTATAATTTTATAAAATTATTACCAATGTCGATATTATATAGATTTCAATGATTTCGAATCACCCGCTGTTCGCTGACGATAATGGTATTAAACGTGGATGAAGAATTTATGAATACTCAGAAAATATAGGAAATATGGTAAAATTCGATGGGCGGACAAGCAAGGGAAGAGGGATGGATGATAAAGGGTGTACTGAAGAGTGAAAGAGGATAAGTTCAGTCTCCGAGGCATTTTTCTTGATTAATTCATTATAACAAATAACGTTGTGTTATATGATTATATATAGTATGTATGTATATAGATGTAATAAATGTATATTACAGATCCCAGCGTGTCCTCCTTTATTCGCAATCAAGCCTCAAGAAAATTTACCTGATAAGGGGGTATTCATAGGTGGGATACAAAAATTGGTCTTTGGGTTTCTTGAAAACTAACCTAAGCCAATCATACTTTGCTAGTACCCAGCCCGTCCTTAATACGTGTATATATACATAAGCATAGATATCAGGACGAAGTCTGTAATGCGAAACAAATTATCATCCCTTATTTCCATCGGGGATGAAAAACTCCTTTAAAGGTGGTTTCTGTAGAAAAAGTCCTTGATCAAATTTTTTCTATTTTGGAAAAGGGTAACGTCGTATTTTTCTTTTTATGTTAATAGAAAATTTACGAAAGCGTCGCGACGCTTATTGATTCTTCACGGTGCATCCACCGACTACAAACTACCTTCCTATAACTTACCTCCCGGCTCCACTCAGCAACCCTTAACATCGATCTCTCGGGTCGACGAACTCGGCATCCACTGATAAGAATAGACGGAGAGAGGGGGAGAGAGAGAGAGACAGCACCAAAGAAGAATCTGATACGCTGACATGCACAATCTCTATATATGTTATCTCCAGCTTCCGGCAAAATCTCTAACGGGTCCTGATAACAGGCGATACTTTTCACAGGGATTAACAATGCCGGGATCAATAAAGATTTAGTAATGATTTATAAGATTTAATCAATTATTCGTATAAAATTTATTAACCGTTTCAAAGTTACGTCCTTATGCATACATAGCCTGAAATTAATACTGGTGCATTTTTATGCGCCATATAAAAGATTAGGAGGTAAAATTTTTTGTAAAAATTTTTGTTGACTGCCCACGTTCTTAATAGTAAAAGTAATTTTTTTGTTTTAGGAAACTTTTAAACAAATTAATACGGTTAATCGAGGATTCTCGAACGAAAATAGAAATATCAAATTCATATAGAATCAAAATGAAAGGGAGATCCTGTAATGGATGCTGTATAGGGTGTGAAATAAAAAAGTAAAATTTTTTATACCCAATCAAACGATACGATCGTGCGTAAATATCCAAAAATATTTTCGCGCCAACAAACCCTCTAATTAACAAAAAAAAAAGTACCGTTGCTCCATACCATCCCTTAGTCTTTCCTTTACTTTACAGAAATAAGGAAAGCAAGACACGGTAGTGATGTATCGTACGAGCAAAAAGTCGAATAAAAAAAGAGTCGAACGAAGTAAAAATACAATTTTCGGCAAACCCGATGGTAATTGTGCTTTGACGAATGAAAAAAAAATATAAATAAGGGTAGGAGGGTTGATACGGATGGGGGTGTCGGTAAGGTAACATAAAATATAACAATTGCCATAATTCCCATTAAAAAAATACAACATTTTTTATCACCACCAATTGTAATGTCTATTTTTATCTTATCAAAAAGTCCTATCATTTATACACAGCTCCTTGGTTGGAATTTTCCCAATTACGCAAGACCCAGACGCCATATTGAAATTCTCAACGAGGTCAACCTAATAAAATATCCAAATGACTTACCACGAGACTCCCCGCCTTATCGATACAGAAATATCGCGTGCAACTCGTTGCCACGTGTTATCGGTTACCCCTGTAAGAGTAAATTCCAAAGTGCACTTACATCACGCACATGCACTTGCGTACGTACAAAAGATGTAGCCTATAATCCCCTAGATTCAGTGACGATATAAATAATTAAAGTGCAAAAAACGTAAAAATGAAAAAAATAAATTTTTAATCCAAAGATCCCCTAGTCATTCTTATAATGAAAAATGTTTATCAAACCCCATACGTGCATTAATCTACTTTTTATTTCTAAGCTCACACCGAACGATAATTTTATTTTTACTCCATTCTACGAAAAATCCTTGTCTCTTTTTTTTACGTGACTCAAGTGTTGGCAACGTGACCAGATAAGACGGCAACGTGTCCCCAAAGCCACCAGCCCGGAATAACACTTGTCAAGAACAAATCCGAATACCGTAAATCTTGACTGGTTGTATAATAACCATGGGAAACTAAGATGCGAAGATGATGTGGTACATGGAAAGTGAAATTGACATGATTGAATTGTAGTGGGGTGGTAGCAAAGGGAAGTTCAACAGATCCCAAGTATACCGTTGGTCCAGGAATATTTTGGCCTATATTTGATTGAATTTTCGTGTCGATGTCCCTGGATGTTTCCATTGTCGCGATATTGGACCCGGAATATATTTAGAACCTCCCTCGGACATACAGAAGATGTATTTTGGGATGATACTTTTTGTAACAACTGTCATGGACACGGTTTTATTTATGGCCCATGGTAACAGGTGGGGAGGATTTGAAATAAAAGAAAAATTTTTACTATTTAATTAATCGTAAGTGAGGATCATTATTATTATTTGAGGGTGCACGTTATTGTTATTATTATGTGTAGTTTTTATACGAGTTATTTTTATCACTCCTCGTATATCTGGACCCTTTGACTTTAATCAAAAGAAGATGGGCTGATGACTTGGTGATTGCGTAATGGATACCCTCTGTATGATGAAATGGGATGATCATAGACAAAGTGGAAGCAGAGTCAGAGATCATACCGGGTCCGTGTGTAAATTCTAGTTTGGCACTGAAAAATCTGGATTTATTCGACTTTCGGATTTACCACTCGAAAAGTAATTTTGCTTTAGTTCGTTCCTCTTTATCAAATGACGGAGAAGGGATCTATATGCCGAGTCGATAAATAAATATTAGTTTCAATCCGCGTGTTCCGAAATGAACTCTGTAAAGCCAGAGCTGCTTTAATTTGTTCCTCGTTATCAAATCACAGAGAATGGATCTATACCGAGTCGATAAATAAATTTTGATTTGAATCTACGTGTTCCAAAGTCAACGCTGTGGAGCTGAATTGAGATTTGAGGTTAGGAATCTCACGTGTAAATTAAAGTCTACTTTGAGCCTAGACTTGGTACGCATGTCCGATCTAGAATGGTTGAGGCTCGAACTAGATTTTGTAAATTCTAGACTTTTCCTCTCTGTGATTTTGGCTCTCCCCATCTTGAGGATCGTGAACCCTTAGCACCCCAAAGTGATTTTTTGCTGGATGCTTGAGGTCGAAAATGGTATTTAACAATTTTTTTTAATACTATATGACTAGTTGAAATTTCGTACCAGGGGTTTAATTTCTGGTTTGGACCTCCTGGTCATTACACGTGGTGTGGACGAAATAAAGAACAATTAATTTTCGAGTGGTAAGCCTGTACAACAAATAAATCGAGGTATTCAAATGTCACGTAGTTTGAATCTAATATTGCAGAATCTAATTTTGCTGAAAATTATATATATAGACATGCATATATATGCAAACACAGTGCGATTCTCAGTGGGGAAAATCCAGCCCCATAAGGGGGAATCAGTTGAAACATATGAATACAGAAATGCGCATGCGCGACGGAAAAGCTGTGCGCGGTAATAAAAGGGTGCTTCGCCCGTAGGGAAGCTCAGTCTTCGCCAGAGGAGCGAAGCGCACGTAACTTAAGAAGAAATGTACAGTGCATAAGATACGACAGTAAAGTGACACTTATCAAGTCAGAATTCGCAAGTGATAAAAATCACAAAGGGTTGTGTTGCCCCATGATACAGTGAAGAGATAACAGACTTGAAGATCTCAAAGTATTAATAGAGAAAAAGGAAAATATCCTTCTGTGGTTCAAAATCGGCATCCACGAGCTTCGTAACTCGCTACCGCAGATCGTGATCCATCCGGCGAGTACATCGTCGATGATGGAGGAGACAACGCGTCTAACGCAATCAGGTCACAGGTCGTTGCACCGTCGTGGCGCCAGACCCGAATTTGGGGACGATGAATGCAGCACCGACAGCGGATGCAGCAGCGGTGGTAGCACAGGAAGTGCCGATGGACTGTCACGTCGTGGAAGTGGTGAACGGCTGTGTTCTGGTGGAAGGTCACCAAGAGGTCATTGTTACCTAGACCGTCCAAGAGGCCGCCCAACGACCACCAGGTCTCAGGAGAGACTATCCAGGACTCCCAGGAGCGACGAACGGGTCAGGGCTAAGTCATCAAGATCCTGGAGTCCCGAAGACGCCAGGGCTCTTCCTCGCGAGTCACCATCTCATTCGCCAAGTGCATCCGACGCTCATAGCACCGATTCTGACTCCCTGAAGAGACCATCCACCACAGAGTCCTTGCGCAGGGCCTTCAGGAACCTCAAGTTCTCGAGCAGATGGGAGAACAAGGAGGCCAAACACGCCAAGAAGAGTCCCAAGAGGATCCTACGTACTCCTGTTTCTTACACTTACGTCAGAGGACTCTCGGGACTTCCTACACAGAGGGTGCCCAGGAACGCAGCCCAGCAGCTCATGATACCCAACTCTTGTCAAGACACCATTGGACTCTATCGATAAGGCCTGACATGCAGAGCTTATTATGTGGACTTTAGGTAGATTAATCTCTTAGCTATATGTATATATAGGTAGGACAACCTAATTTTAATCCTGGACGAACTTTTATTATCGATAGCTATTGGGATACTTGATCAATACTTTTTTTCTTTGTTTCCAATTATTTTTTTCAGTAGTCGAAAAAGTTGAACTTGACTTTTTTACTTCGAAATAGAGCACGAGTCTTAGGAAGCAATTTTGAATAACTAATGACCAAAATGAAAAAAAAAGGAACAGACAAAAATGAAAAGAACGGATGGGATCATAAATATACAAAAAATAAGGATTATTAAAATTTGTTAATTCCATTAATTGTGGAAGTAAACGAAAATTACGTGAACCATTGCCACGATAGCTCATGACCACCCATCTAATATATTAAATAGTTAACGAAGGGTGGCGAAGTGGTCGTTTATCAATTGTCTACATTTTTTCTTCACTTTGAGTCGAAAAAAAGAAGCTGAAAAGTAAAAAAGAAATATCGTGCTCGATGCTGCGCTTATAGTGTTTTCGTGAACGCTAAGCGCTATATCTATATCGAATTTTTCCAAAAAAGTTACAGGGACTTTACAGCGTTCTAGCGCGTTCACTGATAAATATACAAAAAAAGGTTTAAAAATTTTCTAAAAAAAAAAAGGAAAAAAAAATATTGTTCGCCACCGGTAATGATTGAATCAATCAATCAATTAATTAACTAAAAATCTCACACAAATTTAACCCAAAAAACTTATCTTTCGCACTACAAAGACAAACCAGCACCATAAATACTCTACATTAATAATTCCAAAAATCCAAAATTGACAGTTGCATGCCATATTGGCTTTTCTCGTCAATCAATTACACAAGAGAGCGGCAATTTATTATCCGCTCGATATGACTAATTAATCAGAATTCCCTGCGTCAAAATCAATAGGAATAAAACTTAGGCCGTCTGACGCAATAGAGTCACATATATATATAAACACGCAAAGAAATCAGAAAAAATCTTTAAAAAATCTTAAACTTGACCTAGCTAATCTTATTCGAGATAACCATAAGTGTCCAGGTACCCCAATGGCAATTAGTAATTCCAACAAAATTCTCACACCCCGTCGTTAATCGTAAACATAATCACTTTACATATTAATTATACTTGGATCTCCCCTGCAAACTATTTTCATATCAATCTCGGCCTGACGTACAGCCACCGCATGTACCAATTATGAAAGGTGCTGTACAAAGTAGAACAAAATGAACTGCAAAGAAGAAGCCTTTAATGATAAACAGAAAGAGCGAGAGAGAGACAGATAGAAAGAATAAGAATACGAAAAATATATATATAAAGAGCAAGTGGGAGAATACCATTAGTAGAGGAGTCAATTACGTAATTACATATGCATAAGTAATTAATCGATTACTAGACTATAAGACTTAGCGTTATTTAATCGGCATAAATGAAGGAACGTATACACATATGTATTATTATTATATATATATGTATGTATACGCGCACGTTAATTAATATCGTGAAATCGCGATCGTTTCACCGTCAAATTGTAAATCCCATGATAATTCCCAAATGAATTTTCAAAAGGGAAAAAAATAATTTTTTTTGTCAAAGTTTGATTTACAATTTCGAGGTGGAAGGGTCACGTGTATTCAAATATGAATTTTAATCACAGACTGTCTCTGTGCGATCCACCTAGTGCCTTGTAGCTATTCCCCAATGCGATTGCAATGATTAACGAGATGAAACTCAGCATCTCAAAAGATCCATGCATCGGTGTATGTGTGTATGTACGTGTGTTTTTTGGAAGACGATGTGCGCATGCGCCGTACAAGAAAGTTACTCAGGTCTTGAGTGTTTTGTATATTATCTATGTAGAACATGTTCTACGTTTGAAATAAACGTTTTTCATGCAACTATAAAAATTTGTTTTTCATTATTACCCAAAAAAAGAAAAAAATTTATTGCAATAAGACATCTCTTTAATAACCAAAGTCAGGTGGACCGAAAAAAAATTGACACGTGAAACCTATATGTGGTAATTTTGTACCAAGGTAGACGTCGGCTTTTCTTTTTCTAATCCGATGCATAACTGCAGCAGAAGATGCGACGTGTCCCCATTCAGCATCCCCCTTGCGGATAGATGGTCCAGGGAGAGTCACAGGATGGAATTCACTGAAAGGTCATCAAACCCGGCACCTCTGACCCGATTACGAGCTCATCCGCCCATCTCCACTACTTTACCCGACCTCTACCTACCCCTTCTGACTACCACCCCTCTCCTCTCGTACTATACCTACTTCAGTGCACTCAAGCATCATTCCGAAATAAACTGGCTGACTTTAACGAGATTAACGGAAGTGAGTCTTGAGATGAACGGATGCTGGATAAATCTCTCAAGACACCTGGACCAAAACTCAAGCATGTCTAATATAAATTTTCTATTGATGTACCGATACAAATTATTGATAATTAACAACTTGTAAATACACAGCATCCCTTGGCTGAATGGACCATCATTTTTTTTCATTAATCTGCTAATTGGTAATTTAAATAGGTAAATTATAATTTCGCGAAAATTTCACTTTTCTAAAATTAATTGTCAATGCTCGATCAGAAAATGTGGCTTCGTATCATTAACGAACGAACAAGTACGATGATAACGTTTGCTATTGTAGTTGTTATCAATTCGAGATATATATCTTTTATACGTATATACAGTATAGTTTTCATTACTCTCTAAACATTGTAATACTATGCTAAATCAAATTCCTTGTAAGAACAGTGACTAGGTATATAGATATAGTTACGCGTATTACGTAACAATATTGATCTATATACCTAAAACTGTTAGGTAACATATATGTACGTATAGAATTTTTTTTAACAAATATAACAATTATGTAACCCGTTATGAGTTTTATATCAACTCTTTATTATCACTGTTATCGAAGCCTTTGAAAGCTTGAATGGACCACAGCAAAGGGATGAAAGTCGCCATTACGCAATACCACCCTGCAACATCCTTGACCTAATTTCCAGTATATGGCAGGGGGTGCGCAGAGGATAAGGGAAGGTGGCGTGGATCGTACTTTCCATTAAAGGATATTCAGGAGGTACTAATCTTTGGGAAAAAGAAATTAAATAAGGGATGTTACCGAAAATTGATATTTTTTTGACTAAGGGTTGTTCTCTCTTATGGCAATTACGTAGAATCGAAGGGATGAGAATCGGGTGACACGGACAGAACTTTTGTATGGATAACGCACGGGGATCTTTTCATATTTTTTATAGGGGTTGTTCCAGGTAAGAATTAGGGGATGATTTCTATAAATAGAAAGTGCGACCTATATTTAGGGCACCTCACGGGCTATATTTAGGTCGACCTACTTTCCAATACGTCCCGTCGACAGTTGCACGACGACGTGGCTCATTCAAGGACCGGAAGCTGTAGGGAGGCCGATCACGTGACTGATTTACACGCCGACGCCAGGCGTCGGCGTCTTCGTGTACAGTGGAAATGCAAAAACGTTATTATTTCAATATATCGATGATAAATAAATTTTTTTCATGTGCACATGTACTTATGATACCTGCGATTTTATCATCCCTTAAATTACCTACGCACGATGAACTTTTCTGGTACATATTTCATCCCCTTTTCCTTTCATACACTAATTGCTATATATACCCGAATATTTACAAGGGTAAATAATATTACTAACTACCACCAAATCCAATGTCCAAACCTACGCAAGGTACGTGAAGTTCATGATTAATCTGTACGAGATAAAAATAGATGCTGCGTATTTTCATCTACGGTCAATCCTCGACGTGTATTTTTCCTATGGTCCAGTATTGAGTTTACGGGTGATACATTTTTTTTTAATACGTCACCATATCGTGACTAACCTACCCTTACGCATATTTATAATAACTCACGTTGTTCCGTTCATCTGGACCGAGCACATAAATAAAATCATAGCACAGCCTGCCATCCGTGAAATCTATGCCAGGGGTAATTGGGTATCAATAGATTGGCCAGACGGGATAATTTTCATCCCCTATCGATGACGCATTAGTCCCTAACGAGAGGGATGCACAATAATTTTCCATAAATTGATGTTTACGTTTCTTTAACGATTCTCTGAAAATTTTCCAGAAGTATTTTTTTTCCTGTCACGTGTCACGTATCTTTGTTTTAAGATAACCTAAAATTCACGAAATTTTGGGGAAAAAAATTCTACTGGACGTACAAGCCATAAGACACGTCAATTATCTACACGTAGTTTCATTCTAGTTGCCTGTCTATTTATAACGTATAAGCCGCAACGGTTTTCCCGTGGCCATGACGAGGCTAAAGAGTGACCCAGTTCCAGGGAGTTGCTCCATGACGTCACACCGGCATCAACCCCATTCAGGACCCACCCGTGACCCAGATTGGCCAGGTAACCCCCCATGAAATACCATAGTTCATTGAGGCCTCCTGAAAATCCCGGGAAACTTACAATTTCCCAGACCTACCCTTAAGAGTGAAGGAGGTGGATTTGAATTCCTATATCCACCATTCAGCATTTATTTCACAAGTAGTCAACCCCGTAGGGTATCGCGCGCTGCTACCCTTATTTCAAATGATGAATCCTGGGCGAATCTCAATCGAGAAATAATACCACCCTTGATGGATACATTACCGAGAATCCAGCCTTACATAGACAAATAAATGATAGAGTCGAGAAAGCCAATGAAACACCGCAAACTGAATCAACTTGTATCATCCCCTATTCTGTCGGTAGAGTTTGCCCCAGTTTTCCACCCCTTTCTCCTGTAATCGGTCGGCCAAGCCAACTGTGACGTCACTCTCGTCATTGAGAAGGCCGACAACGCGTCCCACTTCGGCATCCTGGCTGGCTGAACCCAGCCAGCCACCCTACCAACCCATCAAACCCCCATAGACCCGCTTTTACAGGCTGCAACGAAATTCTGCATCCCCCCACTGTGCAACCCCTGACAAACCTACTTTTAATTAAAGTACGAGGTTTCTGTTTTGTGGAAGAACTACTAGGGCTGGTATAGTCGTATTATTATTATTATTTCAATTTATTGAATCTACCCTAATTTGATTGTAGTTCAGATATACGGATCATATATGTATATATATCTCGGGTATTTTTTTCGGCTGATAAATTGTTTGTTTTTCTGAAATAGCCTGTAGGTCAAGATATTTTCGGATGGCGAAATCACCCTCCGAAAAAAAAAAATTAGCTGACAATAAATTGATGCACGATTAGTTGCGACGTAGCTTAGGCAATTTTTATAGGGATGTGAAAGAAACGACGAAACAAAACGGAGGGTGACTTTTATTTTCAAATTATTTTCGTGCATCAACCCCCTAACCAAATTTTTACCTGCGTGGATTATTACCCATGCATGATTTTTCTACCCTCTTCGGCTGTGGAAATTTACGAAATTCCATTTCACCTTATTCACCCTATTAATTCGTCCATTACACACGAAATACCTTCTGCGCATGTCGCCATCTTATTTTTTATTTACAAGCCCCCTATTTCATTTTTACCTGCGCCGTTAACCGTGAAGTAACGAGGGATCAAACGGGCCGCGAAATCAGGTCGAGTTTCGATAACGTCAATTTTTAAAATATGCAAACACATCATTCTTCTCAGCAAGTGACACGAAACGTGTATAAGAAAAAAATTTGTAAACCGAAAAATGATCCCCTAAAAAAATATAAAGGAAAAACTTTGTCAATTAAAAAATATATATCTACGATAAAACTATGATAAAAAAATAATTATCAAATAAAATACGACTTACAAAATCTTACGTGCTTCCGTTTTTTTTCAATTGACTAAAAAATTTCCATAGGAAATTATTAAGTTTATTAGGAATCAATAAGAACGAAGACGACCCAAGATCTGCTGCATCGTCCCATTCAGTTCCGCATCCGACGGTCATTGCACCGTTGCAATGACGTGATCATTACGTCACGTCGTCATGGATACCATCCCCTACCGATGCACTCAGCGAAGCTGCCAGTAACTAGAACAGTGACCCCCAACTGGGACAGGCCGACGGAGCCTCTTGCCAGCTATGGAAACTACCCTCTCCGCTTTCATCCCCCAGGCAGCACCCCCTATCCATCCATCCTGACTGCACAGCATCCACGCCTGGTATCGTATAAAAGATCATTGTAAGTACAGCCAGAGGTAGGCCACCCCTTAAAATTTTGATGACGGTCAGTAAAACTCAGCCCTAAGAAAAACATACCAGAAAATATATCTAATTACAAAGAAAACCAACCCCTAAGACAGTAGCTGCACGCTCGGTAATGAAGCAAGATACCCAAGGGGTTGTAACGCAACATTATCTTAACGACAGAGGGGTGGATTAAAAAACTTGTAGTGTCAATATTAAAATTTTTATAAGGGATGAATATCCATATGAATTTTCTTATGTAGATATTGTCCTATGGGAATTTATAAAAGTTCTTAAGGGATGATTTCATAAGCAGATACCTCGACTTCAGTCTAAGGGATGTTTCTGTCTATCTGAAAAATCGCTCAGCCTTGACCCGACGATGGGATAAAATTCTAATAACTAGGTTAGCAGCAACTTCTAAGATTTTATTCTTGACCTACCTCTATACTTACATACATATGGTTACTTAAACAGCGTGACTTTTCCATATGACTTTTGCTCTCTGTGAATAAACAATACACTATGTATGTATAAAGTATATTTATAATAACTCCAGATGAAAATTCCCGACTGAATAGAGCAGCGTGACATTTTGCGTCAGCAGCCATGAAAATAATGAGTGAAAACTTTGTGAATTCTACTCGCCAATTAATTAGGGGTGTCAAGGAAATACGAAGCCGAAGGGTTGCAAAGGAATAGGAGTTACCGCAAGGCTAAACGACCCATGGGAAAACGTGCCGCAAATTCTCGGGTTGCAAATTCCCTCGATTCAGTACACGCGAGCTGGAACCAAGTAAAATTCGCGATTCCAAGTAAAATTGACCTTGTGACTCGTGCCAATTTACAGCGCAATAATCAAAGGTTATCGGCGTGACTGATTGCGCAGTTACAAAATCACGTGACAACTAATTGTCAACAAACCAACATTTTGTCGATAGCTCTCGTGACGTACGTCCTGGATAAATTTAGTTCATGAACAGTCATTGGCTAAAAAAAATAATCCAAATTTATTTTCCGCCTCAAAGATCCAGCAAAAATTAGCTTGGTGCATTTGAGGGCCGATGAGAGTCGAAATCACAAAAAAGGGGATGTGCTAGAATTTACAACCCTTAACACTTCTAAATCGAACATACGTACCAAGCCGAGCCTTAAAATTGACTTTAATTTACACACGAGATTCCTAACCTCAAATTTCAATTTAGCTCTACATCGTTAATTTCGAGACACGTGGATTCGAACCAAAATTTATTTATCTACTCGTTACAGATCCCTTCTCTGTGATTTGATAACGAGGAACAAACTAAAGCGAAATTACTTTTCGAGTGGTAAACCCACAAGTCAAGTAAATCCACAGCTGTACAATCCTGGGGATATAAAGAGCCAAAATCACAGAGAGAGGATGTGCTAGAATTTACCAAGTCTAGTTCGACCCTCAACCTTCCTGAATCGAACACACGTACCAAGCCCACCCTGAAAATTGACTTAAATTTACACGTAATATTCCTAACCTCAAATCTCAATTTAGTTCTAAAACTGAAATATATATTTCTATGTCTATATCTATATATACATTTTCATAACATTTTACGCGTATATAAAATCCAAGTACACCCCTGCATAGAAATGTCAAAGCATTATAACGAATCGATGTCACGTCTTACAGATGGTCGTTATATAAAAAAATCACCCGTTACGTAATAATTCAAAAAGAAAATGAAAACAATTAAAATAAATCCGTCGCCCGTATCACGAATCACGTCTCTCGGAAGATCGGCTATCAGTGGTCCAACATGATTCCCCAGGTTCGGGTCCATTCGGCCGCAGATTAAATGCCAGATTAAATAATTAACCGGATTCACAAGACCTTTGATGTAAAAGGAAAACGTGATAGCGCTAAAGCATAACACGTGAGAATCGATCTTGACGAGAGAGAGAAAAAAGAGCAGCCAACGACGCAAGTAGTCGCACGAGTAGTCACGCTTAAACCACCCCCTAAAACATTGACGCACTTATTATAAAATCTTTTCAACCCCTATTTAATGCTGTCAATCAAAAGACAAAAAATTCATATAAAACGTACAATTAAAATATAAACCCTATACTGTGAACGTATATGAAGTTTTTTGAAATAATTTTTACACCCCTATCGGTAAGGGATGAAACGTATTTAGGTTAATCAAAAATAACTATCACGACGACCGCTTCATATTATTATCATCAAATCCACCCCTTGACCCTTGAACATACACATAAGTAGCATAATAAATAACAGGCTCTTAACAACAAGTCGCTCAATATTTATTTCTAGAATATTTATCAAAAAATCATCCCCTTAGAAATTCTTAGCCTCATAAAGAAACGTGTTGAAAAATGTTATCTGGTTGGAATATTTTATTATTCACCGACTCTCTTATTCCATAACAACCCTTGCTACCCCGAGGCTACTCCCGTCTAAAGCGTAACCGATATCTTTCATCGATAACGCAGCACGTGTCGCTTTTGGTACACGTGGAAGTTGGTCCAGAGAGCCAGGTCGCTGCGAGGACGAAGATCAAAATTGATAAATAAAAAAATATTAAAAAAAAAAGTCTCCGATGAGAGCTCGGCCAGTTTTTTTTTATCGTAAGGGCGGTTGCGCGAAAAGAGCCCTCAGCTTCATTATGCCAGAACTCGAGCCTCGGAAATCTCGGTAAATTCATAAATTCTCCCACTTTCTAACGTAGCCCCGAGAGAGGGGATGACGTCGAGGTATCAAAGTGGTAATAAGAGACAAAAGATCTATCGCCACGTGCCACCCTTGAGAACACATTTGTTCTCAATTGAAACAATAAAACAATTATTCCACCCCCTTAGTTATCAAGGGTAAGATTGATTTTTGCGCTCTCACTTCTGCTCTTTCAATTTCATTTACATACCACCACTGAGGGCTTTTAATTATTTAATTGATTATTGAGAGAGGGTGAAAATAGTTCCTGTGGGACTTCAAAGTACCCCCCCACCCCACCCCTTCGCCCCTAATTATCGTATACAGATAATAGGGGTAGTCGTACTGGTAGAGCACATGGTACAATTTACAGAGAGATGTGTAATACTCTGATGTAAATTTTATATTTGATTGAATAATAATTATGTTATTAAAAAAGTTAAGGGTTTACGTTTTAATCATATAACAATGATCATCATCGGTCACGAGGCACCTCGTACCGAGTCTCTCCTAGATATCGAGTCCTCCAAGTGGCCAGGATTGGTCCACGTGATAGGGAGGCTGCGATAGATCTGCTCGTGCCGTTTACGAAACCTGCTTTTTCACGAGGGTGCTAGTTTCACGTGGACACTGGATTACTTTTAAACTTCCAATCGGCCGTGGGATTTTAAGCGTACACACGGAATTCACCCTAGGGACTGCAAAGGGATGTTAGTGGGATGAAACGGAAATGAATAATTTCCTAGATAAGTCGTCACGCGGCAGAACTTATTACATCTCCAGACTGCACGTGTTTCGCTGTATCGTTGGTTTGGGAGAAAATAAAAATTGTGTAAAAAAAAAATAAAAGTTTTATTATACATTGTTTAGTCTATGGATATTCAATTGATTAAGGGTTCTTTTTCTTGCTACGGAAATAGGCTGGGAAATACCTTGCGGTGTATAAGAAAATTTGTATAGAATGTTTATTCGTAATTCAAAAGTTACCAGTATTTCGGAAAGGTCTTTTTAATCGAAAAGAAAAAGAAATTTGGAAAGCATCAAACGACAGATTTAATTGAGCATCTTGATTGGTAAACAAGATTGCTTAGAAAATTAAACCGGATGTTTTGTCGGTTTATGACAAACTTAATCCGGCAAACACAAAGTAAAATTTATCGGCAACACGATATCGGCAATGTTAAAATATCTTGGTGTAATTGAAAAAAAAAGATCTATAAGATAAACGAAAAATCTACGATAAACGCGTTTGTCGAAAGACGCATTCCTTTTTGTCCACTTGTTTACAGTATTTTTAGACAACAAGCAGCCCTCGCATGGTCCTTGTACGATGTTCTTTAATTAACTTGAGAATCTTCACCCCGGGCGTCGCGACGGCCTACAGCATTGAACGAATGAGATTGCGCCGATTGCCGAACGATTCCACTGTGCCAATTATTCTATCATTAGTTGGCATTAGCTGTGTCTCATTCTGAAAAAAGAAAAAAAAAACAGATGTCCTGATGCCAGTAAACAAGAAATATTTAGTCGCACGTATTCGAGCAAGGAGCCAGTAATAGAGCCGATAAAAGATAGAAAGACAAATAAAAATAAAATCATGTCTCGTCTCTAGAACGTAAAGGAAAAACGTTTATATAGATAAAACAATGTATTGTTTTCTTTGTTCCAATGAAAGATTAGCCTTAACAACCCCTACAATAGACTCAGAATATATTTATAAAAAAGACTCTCTTTATCCTTTTAATGATATCCACCCAACGTCCATCTCCATTTTTCAGGTATTCTCAAACGAGCGACTACGTACAATCATTAAGGTAAGAACCCCTTATTACTAATGGGTGATGGAAAGGGACTGAATGATCGTTTTGTTGGAAGATAAAAAAATATATCAGACTCAAGTAAGTGAATTAGGGATAACTGAGAGACGCAAGGAAAATGAATAAAATAATTTCCACGTATGTGCAAGGTATATTAAGAAAGATCCAAAGGTAAGGGAGACTGATTCGCACAGGATACAGAGGGTTGATTTCTTTTAGCAATCTTTTTTCTTTTACCCGTCATGTACAGTTCAATGAAATTTGTCTCGCCTAGCTCGTGAGAGGAAGTCTCCAATTACTAATTATCCAAGGCTCTTCACCCCGAGGTAAAGAACCCCATGGATATAAGCGTGGGACGCAATTTCGATACTAGCTCCACCCTTAGGGTAGCGTTCACATAAAACAGCAACAGGATAGTCAGTATTCTATTATCTAAAAAAAGCCCCATAAACTTGCAGGTTCCAATCAGCACCCTTAAAATAACTATGACATACGACAGATGAATAAAAAAATAGAATTAAGATTAAAAAATGAACAATTAAAAGGTATCCTATTCATTTACTTCATTCTCTTCTTTCATTATCTTCACAGAGATATCAATTCTCATATGGCAACATGTGTTACACCTTAGGAAGTGGTCCCAAAAAATTGGGCCTGATTCAAGGACGTCTCATTGAACATGTAACACTGTACAAATGCCGAATACTGGAGGGCAGTGTATGTCGTTGGATAATTGTAAATCAGACTTTTTAATTCTTCAGCAGACGTTGAAAAGTTGTGGTTGTTCTTGCGTGCTGAAAAAAATGCCATTAATTAAATTGATTGTTAAAAAAATTTTATCCTCGCTCTTATCCTCATCTCATCTACACTGCAGAAAATAATCTTTTATTTGCTCACCTTCGTTCACGAAGAAATCTGCAAAATACTGACTGACTCTTGTGGCCTTTCGACCGTGCGGTATGTTCTTGGTATTCTTCCACTCATAGATATTTTTTTCCGGATGAAACTGTACACCGTAGAATGGATAGACTTTGTGTTCCAGAGTCGAAATAAATTCCAAACCGTTCCGATCATGATTCAGCGACATCACACGAAATTCCTTAGTTAGATTGACCTTCTTTAAATCCTGAAAGAAACATTAAAAATAAAGCATACGTAGTACACGTGTACGATAGCTGTCTGATTTGACAGCTGTCATGATATTCGTCACTCAGTCGGTAATCGAGAAAGAATTAAAGTCGTTCATGATTTTTCGAATTTTGTATATCCTCCGTGAGTGCGAGAGAGAGGGTCTCATACGGATATACGTGCGTAAGAGAAGGACAGACATACCGGTCACTCGAATTCTAGGTTAATACTCCGTTTCTCGAATTGAGTCTACCGCATCTTTTAATCTAATTATTATTTAAACTAATACTCTGTCAATTTAATATTTTTTCATAAAAAATACCAACTTGCTCTGTCACGCAGTAGCGGTGATAATTCGCTGTGACTTCTTCGTTCCAAAGAATGTCAACGATGTCATTCGGTACCTCGTGGAACATTCTGCTGTCTTTAAAATCTGTAGAAAAAATGTGTCCAGGTTTTTTGGTACTTCGTTTTGATACTCAATTTTTAAGGGATGAATATTTATTTTTTTTACCAGATTTAAATTTCAGCGGCAACGGCTGGTCGTTACTGGAACACGTGCTTCTGTGTTCAACACGATTTGCGGCGAGATACGTTAACAATTCAAATCCTAGACAAATACCCCAGAGAGGAAAGTAATCACCATTGTCATTGGCTCGTTTGGCAATTCTGTCAATCGATTAACTATTATTTATTGTACTAATACTGTGTAGTTAATTCAGATAAACATATACGGAATATACCTGTATATCGTTTCACCGGCATCTGCATAACCGTTGCTTTGATTAAAGTAAGTCGAACCACCAGGAAATAAGACTCTGTAAGAAAAAAAATTTGATTTAAATTGAAAAAAAAATTCAATAAACATTCATACATTTTTTGGTCTATGATAAATGATTTACTGCATACATAACAATTAACAATTTTGCCGGTATAGATTAATTTACCCATTTACTTTCCGCAGAATGTCTTCGTAGTAGGTTTCGTTTTGACCGATCCTAAAATATAGGAGATGTTTCTAGGTTATGTTTTTTCCCGGAAAAATTTATAGTTTGTTTATTTTACCATATTGGTACCACGCGTGCGCCTGCTCCTTCGACGAACTTCACGTAGGATGCTGCGATATAACTGGTGTACGAATCTGGATACTTCTGGTTCAGGTGGTAGCTGATTTCCTGAGTAAGGACGCCTTAAGGTTTAATGAAAATATTACATAAGTTTTATTGATCGCTGACCGAGAGATTATTCCTGGTGGAATATTACCACATTGATATTGCACTGATAACGATAAATAATCCTATTCGTTAATAGACTACGAAATTGGTGATATTAAATAATTCGATAATAGAATCAGCAACACAATCGCCGCTTTTTTCACGATAAATACTAAGATAATAAATCGCGATAAATCAATTCTTTATTAAAATATCTGATAAATATCGATATCGTACATAAATCACAATATGTCATTATAACTAGGATGTTTTTAATATTTACTTAGTCGATTAGACGATTTCATCCCATCGAAATTTCACATACTTAATATCACAGTGTTTAGGACAATTGATAAACAATAGGTTGCATAGGTTTGTAAGAACAAACCCTCGAGTGATGGCATTTTTTGCCATATGAAATTTGCATCTATCGATAGGAGCTGTCAGATCTTGCAACACCGTTGAAAAAGTAAAAATATATATTAAAAGAGTCCGGACCTCTCGTTACCATGCGAGTCAAATGTAACTGAAAATCGTAAATAATAGAATTTTGACATAAAATGTTTTTCGAACGCGAACTTTACATCGCAAGGTTAACAATGATTTTGATATTATTTTTGCAATAATTAAATGAAAACTGAGAAATTAATCCGAGTCGAAATTTTTCAATTTTTCAAAACCACATTGAAATGTAAAGATACGTCAAGAAAAGATCTGGAGTCCCTTTAAATACCAATTATGCATGTACTAAAGGAATACTAGAGGTATGACTTAAGAAAAATTAAAGAATCGATTTATCGATGCAGTCACAGTCTAACGAAATAGATAACAAGGCTGCAAAGTAGAACCTTGCAAAATGCTTCCTCATTATTTTACTTGGTTTTTTTCTATCACAATGATGCAAAGTAGAATCTTACACTTTGCTTCTTGATTCTTTTACTTCGTTCACAAAGCCTTCACTATGAAGAAGTTCTTTGATTTATTTTGGCTATTTATATACATACATACAGTTAAAAATGAGGTAAAAAAAAAACAAAACAATAACGATAATTTTTTGAAAATTTCAAAACCACGTAAAATATGAACCGTTTTAGCGATCTTGTCGAAATTCAATACCAAACAACATTGAACGTATCTTCAATTATGAAGAACTATTTAGCTAAATCGTCGAACCTTTACGAAAGTTAGAGTGACAACGCCCTTTTTTCACAAAATTTTAAATTACATAAAATCTGAATAGCTGCATATATTTCATTAAAAATCGCAACATTTAAAGAGGGATATCTACTTTACTTGCGTGCCAAATTTCAGTCCGATCGTTCTAACGGTTACAGAGTAAGAGGCAATTGAATTTTCGAAGCCCTGCACACACACACACACACACACACACGCACACGCACGGACACGCGCGCGCAGACACACGGACACACGGACATTTTTTCTAAACTACTTTTCTTGACGTTTTAGACCATGTTAAGTATTCTAACATGAAAATCTCGAAAAAAAAAAATTTTGCATGAAAACATAGCTTCCTCTATGAGGAAGCAAAAAGGGGGTAAAGGGAGTAAAATAAAAAAAATTGGACGACATTAATATCGTACAGTTAAAATCAGCAATTAATCTTGAATGAAACTCACCTATGATTGGTCGGTCGTTAAGATTTGCATTCACCTCGACTAGAAACAAAGAGTTGCTTTGATCAACTATGTAAAAGAGAAATATAATCGAAAGGGCAATAACGAAGAAGGATGATGATGCCCTAGCGATTCTCGACGCCATTACGTTCGACGCCCTCTAAAGTAAACTATTTGTACAAGACTGCAGTAATACGGTTCTTCTTATATCTAGACTGTTCTTCTACTGTATCGAATTAATTAGGAGATCTTCGCCTAGTGACTGACTGCTAGAAACTGGACAGATAGATCGTTTCTTGTTAATAATATCAGTTATCAATGGGTTATCGTCCGGTACATTCGATTAGATTTCACACAGAGTGGAAATTCATGCAACATATCATTTCTGAAGGAAAAACGTATTTTTTTTACTGTTTTTAGGGCAGAGACCTCTCTTTAAAGTAATGTGCGATAAGAGTATAAGTGAAAATGAAACGAAAAGAGTATGACAGTAAAACTGATGCAATTTCGAAGCAACGATCCGTTATTTTCCTTTGTTGTACAGTGCCATCTATACCTTTTGGATGAAAGCTAGTAAAAGACACGAGATATAGAGGTCGGTACAATCTTTAGGAAATTGTTGTTATCGACTCTTGATAAAATCAATCCCTGCTTTTCTTAGGCTTTATCCAATTTTGCAGTGTGTTTCAATTGCACTAGACTTACCTACGGTGTACTCAGACCCTAATGACTGAAAACGCAATGGAATCTTTAAGAACGCTGATTCTGTAGTTACAAAGTTGATCGTGTTATGGCCGGTTTCTTCACCTCCAGATAAGTTGCCGATAACTTTATACGAAAGATATCTAGCAGAATCGGTTCTCTTCAACTCCGTATAGTTCTTATCCGACAGACAAAGTTATACACCACCCACAGTAGCAGATATCTAGCAGATATTGAATTCAGCGCCACCAAGTATTGTTATAGTAAACTACAGCCCTCCCTCCCCTCACGCCCTGCTACGAAACCATTCGCGCGTTTTCTATTCTTTTATTCTTGTGAAAATACAAACACAATAATGGATTTGTTTATAAACATCCATATTTTTAATTCTGATGATGACTATGAAGATTATGAATTTCTAGAAAGAAGACAGTATACAATTCAAAGTAAACCCAATAATTTTCAAATGTGGGATGAAATCGAATTTTTTCAACGATACCGTTTGAAAAAAACTACAGTGCTTGAATTATTGCATAGGATTCAAGAGCAATTGTTAATACAGTGAAACAAGTATGTACTCCATTCAAATACTAAGGTTAATTTATAATCTAATATTATTGTACAACAAATAGTTGATGGAATATTTTCTGTTCTAGATCAGGATCTTTGACACCAATGAATCCGTTGCTATTAACATTGAGATTTTAAGCTACGAGAAATTTTTCTCGTGCTTTTGGTGATTTTAGTGGAGTGAGCATTAATACAGCGAACCGGGTTGTTGCTAAAGTATCCATGGCCATCACTTCATTATCAAAATCAATGATCAAAATGCCTCAATCTAATGAGGAAAATTTTTTCTTCGCCAGCTGTCAAAGTCGCTTGGCATTGACCGCCGCCAGTTTTCGTTTGTTCGCTTTTGAGGAACGAGCATTTTTTGCGGATACCTTTTTTAATTGTATCATATTTGGAACAAATTGTTTTCGTAAAGCGTGAAAAATTTCCTGAACACGCATTGAATTGCTCGCTTATTTTCTCCCACGCTTTCTTTTTCTCCCGCCAATTTGTTGCATCGGTTCGTTTATTTTCAATAATATTTTTATATTTTTCTTGCTCCCTAAGCCGAAAGTACCGTCTTCCCGGCCGCATTTGAGTCCGGGAAGAGCCACTTTTGTGGCCTGCTTGCCTGCATATAAACAAATGTAAACAAGTGAATGTTCAATCATAAACTCTAACTGTTCATAACCGTAAATTTGTAATGTCAGTTGAATAATAAAAACGGGAAGACGGTACTTTTGGCTTAGGGAGCAAGAAAAATAGTATAAGACACATAGCCAAGAAGTTAAATGCCCTGGCGTATGTGATATAAAAGCCTCGGCTTCGCCTCGGTCTTCATATCACATACGCCAGGAAATCCAACTTTCTAGCCTAGGGTCACAATATACTATTAATGCAATATCAATCAATAAATCGATTTTACTTTTCGTAAAATTAACTCTTCTCTTTTCCTTCTCCATTATTATTTACTTACGTATAGCAATTCCTTATATCCTAACCCCTAGTACCCGTATTTAAATTAAACAAAATACTCGCGGTTCGTTTCACACCAAATAATTCCTAGTAATATTCTAGTTCCTTTTATACATTCTGTGTTAAAAATTAGTCCCATCGAGGATAGCTATCTGTGAGATGCGATACAGTGAAGAAAACGGACCTTTTAGATATCTAACGGATATCTTTATCCGGAGGATAGCTATCGGGATGTGTGAATAAACCGGCCATTAGTGTCTCGTATAACACTATGCGTTATTCAATCTTATGAGAGTAGGGAAAAAGAAAAATAAATAAAAGTCAAAACATTTTTTGATAGAAACTGCACCATATAAATACAATTTTAAACAAGCTGCAAGTTGAAACTTGCAATTTGCATCCTTCGAATCGTAGGTAGTGTGCGAAGTCCCTATATGAGGAAGCATTAAAATTTTTTTTTAAATCTTTGCCTTCCTCATGGATGAATCTTCATCTACTACCAATGATTCAGAGGAAGCAAATTGCAAAATTAAAATTCTTGGCTTCCTCATATAGGGACTTCGTACACTACTTACGATTCGGAGGAAGCAAATTGTAAGTTTCAATTTGCAGCTTGTTTAACGTGAGTCCCCATGCCTCTCACAACTTGGGGTGATTCGTACTGTAGAGAACGCATGTAAGGATAAATCACGTGCATCATCTCTTCGGGCCTAATATTTTTGAATCGGCTGAAATTCAAAAACTTGAATATATGTATAATCAGATACGTTTTGCCGATCTCAGCCAAATTTAAAACATATAACGGCTAAATGATACTATGTACTTTTGGAAAATTGGAGCTCAATCGGTCAAAGTTGACGGGAGTTATATTGATAAATTTAATTTTTCGAAAAATTCAAAATATCATAAAATCAAAACTTCTCGATGGATTCGGCCCAAATGCAATACCAACCAACCTTGGATACAAATCTCTTTCTCAAGAACTATTTAGACGTTTATCACAAAATTTGCGATCGCTAGAATGATAACGTCCTTTTTTTGGGAATTTGAAAACGACATAAAATCCGAGCCGCAGCTTGAATCATGACGAAAATTATAGCCAATAAAGGGATTATAGAGCTGCACATGGCTGCAAAATTGGGGAGCTGTAGCTAAAACCGTTTTCGAGTTATACACGTTTGAATTTTGGGAGGCCATTACACACACACACACGCGCGCGCGCGCGCGCGCGGACATTTTCTCCAAACGTGTTTTTTCGACGTTTTGGCACATTCTGAACATGTTGACATGAAAATCTCGACAGGGAATAGTTCCTCTATGAGGAAGCAAAAATAAATAAAATTCACTTACATTCATTGTCAACTGTCATACAATATTCTTCTGTTTTTCGTGCAATCGTAGAACTTTGCATGTCGAATCTACAGTATATAATTTATGAAATAAGAAACAATATAATATAAAAAAAAATAAGTTTTACTATTAGTTTAGTTTATTAATTTTACTTTAGTTTTTCTATTCGACTCTTTTATCGCTGAAACACCCGTACTTATATCTTATTGCGATTTAAATAAACAACTGCTTGAATGTTCGTGCAAGAATGTCATTCCATAAATAAGCAAGAATGCATGCAAGGAATACACTGATAAGAAAACAATGTGTCGATAAGGTAGAGAACATTAATGAACATGTTGGAAAATAATAAGAGAACGTGGGTCTCGGTTTCCATGATTTATGGTGAGTGCTTTTGTACTGTAATTCAAGATGGCACTGCCTCCAATCGCATTTGTAGCCTCATCTTTCTGCATGAAACATTTACTCATATCATTAGAGTGTATTAGAACCACGAAAGTTAATTGCGTGCGTTGAGTGTTCTGTGTTTTTATCCTAGCGTAAGCCACGCTCAAGGCACGTTTCGTGTGAATAGCCACAGCGTTAGTAATAACTTCACGAAACAAAAATGGTACGATAATCTATAAATTATTATAACTAGAAGAATAATGAACATGTGGAATAAACTAGTGACGAGGTTATGTTCACACGCTGCCGCGACGCACGCGGCATTTTCAATGATACTTTACAATTCTGTAAAATATTTATCTTTCTTGCTATCTATTTACAGACGGACGAAGTCAATCCAAAGGCTTATCCCTTAGCAGACGCCACGTTGACTGCAAAAATTTTAAACTTGGTTCAACAAGCTATGAATTACAAGCAACTACGCAAGGGAGCTAATGAATCTACCAAGACTCTCAACAGAGGCTTGTCAGAGTTTATTGTGATGGCTGCAGATTCTGTGCCATTAGAAATTTTATTGCATATTCCATTGCTTTGCGAAGACAAAAATGTCACTTATGTCTTTGTACGCAGTAAACAAGCATTAGGTCGTGCTTGTGGTGTATCCAGACCTGTTGTTGCCTGCAGTATTACAGTCAACGAAGGCTCTCAACTCAAACCCCAGATTCAGGCTATACAACAAGAAATCGAACGGCTCTTTGTCTAAATATTAATGTATCTAATTTTTGTTATATTCCAAATTATGAAAAGACAGGACTGTAATTCTGTAGAATTCATATTTTTCATTGTAACATTTCAATATAAGGTAATTAAGAAACAGTATGGTTAAAAAAATTGCTATAAAATATCCATAGATAAATAACAATCATTCGTTATAATGACACATATTATGTGGATTACTGACATGCAATATTTTTGTTTGCAAAGAATTACCACTGATATGAAGATTATTGTCGTCCTCATAAGGTTTGAAACATAAATAAACAAATTGTACAAATGAAATGAATTTTCTTCAACAATATCAAAGTAATTGCATAAATTCCTGACTAAATGAATAAGACTGGTTTGTAAGTCAACAATGTCATGTGGTTATCATTTTGTTAACCTGGCCTGAACTTCCATTCCACGACTCTGACTCATTGAATGAATCCAGTGGCACATTTTTCCAATCGATTTAAAAATATGAAAAGAAAATTACAACAGAATACAAATCAAACTGGTATTAGTTCATTAAAATTCTCACACAAATATATTAGTATGAGAAATACATTTTAATCTTTATAAGTCTCGCCCAGTCATAACTGCACTGTACATATTAAAGTATTTCTGGTTTCAAGAAACAAGAAATATATTGTGCACAACGCATTTCAAAATCAGTTCCACTGAAAACTATAAAAATAACTCAAACAAGACAAAATTAAAATTAAAGAACATTTGTTACTGTGAAAAAAGTGATGTAAACCTATATTGCAAACCCAATAGAACAAAACTTCTGATATTCAAACAGAAGAAATAAATTTCATGAAGTATATGTATACACAATGGAACATCGCACAAAGCAAAAAAAAGGGATCAAGCACTGGTCACAGATTATTCACTGAAATAAGGCAACACTTTGAGCGACCAATTACCATGCCATCGCAATTCCTGAAATTTGATTAACTCATTTTTGAATCTTTCCTCTCTTTTCCGTTGTTCCGTGCTATTTGGAAAATTCTTAAACCAGCTTTTCAGTTGGTCAGCTAATTCTCTATCGCCCAAGAACACCAAGCTGTTTTCATTGTGCTTCACCAGCTCGTGGATGCTGCGAATGTTTAAGATCAAGAAATAAAAAAACTACATTCTTATTGCATACTGACCATGCACAAAGATCTTACCATTGATATTTATAGACGCAAACAGGAAGTCCACATCCGAACATGTCTACTACTTTCATGGGTAAATCAAGACCACTCGATGAGGAGTGAAGGGAAACTCCCAAATCAGCACTTGCTAAAATAGTCGAATGAAATACAAAATATAATACTAATAAACTAGAATTAAAAAACGCACCTAATAGTTTAGGATAATCTTCTGTTTCAAGCCAAGGTGTTATGATAGTTACATGTTTCCATTTTTTTAATTTAATTATGGAAATATAAAAATCTTTCAATGGACCCCGTCCAGTTATCACGCAAATCAGATCTGGTAGTTTCAATTCATTGGTATCAACAACAATCTCATAATCTGTGGAATACAGTAGAATGTTTCTGCTACAATATTCTATATTAATACTGCATCATTATTTGCAAAAAATAAAACCTTCTAAAGCATCTAGTAGCACAGAAAAATCTTCATCTTCGGTCCAGCTAGTGCTCGATACTATTAAACCAGGTCTATTGGGACGCAGTACTATTACTCCATCTGGTAAACACTCTGTAAATGCTGTGGAATTCTTTTTATCACCTTTGAAAACATCATAGGTTTTGCTTAATCTCAATAGCAATTCATGCTTCTCTTCCAACCGTATTGGATGAAATTCATCTGCTGGTCGATCATAAAGTACCTCAGCCCTAATATTATTGAAAAGTATGATTATATTATTGAATACTATACAAAATCATTAAAGCCATAATTACACACTTGATGCCCCACTCTTCTTCTAAATTCATTTTCATAGCCTTAGTAACACAGAAACTTTTACATGCCTGCCTCCCAAAGAAGGTCTCGATACACTTTGCTGCCTTAACTAGCAAATGATTCCTTCCCAAACTCAAAGCCATTATAGAATGAGCATAATTGTGCCAGTCTATAATGAACTGTGCTCTCACAGCAAAACAATAAAGCCAACAAACAAATATTGTTGGTATAGCCGGTGGATTTTGCATGATCAAATAACTCGAGTGTTGTTTAAAAAGCACAGCAGCCAATGTAACAGTTTGCCATAGTACTTTCAAAATATATGATGGCAAACGTGACAATCCTGCAAAGCATTAAAAAATCCAGTGTATTGAATTCTCTGAATTTCATTGTCAAGGACAAGAATTGTATGTACGAAAAGCTAGAAAAAAAGATGCCAACGTACAACGTGGCAAATAATACAAAGGCGAATTAAACAATATTAACATCTATGATAAAATAATTATTTATAACAATAAAGTACTCACTGTCCTGCAACTCTGGAGGAGGTTTTAGATAATGAATTTTTACGGAAGAATTCTCTCGCAACTCCTTCAAAGGCGGAGAACCCGGGTAACCTATGAGATTTACCGTGAAACCTTCTTTCACGAAAGATAAAGCATGATATTCCATTCTTGGGCTTCTACCCAAATCGCCCAATACAACGACACAGACATTTTTATCTTTACCGCGAGTAACAAGACATAGAACTCGTATTATTATTAATATAACAGTAACACTTAATAACCAACACGTCAAGCAAACCATTGTTGGAACTTTGAAATTTTCCGCAAACCGTCATTCACTCCTGTCATTGGTGAATGCCGACCAATGTCGACTGATGTCGACGGATACTGCAGACACTGGTGAACGAAATCACATACCACATATTGATTACGAACAGTTCCTTTTATACTAGGACGCCATCTGCTGTCTGAAAATTCTAATAAAGTTTATATGAAGAGACCACTCTTGTATTTTGTAGTTGATGCAAGTTGATGATAAGAAAATGTTGGCGGTTGGCGCTGTAAAGCGCCAAAAGAGGAAAACTGGTGAAAAGTGATTGAAAACATTACTTGGACGGGTCTTCTTATTTAATGAAAAGCATTTTGACAATCTGTGAAATAAGTCTGATAATCATGAAGAATTTGAGGCGTTATCTTACTGACTCTGTGAAGACTTGTGAGCGTTCATCGGTCAACTCTGAAGAGGTTATTAAAGAGCGCGGGAAGGTCGACGATGGGCCTGATTCAGGGTGCACTCCCAGGAAGAAACGTACTCGAGTGAAAATAAAAATTACTCAAAGGAATTCGGAGGGTAGAGTTTGCGATATTATTGAGAATAACAGTGACCTTGTGGATAAGACTCCAAGTCCATTTTCTAAGGTCGATAATGAGAATTTAAAAAGTTCTCGAACGGATACGCCAAAACGATCAGTACCAGGTGACATTTCGGCCAAGAGTAAAAGTTCTAACAGTACCTCGAAAAAAAATAATTTGGTTGATGTAACTTCATCGTATTCAAATGACAGAAACAGTATGGAATGTGAAATAGGTAGTTATATAGAAGAAAAACATGAAGTTGATTAAATGGAATATGTTTTTCAATAAAATTAATTACATTTCAGAAACTGTTAGGTTGGATAAAAATGAAGGAGATGATGTAATTAGTAACAGCGATGAGAGGGTGGAATCTAATGCATTTGATGTACTTATGACGAGAAACAAACCAGTGGAGCTTAATCCTCCACCACAATTGTCTCCGCAAGAGGCAGAACACCTGGCTAAAAAAGGAGAGGAGACTAAGACTAAACTTAAACAAAATAAAGAGAAATTAACTTCCTTAGCTGACAAAAAAGGCTATGCCAAAAGAAAGCTTGCAGAACTTGAAGAAAGTGAAAGAATAGAAAAGAGAATACACAACAGAACAAAAATGTTTAAACAAGAAGCTAAGAAAGATAGTAGTGAAATTGTTAACTCATCTACTGGACAAAGGCAAAATACTCATAATTTACTTAATTATTTCAGGTAGCCATTGATGAATAATTTATGTAACCTCATTCATTCATTATATTAAACCTTGAAAGAGAAAGACCAATGTATTATTTTTTTATTTTAGCAAAACAGCACCAGAACAAAAAAAAATAGATGCCACAATGTCATCGACTATTGTTGTTACAGCAGATATACATACTCCTCATGTAAATACCTCTACACCAATTTTACCAAAAAATTCTTCAGGAACTGTAGAAAATTCTAAGAGGAAAAAACTTAAATCAAGAAATTTTGTATCCAATGTGGATGATATCAAATTACTGAGATCTGAAATTACTGATCCAAATAGTTCTCCAGAGGAAGTACAGGGAGAACTAATAAGGAATAAACCAAAGTGGTCCTTGCGAATAAAACTTCAGTCTCACGACAAAGAAACATCTGCATCAGGTAAAGTATTATTTATTCCCACAATTAAAAATGGAGTTGAAATACTATATATAAAAATGATGAAAAACAAAGCGGGAGTCTCCCAAATCGGAAAAACCGATGTGGTCGACGGCAATGAAACCTTTCACTTTGATCGCTGATTTTTTTTATTTCGGTTTATAAAGAAATTGACTTCTGTAGAGGTTGAACGGTTTAGAGAAATTTAATTGTTTCAGAAATTGAGGATATGAGTGATGAAGCCATGTTTTTGCCAAGAAACAATGAAAAGACAAGACGAAAGCTGTCGCTTAGAAAAACAGGAAAAGTGTTAATTACCAGTACTACAGATTCTACGACTGAGAGTCGAGAAATTAAGCGAAACAGCAGAACTACAAGTGAGAGTATTAAAAAAAACGAAAGGAGTAACGATACGAAACTAAATATGAAAAAGAAATTCGATTCCAAAATGGAGAAAATTGAAGAAATTGATGTTAGCATTGTAACGATTGACAGTGATACGGCAGAGCAAGAAAATGGTAAAGTCTCTAAAGAGAATGTCCCAAAAATAAATTCTCAAGACAATTTTTCAAAAAGCAATTCTCAGGAAAATTATCCAAAAAGGGAGAAATTGGCTCCACTTTTTACAAAGTGCCGAAAACCCGATCCTGCTGTTCTGGCAGCTCGCAGATCCTTCTTGCAATCTAACTTAATTGAAAATAATAAAAGACCACATAAAAAATCAGATTCAAATGATCCAAGAAGTCTTCCTATATTACCATTTCCAAAAATCAGTCACGTGACTCAACTCACTGATGAAATGGAATATGAAAATATAAATTACAGTAATGTTAGAATAAATTCATCCTCAAAATATGAACCTGTACTCGACGTGACCCAGTTTCAATTCGTGGTTGGACCAAAAAGTTCTACATATGAATTAGAATCAGCTAATCAAGAAATTAAAGCAGATCCTAATGATATCTTGAAAGAAATAGAAGAGCGTTGTTCTGACGCAAGAAATATGTGGGATAAAATTGTTCCTACAAATAACGAGGAACCAAAACAACGATCTCTTCGTGGGCAAAATAGAAAACGAAGATCAAATGATAAAAAAGAATCAAAACAAAAGGAGGAAACTGATAAGGTAAATTCTGTGTGGACCTACAAATATAAGCCCACCAGCTCTAAAGAGGTAGTAGGCAATGAGGATGCTGCTGTGAAATTAAAAAATTGGTTAGACAGTTGGAAATTATCATTACCAACTGACGGCTGTGATAGTGAGGATGATTTTTATTCATCAGACTGTAGCTACATCAGCAGACGTGATAATGATCAAGTGGCAATTCTGCTAGGACCGCATGGTAGTGGTAAGACTGCAAGTGTGTATGCAGTTGCTGAAGAATTAGGTTACAGGTTATTATCTTGATTTTTATCATTATTCGACCTATTTAACACCATATGACATCCACAGTCAAAGGGTTAAAAGATATCAGTGCCAAATAATATTACTTTACTTATTCGTAGTGTATTGGAAGTCAACGCTTCTACAAAGAGGACAGGCAAGAAAATTCTCAAAGAGTTTCAAGAAGCAACGAAATCTCACAGAATTAAAAAAGACTCTACACAATCAACTCTGATATCAACGATGAAGGAAACTATGAAAAAGATACCACAAAAGTCACTGATCCTCGTGGAGGATGTGGATCTTATATTTGAAGAGGATGAAGGATTTATCTCAGCCACCTTTCAACTAGCATCCAATACAAAACGCCCCATAGTAATGACTTGTGGAAATACTTGTGTTCACTTAAATAAATTAGCACCGCAACAACTTAGAATATATTTCCAACCAGCTACAGGAAAACGAGTATCGGCTCACCTGGAACTGATTTCATTAGCAGAGACAGGTCACAAACTTCCACAAGATTGCTTAGAAGCAAGTACTTGTTATTTTAGTTTTTAATTATTTGCAAGCAAATTTGTACTAAAACATTTTTTCATTTAATTCTAGAAGCTCTTGGAACAAGGTGACTTAAGGAAAGCTCTACTGCAATTACAGTATTTATTACTCTCTGGAAATCCGCGCATGACGTCATTATCGGCAACTCACGATACTCTATGGCAAGATATGCGGTACTGCATTTACAAACCCGCCGTAAAGGCTGGTAAAAAAAAACCGAAAAACATAACAGATGTAAAAGTATCTCATTCTAATCGCCACGATGAAACCGTTCTGAATAATTTAGCTGATAATTTAGATAGAATTTCTTTGTTATCTTCCTTGACAGAAGTTCAGGATCCTACTGAAGCTTCTGTGAATCTAATAGCACCGTGTCTCTCACTTGTAGACGATATAGAACCCTATTCGAGTCTAAATGATCTTAGCACAGAAATAGCTGATTGGCTCAATCAGAAAGTTCTTCACAAAGAAACCCTACTGAACGCTTCGAAAGCATCTGTTCGACAAATAGGATCACAACTTTCCATAAAAAGACAAGTTGCTACTGGCGTTAGTATCGCACTGTCCCATGTAGTTCAGTTCTCTCTGGAACGTCGGGCCATGTATGTTGATTATCTACCGAGTATCAGAACGATATGCAGAGCAGAACATATTCGAAGTACGAATAACGAGAAAAGAAGCAGAAGGTTCTTTCACTATTTACAAAATTTTAATCTGCCAAGCGCTTCAACCAAGCCGAATATTTTAGCAATGGCGTGTAAATCCTTGCAAGAGAAAACCGTAAAGAGCAAACAAGAGTAATGAATATATTAGAAGTAAAATTATTAGGGTCTCATCAGTTTCAAGTGAAATATGAGTTATCGGTTACAGTATAGAATTTTTATAATATATATTAGTAGAGTGGTTTGCCGTTGGATTTGTTTTACTAGGGCAGTTTCTTTACAAAATGTTTTATATAATTTTTTTTATACCTACAGAACCCTTAATACCTTAGACACCCGACAATAGTCTCTAATACCAATTTCGTTTTGCATGACATAACATGACATTCGGTGTTTGTATGGCTAATATCATGAGTAAAATTATTCCTAATAAAAAATTCTGGACTGCTAATGATAAAACGCCAATTTTCAGTAATTAGAAAAAGAATGAAATTAATTACTACTCAAATCTGTGTTTTGAAACTGTTTACAACGGAATATGAATAAAGTTATTTATTTTCAAAGGATGGTTTTATTTCCTGCACTTTGCCGCGGTACAGTATTATCAAAATGCATAAATTAAATTTTGATGTGGTGAAGCTTACGGTTGAGCTCCTCGAATTTGAGAATCTTGCGGATGAAGAAATCGCCATAACGATGCGCCACCTTCGTGTCAGCAATATGGATCATATCATGATCAATGTAAAAGTCCAGCTAAAGAACAATAAATTACCAAATTAAATCATAAAGGTGATAAGGCTATTAATCCGATTAAAAAATGAGGATAAAACTAACCTCAGAGCCAGATTGGAATTTTCCCTCCAATCCAGATGCTCCCTTGGTCCATACAATGTTCTTCATCTTGTGTTTAAAACACAAGAGGTGAATAGTCAACTCATGAACCTCATTCTCCAACTCCCAACTCTCATCCGGTCTGCTACTGCACATAAATGTGGCCAATTTGCTCAGAGGAAGTGTAGTATACAATTTCAAGTAGGATCGAATAGTAGGCAGCATCTTTTGCTGCAATACTTCATCCTTGAAGACACGAGTCTGATGCCTGATAGCTTCCTTGACGTAATCTTCTCCAGGAGTGTCTGGACCAGGTGGAGTAAGAGATAAGAATTTTGGACATGCGTAAAGGAAGCACGATTCGAATTCCGCCATATCTCCATATTGCATCTTGTACATCTTCTCGTGATAGTTCCTTTCTCTGAGTGCTTGTTGAAGACCCTCATCAATGCATTGTGGATGAAGAACCAAACAAATTGCAAGTAGATGATACATTTGTTCCGTTTGCTTGTTTATCTGATCATTCTGATAGCTCCTGGCAGCGAAGAGTTGTTTAGTTCTTTGAATGTAAAGTAAAATGCCAGAAAACGTTCTGATGGCATCAGCATAACGACGCATCATCATGTACGCAAAGCCCACATAATAAGCTGTCGATATCTGGCAGCCAGGAACATGAGAGTATGCACTCTTCTTGTAGAGTTCCACATTCTCGAGGACTTTAATAGCCTGGTAGTAGTCACCAAGTAAGGAGTGTAACCGGAGCAGACCTACCAGTGAAAAGTAACCAAGCATTTTGTAGAGAGAATGCCGGCCAAAAACTCCAGCTACTGAATCAGGATCTCCTCCACTGGCATAAACCTCGAGCTGACTTTTGATCTTTGATTTATCCACCAGGTAGTGCAGTACATTAAGTACACAAAGAACATCCCACACTTTATTATGGGTGTTTAAGCCCTCGATTTCCTCAGCAGTCTTATTTGAATGATTTGCTCGGTACTGTGTGAATGATTGAAATTGGTACACAAATTCATCGATGAGCTCCCATAACCACTGATCAGGTAGTTCCAGTTGAACTGGTGTCTCTGCATTCAGAATATAATTAAAGAGGTCGCAGTAGTTATAAAATGATCCAAGGCGTTGCTCCAAAGTAGGTCCTTGCATTCGTGCGTATATATGACGGTAATATAATTCCTTATAAAGAATCAGGAAAGCCTGATCATTCTCGACGATATGGGCAACGGCGTTCTCATCTGGCCAGGACGTCTTATCGAAAAATTGCTCCGAAAGTTTCGGGAAGGAGTTTTCGTAGAGGTTCTGGATTTCGAAGATCATACCCTCGTTTATGCAGTTACGAAAGTAAATGAGGAATTTCCTCACGACGTCAGGTACCTCACGGTAGCTGGACCTGTCATATTGACTAGCATGCAGGTCCGAGGGACCGTAATCGTCGTAAGTATCGTACTGTAAGGAAAACGTAGAGATAAAAAGAACCCCGATTAAAAAGAAAATCTAAGAATATTTTATATGCTTACCTGATCATTGTAATCGTCGTACATGATTATACAAATCCAATATATTGCGGTGAAAATATAACCTATTTACGGGCACCAGAAATATCGTGGGCCAAAAGGAACAAGCCAGCGCTGGCGCTTGTGGCTACTTGTGGCGAATAGGCTAAGAAGAATAAGGTGGATTTTCAATTAAATATAAGATTTCATTTCTGTTGAAACATGATAGATGGTGACACATGCGCTGTAGATGGCGGTGAAGTTGGAATCCTTTATTAACGCGGGATATGGGCACTTTTGTGTTGGCCAACAGTTACTTCAATTTCTTTGAAGTTCTTTGTTGTGTCATGGTTGGTGTAATTAGTTCTAATTGTAATAATTGTCATTTACCTATTCTCAAACATGTCACACATAAGTATCAGAAAGGTTTTTTATATTTTTATCTTTTATTTTATTTCAATTTTATGGAGGGGTTCCTAGCTGCTACCTTCTGATAGAATCGCACATTCGTTTTACAACAATATAATACGGTTTTTCAGGAAACAGCAGGCAAAATAAAACGCATATTTATGAAAAATTTCATGTGCCATGATGCTATGGAAGTTACCTTGAATCCAAATGTCAATTACATTGTGGGTCGTAATGGCAGTGGGAAGAGTGCTATTCTACTTGCCTTGGTGGTTGGGCTTGGTGCGAGGGCTCATAATACTAGCAGAGGGTCGACAATAAAAGGTATTATGATATAGATTGTCGAGTGGAACAGTACGTTAATATTGAATATAATTTTGTTGCTATTCCCATAGAGTTTGTGAAAAAAGGAAAGAACACAGCTTTAATTGAAATTACTCTGGCGAATGAAGGTTCTATGGCTTATAAGCAAGAAATTTATGGAGAATCAATCACTATCTCACGATCTATCGGTGGAGCATCCAAATATAGAATTAAAAATGCTAGTGGTACATTTGCTTAAATATTTGTTCTTTTAGTATCCTAAGTATTTCTTAAGTAGATCTTACTAGTTGAACATTACAGGTCACGTGATTTCTAGTAAACGAGAAGAATTAGATCACATAATAAGTGCATTGAACATTCAAGTGAACAATCCAATTTCAGTCTTGAACCAAGATGTATCCAGAACTTTTCTAATCTCTGCTGGACCTAAAGAAAAGTATGATTTATTTATGAAAGCTACTCGACTAGATGTCATAGGTAACAATTATAAAGAAGCCCGTGTAAAAAGTGAAGAAGCTCGTCAACGTCTCGAGAGAGCAAAGCAGGTACTACATTCAATCATTTCATAATGAACTTCAAATTTCAATAACGGCGTAGAACATTATATTATCTTGTATTACAGTCTTTGGCTGCAACAAAAAAAGATATTGATGAGCTAGAGAAAAAGTTACATACAATAGAATCGATCGATGACGTGAGAATTCAGTATGAAGCTTTGGAACACGAGCTTCAATGGGCTATTGTGAGATCTTAAGAGTGTAAAGCAACAACATAAATTCTCTGTTATCTGAGTGACTAATATGATAATTTACAATTCCAGGTAATCACAGAAAAAGAGAAATTAAGTCAATTAAAAGAAATAATGAGTTCTCACGAGGAGCGAATGAACAATATGCGTGCACAGATGGAATCGCGTGACTCGAAAGATTCCGAAATAACGCGTAAAATTGAGTAAGATTTTATAATTCATCACTACAGAATATACTATAAAAAATAATATTTAATTATTTCATTCCTCCTCCAAGAGAATACGAAGAAAAGATTCGTGACCTGGAGAGCGATATGCCAACGCACCAAACTGCTTATAAAACAGCAAAAGAACAATATACAAATAAGAAGCAAGAGTATTCAGATAAGCACATAGTGTATACGCAAGTTCAAAGTAAGATTAAGCGAATTGAGAAGGATGCAGATTTGTTGCGTAAAGAAATTGAGCGACTCGATTCGTACGTATTACGTCGCAACAATAGCGCCACGGAGTCTTAACGGAATTTTAGCAAATTTTTTTTCATTGCAGGATTAATCAGGCTGAAACAAAACGACGAGAAGCAGAAGAACAGCTGAAGAAGTTCGAAGAAGAACTTGAAGAAGTCGATGCTATGTTAAGAACTAAGCAAACTGATCAGATGCATCTTGCGACGGATACAGTGAGACTTAAACAAGAAGAACAAACTGCCCGGTCAAACGTAGAAATAAGTCGAAACGAAATTCGTGAGTATTTCTGACTCTACTGCTACTATCATCTGTTGGTCTGAATACAATAAGTTACCTGCCATCTCTTCGCAAGAATAAATTTATTGAATATTTTTACAATTTTGAATGCAATGACCAGGTTCAAGTAAGCATCGACTCAGCCAATTGAAACAACAGTCTGACAATAACATCACTGTGTTTGGTGCTAATATACCACGACTTCTGCAACGAATACAGGAAGAATTCAAAAGAGGGCGGTTCAAGAAAATGCCTCGTGGTCCTATTGGTATTAAAAATGTCCTTTTTTTGTTCCGACGTACAACGGATCTTAAGAGAAGATTATATTTATACTCTTATTTAGGTTCTCATATCCAAATGAAGGATAAAGCATGGACTCCGGCAGTAGAAAACTTCTTGGGTATAGGAATGCTAGGATCCTTTTGTGTGGACAATACCCAGGATGCGAAGACTTTAACTACTATCATGTCTGAGATATTCAGTAACAACGAAATGCCCACGATAATGTGCAGTAAATTCTTTGACAATGTTCATAATGTCAGCAAACATTCTACTTCTGCGCCAGGCTATATCAATATGCTGCAAGCTATGGAGATATCTGATCCTGTCGTCGCTAATTCTTTAATTGATGGACGAGAACTCGAGTGCGTCTTATTGGTACCAACGTGTGAAGAGGCTTTTAAGCTGATGGAAGATGCACGCAGAGTACCTAGAAATTGCAAACAATGCATAACTCTTCAGGGTGACACGGTTTATCCAGATCCCAACTACAGGGTTTACGGTGGTCGTCCTGGACTTAAGGCTAGAGTCCTTCAAGTATCAACTGCTGAAGCAATTCGGTATGTTTTACAGCAGGATCACTTGTCCTTAAAATTATAATACAGCATATGACTTAACTTTTGCGTTATCCAACTGGTAGGCAACTGGAAGATGAAACAGCTATTACTCAGGAAGAATTAAAAAATGCAATTGCAGTGCACTCAGATGTGCACAAAAAACTTAAACGGGCCACTTCTGAACTAAGAAAAGTGGATGAAGAAATTGGTAAATTACGATCCCTTAGAGTTAAATTAAACTCCAGCATGAGTGGACTTCGTGATAAGATGGCACAATATGAAACAGATTTTGCACGCGTTTTTGTAAGTTTCTTCAATTAGTAGACAAAATTGCCTTTTTAATTCATTTGCGAATTCTCGTATATACTCTTGTTCATCTAGAAAAAAGAGCTAACAGAGTTGGAAGAAAAACTTCAGCTGGAAAAGAAACGAGAGAAAGAATTGGCTACAGAAATCAGCGAATTGAGGAAGAGTCTTGAAACAAAAGAGATTGAAGTTAAAAGATGTAGAGAGCTTACAGAATCCATTGACATCAAACGCGACCCATTGAAGGTATTCTGAACTAAAAATTGTATAGTTGACAGACAGATTCTGTTATTTTATTTTTAATGGAACTAAATTGGCAAACTTTATTTCATTTTAGGAGAAAATAAGGGAACTCGAAAGAGAAAAGAGAGCCTTGCAAATGAATAATACGCAATACGAGCGTCAATTGCGGGATATTCAAAAAGCACTACAAATGGCTACAGCTAAAGTTGAAACGCAGCAAAGAGTTACCGACGGAGCAATAGCTAAAGCTACTGAACAATCTACAGAACAAAGTACAACAAGGTCTGGCACTTGTTATTTATTAATAATATTATCCTCTTTAATAGTTTTCATGTGCACTTTCAATATTCTTTCTTCTACAGATCAATCAATGAAATACAGACCATAATGGAAGAACTAAAAATAAGCATAGATGCAGTAGATGATCTTTGTGGGTCGAAAGATCATATACGTCAGGAATTAGATAAGAAACTAGAAAAGTATGGTGATATCATAGACTTCTCTGTTGCTGCAGAGAAAAGTAATGAGGTCAGTAATCGTTTTTCATTTATTTCTTATTCCTTGCACAATCACTGACTACAATAAAAATTCAAGAATGAAGATTTACCAGGATCATCTTTAAATTTTTAGGAACATCTAAATCGATTGAAGGAGCGTAAATCCCTATATGAGGACATGAAAAGTCACATTGTTAAAAAAGTACAAGAATCCTTTAAAAATATTCTAAGCTTACGCAAATATAAGGTACGTCAATTAAAACTCAAAATTTATTTTTCAAATCACAATTACTTTTACTTTATAATTTCACTTACAGGGGTGTATGAACATTAATCATATGAATCGTACCCTGGATCTTGAGATTAATCCTCAAACAGGAGCGAAGAGATTAAATAATGATGCAAGGTCACTGTCTGGTGGCGAGAGATCCTATTCAACTGTTGCTTTCATTCTTGCACTATGGGATTGTACGGGATTACCTTTCTACTTTCTTGATGAATTCGACGTTTTTATGGTAAGACTGTTCTTTTGTTTTAATGTTAAAAGACTTAAACTTGACATATGCCATACTAATCTACAATTCTCAGGACAAGATCAACCGAAGGACCATTATGGATATTCTTATGGACCATGCAAAGGCACATCCACAAAGTCAATTCACGTTTCTTACTCCCTTAGAGACTTCGAGTATTGTCCTTGATCACTACGTCACAATTCATCAGTATGTTTTAATCAACATTATCACGCATAATAGCTAAGTTTTTTTAATTCTTTACTAAAATTAATCTTCGTTGCAGACTAGCGCCACCTGAAAGGTCAGAAACCATGACGAGCGCAACTCAACCATAAAACGAATGTGACCTGTGCAATTATTACTGAGACATTACTCGCCGATGACGCTTAAAGTAGAGTTACGAGTTAAAAGTTATGTTTACTGAAGAAAATGATATATTTTGTACTGCGTTTTCAACAAAAAAAAAATAATGTTTATACGTTCAATATTGATACGACCTTGTAGCTATCATATTGCAACAAGAAAGATTTTTCTATAAAACTCCGACTAATGCTCTTCTCATTTTCTTTTCTCGAATAAAAAGAAAAGAACGATTCCCCCTAACGATATTTCTTATAATAATGATACACTTGGAAAGAAAGGTGTTTTAACGGTACGCTGACATCCATTACAACCGACAATATAGAAAGAGGGATAGCCAAGCAACTGGATCAAGGTTCAGGGCATTGCGCGAATCTGGTTTGAGCGCATTACCCCTCGTCTTCGTAATAAGTAACGTAAGAGTAGCAACCAATATTACATAGGTATATGTGTGAGCAAGCACGGCTAGTTCGTGGGAGAGAAAGAGAGCGAAGGACGCTATGTGGCTCAGGTTCAATTGTAGATATAGGCGTGGCTATATTAGGTAAGATCGGTAAGATCCATGCTCTCAGAGAAAGTGTCGAGTGGCGCTGCGGCGGTCATAGCCAGAGGCTTATAGTCCTCAGTGTTAGATCCTCTGATCCCCCCAAGTCCCCACGGACCAGACACTGGATACTCCTGATGCTTTTACGAATCAAGCGCCAGTCCAGACGAAGGATTGACCATGTGATTCTAACAGATTGAAAGAATGTATTTACTTGCTAAAAGATGATTTATTCAATAAATAATGGCTTTCGTAATTTAATGATAGTAGGCAGCAGCAACCGGGGCGGCGGCGTACTTAGCTACGGGGGCAGCGTATGCGAGAGGAGCTGGGGCAGCGTATTTGGCAACGACTGGGGCGACGGTCTTGACGGCAACGGTGGCGGGTTCCTTGTGGACGACGGCGTTGAATCCGTTGACGGGGTCAGCGGTGTATTCTACAACACGGCGGGTTCCGTCGGCTTCGATCAGGGAGTAGCTACCATGGACAACATCTCCATCACGGCTCTCTTGCTGGGTCTTGGCGTCACCGGTGATGCCATCATGGACATCGTAGGAGTAGCTGTACTGGGGATGAGGGTCGTAGTCAGCATCGACAGTCTTGGCGACGACAGCCTTGGCGATGGGTGCAGCGGCATAAGCCAAAGGTGCTGGTGCATGGTAGGCCAAGGGTGCAGCGGCTTGGTAGGCCACAGGTGCTTGGATCAGGTTTCCAGCATTGACAGCGGCCACGAGGGCGGCGAAGGCAACGAACTGCAATCAAGATTACTCAATCAATAAATGCATTTAAATTAATCATAATTAAAACCACTCTTCTAGTGATCGCTCAATTACAATTAACTAATCTATATTTCAATTCTACCTTGAAAGCCATTATGTGGTTTCTTACTGGAGCACTTTACTTTAGCCGATGTGCCTTAAGTGAGTGATGCCTTGAACGGGGGTTTTTCGACTTTTATACCATCAGTTGGGATCGGGGCCCTGTGATGTAACCAGGACTGAAGAACGGCCAGCCGGTTTGGCCAAAGCAGTCGGTCAGGTAGTCATGCAGCTGGTCCGACAGTTAGGCAGGCAAGCGGACGAGCGCTCGATTCGTGAAATTGGGCAAGAAGAAATTGGACCACACCCATGTCTCGCAGAAGCGGGCGGGTGGATCGGTTCAATCGGCTGGTGGACCGTAACATGGCTCTGGAAGAAAGTAAGACAGACTTAATAAGTGTATCCAAGAGAAAGAGAGAAAGGATAACCAATTACCAACGAGGGTAACCTACTGGGCGTGTAAAAGGGGCCACAGTGCTGAGTACTAGGCCGCGTCCTTGTCGCCGATTACCTAATCGACCTGACACACGCATTCACGACTAGCATCTACAGGAACACACATGAATTCGCTCTCTATCGATCGGGCTTATACGCAATCGACGACAAATTCGATTGTTCAATGTCGAACGACTCTCTTTAAATTCCTTTCCGGAAAATTTATCGTTCTATTGCCGACCCATGCGATGATTCTATTGGTCTGCTCGCACGTGAGGATGACAACGACGAATAGAAAGATTGCCAAAGGTACGAGCGACAGATCGCACCATTTCTCTTGATAAATATTCAGAGGATCGAACGAGTTACGCTTACGAAGCGTTTCCGTGACGATGAGGAAACTTTAGGTAAAAGAAATCGATTTGGAGTTTTGCGTCGAAATCGATATGCTTTTGGATTCCTCATTATGGAAACCTAACCTCTCTCTGGAACAGCGCTGGGTGTTAGGTTAGGAGAAACATGGTAAGTGGTACTAAAGCTTATGAAATTTTGCAATGAGTTTCATTTATCGATACTCCTTTAAATTTAATTTTTCCTTCTTTCCTTTAATCTCTTATTTTTAGTTTAAACGAATTTCGAATCCGGTCGCTGATTCCGAATCACCCTGAGACCTTGCGTAGCTTCGCATTCTCACTTCTCAACGCCTAAAGGCGAAAGGCGAATTATCCTCTATCCGGAAACCCGCTCCCGAACCGGAGCAACTTTGTCTCGAGGTCTATCATTTATCTTTCTTCCTCTCTCTTTAGTTTCTCTTTCTCTTGTACTCTCAACTGCGACCTCGTCCTCGCTCTTGTCCTCGTATACATATCAGCCGCTTACCGGCCCTTCCAGGGTGACTAACAATAATCCTATTATATATAAAAAGGATAAAGGGAGAAAAGTTATGAAACTGCTGAAAATTTTAAATCTATGTTTCGTGAAAATTTTATAATAAATTGCGTCTTATCGATTCTCGGTTAATGCAATCATATATTAAAGTGTAGAAGTACGATTTTAATAATCTAGACCTACCTAATTTATGTAAGCGTTCTACTTTTTCTAGTAGAGTGCTAAAATGATTTTACAGGTGACGCAAGGACGATATGCGAAATAACAGCTAGGCGGATCGAAGAACCGGTGTCTTAATCAAAATTATATCACTTACTGATGATTAAGTGCGATCGATTTCGATTGGTCTATTTTTATCAAGAGGATGTGGTCTCAAATGAAATTAGTCATTACTAAGGTAAAAAAAAACACTTCTAATGTTGTAAATTGACGTGGGACATTCCTAGTCAGGATTATCCATGTTGAAGAGATCCGGTGGCCAAGTTCAAGAATGAATTCCGTCAAACTGATGCCGAAAGTCTACCCAGGACACCTGGTGGGGATTTCGCACAATCTCCCTATATAAGCTACAACCCGTGAGAGAACATCATCACTGAGTCTAGTAGATCCAACAAACAAACCTCCTCTAAAATGGCCTTCAAGGTGCGTGTTAAGACTCTGTCATCCTGGAGCTAGTCTTGGGACTATTAACTAATTCACTTAACGTCTACTTTGGTAGCTTTTAATTATTATCAAAGACAACATTTTTAAGTGTTTTAATTTTACATTCTTACAGTTCGTCGCCTTCGCCGCCCTCGTGGCCGCTGTCAATGCTGGAAACCTGATCCAAGCACCTGTGGCCTACCAAGCCGCTGCACCCTTGGCCTACCATGCACCAGCACCTTTGGCTTATGCCGCTGCACCAGTCGCCAAGGCTGTCGTCGCCAAGACCGTCGATGCTGACTACGACCCTCATCCCCAGTACAGCTACGCCTACGATGTCCATGATGGCATCACCGGCGACGCCAAGAGCCAGCAAGAGACCCGTGACGGAGATGTTGTTCAGGGTAGCTATTCCCTCGTCGAAGCTGACGGAACCCGCCGTGTTGTCGACTACACCGCTGACCCCGTCAACGGATTCAACGCCGTCGTCCACAAGGAACCCGCCACCGTTGCCGTCAAGACCGTCGCCCCAGTCGTTGCCAAATATGCCGCAGCTGCCCCTGTCGCCTATGCCGCACCCGCTGTTCACGCCGCCGGCCCCGTCGTAGCCAAGTACGCCGCTGCCCCCGTCGCCTATGCTGCACCCGGTGCATACGCCGCCGGCCCCGTCGTAGCCAAGTACGCCGCTGGTCCCGTCGCCTATGCTGCACCCGGTGCATACGCCGCCGGCCCCGTCGTAGCCAAGTACGCCGCTGGTCCCGTCGCCTATGCTGCACCCGGTGCATACGCCGCCGGTCCCGTTGTCGCTAAGTACGCCGCTTCCCCCGTTGTAGCCAAGTACGCCGCTGCCCCCGCCTACTACCACTAAATATCTCGAAGGCCATTCCCATTTGCTCCTAAAAGTACATAAAAATCTATAAATTATCATAAAAAAAGAAACAACTTGTTTACTACTTATAATTTGCATACACCAAATTCCAGAATATTCTTACTCGCCATCCAATATCCGGGAACAAAATTCTACCGGATGTACCGGGAAGTCCAGAACTCCTTTCCTGTCTATGTACCATGTCCTCGTCAGGCATAATAGCGATAATCGTGCGCCATGGGGACTTTCCTTCTCCTTAAATTTAAACATACTCACAATAGCGTTACTTATTGTCAGCACATACACAATATTATACAGACTAGTCAGAACTGAACTGTCAAAGTGGGTACGTGACCACGCCTTGAGCTGGCAGCCACTGGATCTCCTTGAGCGGCATCTTAATCGAGTTCAGTTTTGGCGATTCTTTCGAAGGTTTTCATACTCGCATCTCTCTCTCTTCTCTTTCTCTTTTATCCACCTCCGCGAAATGATCTTATACCTTTAGTTCTTGATTGCTGCACCGCAAAAGTCTATAATAATCACTTGACTCGGTCTAGAGACACGTGACCCCCTGCGCCCCCAGCATTTAACTCAGCTATAAGATTAAGTTATCCAAGAGGTCAAAGGTCACTTTTTTGAACGCAACGACAAACGAAATTACTCCTGACAATCTATCGTTACTATACTTACGCATTAATTGTTACACGTATCCATTTGAATGGTACGCACAGTTATTCACATATGTGTCATGCAGGGAGGTGACATATGTTAAATTGAACCTCCTGCTTTTCGCTCAGTAATTGCGTAACTTTCTGAGTAGCTTTGTGACTCCATTACGTGATGTCTTTCACTTTCGTTAAGGGTCACCAGGATGGCGTTAAGGGGAGTGGATGAAAGAGGGTAAGAGCGGTGGCCAAAATTATTTTGACGTCCAATCCTTGCTCTGTGCAGATAGACAGGCAGACAGTAGATAAAAAGAAATTATATTAACGTGGACAAAGATGAGTAAATTAATTTTTAAATTTATATTTATTAATTAGCGTTACAGTTTTTCCAACTCTTTACTCTGTCGGTAAAACAGAGGAAAAATATGTCCTATGGGATTTCTTGATATATTTTTCTTTTCCCTTCAAGTCCAAATGCCTACTGGGCCAATTTTACGTGGAAACAGGTGCGCAACCAATCGGTGTAGTTATTCGACTCAGGAGAGAAAGGCGTCCAAATTCTGCGGAGCATTGCGCAATTTTCGTATACACACGCTAATGCTCAACGCTCCATGCATGTTATATGCGTGGCCGTGCATATGTTTTCTCTCTTTGGATCGGTTCTGATTTTGAGTTCTTGATTGTCAGCGAGTCCGTGATACAGCGAGCGTATAAATGGGTCGTGTTTAAATTAACATAAGTCCGCTGCTTGTGGTTGGGCGAGAAAAAATAATTTTTTTCATCTGTCATACAGACTTACGCTGACATTGCTCGAGATCGTGTAACGAGTCTATTACGTATTCATAGTGGAGAGTAATAAAAAGATAGTCATAAAATTGGTGGTGATTAAGGTGTGTCTTTTTTATTTGGGTTGGATCAACATGGCTAAGGTGATTGATGCGAAATAATATCACTTAATGATGATAGGCGTAGGCTGCGGGGGCTGCGTAGGCATACTGGGCTGCTGGGGCAGCATAGGCGTAGTGAGCAGGAGCTGGAGCGGCGTAGGCCAAGGGTGCTGCGTGAGCGATAGGTGCGGCGTATTTAGCAACTACGGGTGCAGCCTTGACAGCGACGGTGGCGGGTTCCTTGTGGACGACGGCGTTGAATCCGTTGACGGGATCAGCGGTGTAGTCGACAGTGCGGCGGGTTCCGTCAGATTCAATCAGGGAGTAGCTACCCTGGACGACGTCTCCGTCACGGGTCTCGTGCTGGTTCTTGATGTCGCCGGTGATGCCATCATGGACGTCGTAGGCGTAGCTGTACTGGGGATGAGGGTCGTAGTCAGCATCGACGGCCTTGGTTATTACAGCCTTAGCGATGGGTGCAGCGGCATAAGCCAAAGGTGCAGGTGCGTGATAGGCCAAGGGTGCAGGTGCATGGTAGGCCAGGGGTGCAGCTGCGTGATAGGCCAGGGGTGCTGCTGGAATGGCTCCGGCGTTGGCGGCTGCCACGAGGGCGGCGAATACTACGAACTGGAAGCAAAAGAATCACTAGGTTAATTAATTCGGAGTTTCCTCGGGTCGTTCGGGCTTGGTGGAGCTGTGATGATGTCTAAGGTCTCACTAGGACGTTCTCTAGGAATACTCGAGGGACCTGGTCTCACCTTAAAGGCCATGGCTGTGTCTCTCGAGGTTGACTGATGCTGTGAACTTCTCCGACTAGACTTATATAGCTCGGGAACGAAGCGTAGCACAGGATTTCGCAAGAAAGGCCGCGCCCCTTGAGAACGCCCGCCGAAATCCAGACTCTTTCTTCCTCGTCCCTACCCCGCCCATCCTGCTACACACCTCAACATCCAGCCTATCCACATCCTCATCCACCTTCCTCCTCCATCTCCTCCTTGGCTCTTCACCTGCGCTCTTTTCCCTCTCCAGCTTATTTCACTCACTCTTTCCTCGTACCTTATTACGACTGTAGTTCAGACGACTTCGTCACACGTTAGGACCGCACTCGTTTAACGTGGACCTTGGTCACCGTAGACGACATCAGGTATTCTTATACTTTAGGTACTACTATTGTATTTTATACCGTAGATACCTGAACTAGTAGACTCGTTTATGCGCTTTGTTTTTAGACTTTTTTTTAAACCGCTGTACATCCCTTGGAGAAAAGAACCCAGGACTGAACTGGGCAAATGTCTCATGGCGACGCGCAATTGCTCAAAGTCCCAGGAATCCATGCAACTCGTCCTGACATTGATCCACACTTTTACCTGGAGTGTCGTGGAGAATGACAATTCGCCATGCGATATTCACTTTCGTATTCGAAGAAGCAGACAGCTCAACGATTGCTGGGACATCGTCAGGGAGTGGGATATCAAGGAAGGGTTAGATATTAATAGATAAAAGTAGGCGGGTAGAAAGAAGAAAGATGTACCTTGCTGGTACGGAACTTTGATTACGATTGTTTTTTATGGGAAATGATAAAGAAAACCAAATTAAGAGTCGACATTAATTAGACTACGTATCCAGCTGCTGCGTAGGTGAGAGGCGCTGCGAGCGCTGAAAGATCCGGTGCGACCCTCAGGTAACCTGAGAGATTGCTGGCTACAGGGAGACCTACGGGGGAAGCGACAGCTCTGGCTACTGGGACTCCAGTCAGTACAGGTGCAGCAGCTACTGCTCTGGCAGCTACAGGGGCTACTGGAGCTACTGGAGCAGCCAGACGAGCAGCTACAGGGGCGACAGCGGCAACTGGAGCGGCGATGCGGGCAGCAACAGGGGCAACTGGAGCAACAGCTCTGGCAACTACAGGTGCAGCAGCAACAGCGACTGCAGGTTCCCTGCTGACGACTGCGTTGAATCCGTTGACAGGATCAGCAGTGTAGTCAACGATGCGTCTGGTGCCGTCAGCCTCGATTAGCGAGTAGCTGCCCTGAACGACGTCTCCGTTACGGCTTTCGTACTGGGCCTTAGAGTCTCCGGTAAGTGCGTCTTGCACGTCGTAGGCAAAGCTGTACTGAGGTGCTGCATCGAAGTCCTCGATCTTCGCCAGGACTGGCGCTGCAGGTGCGACAGCCGCTAGTGGCGCCGCTGCTGGGATCACGGCGGCGTTGCTCAGGGCTACGAGACTAGCCAAGAGAAGGACGCACTGTGAAGAAGATAATAAAGATAGAAATAATTATACTGATAACAATTTCACGAGGAATGATAACGCTAAATTATTATTTGTTGCTGGGTACCTCAAGGGAGGCCATGGCTTCTTACTGGTCAAGAGGATCAAGAGGATTGAACGATGCTTAACTGATGACAACCTGACGTCGTGTTCTCATATATATTCCACGACCCCACCCTAGGATATTACTGGATATTGCGCGCATCCTTGCAAGACCTCATAGTATTGCTGATGTCGAACTCACACGACGATACTCGTAGGTTAAGCAATTGAATAGCTCGATTAGTATTTTGAATCGAGACAGCAAAGAGGAGCGTCCGCATACCAATGTCCCTAAATTCGAAAGAGGCCGATCGACTGTGATAATCGTTTTCTTTAGGTAGTTATCGTTATATGTATTTAATATGAAGTGACAGTTCTGGAATTTTCATATACAAATTTTCTATGTTGCTTCGCACAGTTTATGGGTCTGCATGAATTCACATCCGCATCAGACGTTGCCCTTACAATTGAAAAGTGGAATTCAACTGTCTTTGTACTGCTAAAACCAGTAAGGGGCATTGACTAACCGGATTGCCATGAGAGAGAAGTATTTCTGAACGAGTTGCTTCTAAGGCCACGGATCTCTGGCTATTGGCAGAGCAGTCAGACGCCCTACGCCCTCCTAAGAGCCAATCGCAAGGCAGCCTTGTGCATAGGATACTGATTCTTAAAAGAAAATATTGCCGCTGATTCTATTAAATTTTTACAAGGTCTAGTCGTGAAATACCGCAAACGAGCTACCCTCTTGGTATAGTGAAATAGTGAGAGGGAGAACTGCGCAACGAGACACGAGCTACGATATTGGCAATCCTGAGGTGGGAGCGTCGCGACGCTGCGAAATTGTGACATCTTTACGGATATAAACCTCGCGATTCGCTACGGTGTCATCAGTTGATCGTTCAGTTGTCCAACTAAAGAAACTCATCACACCATGTCGCTCAAGGTACTGATAAGAGGATTATGCAATTGATCTTTTTTTTTTAATTTTTTATTCGAATTTTTAAGAATATATATATTTTTTTTTCCTCACTACAGTACACCGTCGCTCTTTACGCTCTGGTGGGCTTTGTGAATCTTGGCATGACAGCCATCATCCCAGCAGCGGCGCCACTAGCGGCGGTCGCACCTGCAGCGCCAGTCCTGGCGAAGATCGAGGACTTCGATGCTGCACCTCAGTACAGCTTTGCCTACGACGTGCAAGACGCACTTACCGGAGACTCTAAGGCCCAGTACGAAAGCCGTAACGGAGACGTCGTTCAAGGCAGCTACTCGCTCATTGAAGCTGATGGCACCAGACGCATCGTTGACTACACTGCTGATCCTGTCAACGGATTCAACGCAGTCGTCAGCAGGGAACCTGCAGTTGCTGTTGCTGCTGCACCTGTAGTTGCCAAAGCTGTTGCTCCAGTTGCCCCAGTTGTTCCTGTCGCTGCCCGTATCGCTGCTCCGGTTGCCGCTGTCGCACCTGTAGCTGCTCGTCTGGCTGCACCTGTTGTTGCTCCTGTTTACCCAGTAGCTCAGACCATCCCCAGAGCTGTTGCTACCAGACTTGGCGCACCATTGGCAGCATACTCGGCCCTCCCTGCCTACCTGTAAAGCATTTGAATGTCCACTGGTTGCTTCCGTGATGTGATTCTTCGCCCTTATTCTGCTATTACTTTTTAATTCCTTTCATTTGTATATAATCACAAAGAGTGCCACCATGGTGATCAAGTGTATCATGTATATTTTTTGCTATAAATATCACTGTTCAATGTATACCTCTGTCTTTATGCTCTTACTACCTCAACATCTAATTTTCATAATCAGGTAGCAAACAGGAGAGAAAAGTACATTTGCAAACCGGAAGTACCGCAAGAAGGTGACAATCGTTACTTCTTCATTGACCCATTGACGTATATGATGTCTTTCTAGATCAACCCCTGAAATAAAATTTGACAGATATAGCTGTCATTTGTGTCAATGGGATGAAGATTTTTTCTGTACTGTAGTTATCCTTCATGCGTTCTGTCAACTTCTTGTCAATACTCTTTGAAATTGTCATCTGGATATTTCTGTACTGGTCATAAGTTCCTATGAAATGCTGTCAGAAGTTTACAGGAAGTTGAATGTAAGATTGAGATAAAATTGTATGAAATCTGAGCGTGTATAATAGATGTAAAATAAAATTTAATAGCTGTTCCATATTTCAATCTAGATCAGCCACTAGTTTTCTAATCACAATTCTATCAGCGCGGTCCTTCCATTTATGTGCCAATGTGTCAATATGCCAATGTGTCAACACACCTCACATTTTGGCAGTCTTACATAACCTCTCAGAAATAACCACTCACGCAATCATTGCGTTATCGCCAACGCGTTGGCCGATCAATCGAACTGTCCACTATCACAAAGTGGACAATAGTGAACATTTAATAATAACCTCCAAATCAGCAATCTACAGATGGAAACGAGATCTAACAAGGTATATATATATATAATTTAAGGAAGGTCATATAATTTAAGGAAGGAAGGAAGAAAGATCAAAATTAATAATTTCATTTTCTGTCATTAATATATTTATTAAAAGGTCAATCAGTACTGCTTCAATAGCATCACGCATCTATTGTGCCACTGGAACAAGTTGAGCAGCAAAACCAGCTGGTGGTGCTCCGTATGCAAATGGGGAGGAGTAAGATGCTGCATAAGCACCAAGTGGTCCAGAGTATCTTTGCACTGCAGGATATCCAACGACTCTCTGAAAACCACCAGGCGTGACACCCTGGACAACAGGATTAGCTCGTGCCCTCACGGGAACACTCTGCCTATTTTGTCCAGCCTGTTGCGTCCTGGCAGCCATGTTGGATTCCTCCTGGCGGCTACCAGATCTCTCATTAGCTTCTGGCTGAACAGCTGAGACAAGAGGTCCTGACCTCGCTTCCACGACTTCCACGTCAGAATCTGGTCCACTGGATGGGATACTTGGTACAGCTGGTTCACCGATAGTGACTCCTGGAGCAACAGGAGCAACAGGAGCAATAGGTGCGACTGGACTAACGTAAGCCAATGCTGGTTCCCTACTGACTACCGCATTAAATCCATTTATAGGATCTGCCGTGTAGTCAACGATACGTCTGGTCCCATCAGCTTCGATCAGGGAATAACTGCCCAGGACAACATCCCCATTGCGGGTCTCATATTGGGCCTTAGAGTCCCCAGTGATTGCATCCTGCACGTCATACGCAAAACTGTACTGTGGCACCGTATCGAGTTCCTGGATCTCCTGGAGTTTGGCTGCATAAACAGCTGCAGCTGGTGCAGCTGCAGGTACCAGTGGTACAAGGGCGCAATGAGCAGCGGATGCTACTCCAAGAATGGTAAGGATCTGTAAAAAAATATTATTCTGACCGTCTAGGACTATATCTCCCCGTAGACGATACTCTTGATCCTTTTGACTTACCTTGGCAATCATCTTCGTCTAGGAGGGTATCACTGAAAAGACTGATGCCCACCGATGACATGCGGCACTCTTATATAGCTATGCGCTTCCACGAGGATTCATTGCACCAAACCGCAGGCCTTCATCGTGTACCTGACCATCCTTCTCTTTCTCCTCCTCCAGCTGATCACTGTTCGTTTAGACAACTTCAGTATTACCATCGCACTCAACCTCGTCATCCCCATCCTTGTCATCCGGGACACCAGGGCTAATTGTAAGCACCGTGTAGCAAGCGGCTCACATGTGTTTCTTCATATCTACGACCCAAGTCAATTCGCGAACGCGACGAGCAATTCAATCGACGTCGCTTAAAATTCTCCTCGACGCTGGGCGTCTCCTGTAATTCGAATGCACTTGGAGGTGGTTGACATTTTTTTGTGAAATTTTAATGATACATTTTACCGTAATCCACTTCAGAATCCCCAACCAGCATGTTAGATCTGGAACAGTCTCTATAGTCTTCTCCGGTATTGATATGGGTATTTTAAGTTTATCTAAATTTTCTACAAAAATACGGAAAATGATTTTAAATTAGTCGACATATCGAGTGCTATAACAAAATCGAAATAGCTGATACAACTTTGTCGTCCAAGCGAGAGTTACTCAAGTGACAGATCGATTGCGCAACGATTACGAAGAGGAGACTCCATGGATGTAACCACGTGTGCAAATCACGTACCCACGTCAAGACGTGGTCGGAAAGTCATATAAGAAAGTTTATAGAGACATTAAAGGGGCCACTAGCAAGTCTCGAGGGTGTTCAGCGAAAGTGCACTAGGTTGTTGTGAGTTTAGACATTGTTAAAAGTAAAAATATTCCCGATTCAATGTCAACGACCCACTTACAGTCAATAACGATTCCAGGCAGTTCTCATTGTGACGTACAGTTGCCTAAGTTTCTTGAAATAACGTATAAGAACTCTCGCAATTCTCACAAGTCATAAATCACCTTCTCTTAGAAGACAATAAACGTTTATAATACGTAACTTAACTAGGACAAAAAGAAATGGTAACAAAAGTAAAGACAGTCGTTGATAAAAATATAAATTTATTTTTACATGTGTAAAAATACAGTCCATTTCGAATATTGGATGCATAGATGTAAATGAACTGGCTGGCTACGTCGTATGACTAGGCGCGGAGAATGACAGTAATGATTTAGCATATTTGGTCAATGGTGATAAGCTAGAAGAGGCTGAACTGGCGCGGCAAGTTTAGCTACGGCTGGTACAGCCTTTACAATCGCTGGCTCTCTGTGTACAACTGCATTGAATCCATTAATAGGATCTGCTGTGTATTCTACGACACGACGAGTTCCGTCTGCTTCGATCAGTGAGTAACGTCCGCTTACTACATCCCCGTTTCTGGTTTCGTACTGACTCTTGGCATCTCCTGTCAAAGAATCTTGGACGTCGTAGCCGTAGCTATACTGTGGATGAGGGTCGTATTCATCGACGGCCTTTGCTAGGACAGGTACTGGTCCTCCAGCATAAGCCACCGGTGCACCATGCACAGGAATGACAGCTGCAGCGTCACTGTCATTTATTGTCATCCAACCAGCCATCAAAAGCGTCATCACTATCGCTACCTGTCAATGAAAAATATATTTGATGAATCATACACGACTGGGTATTAAAGCCTGGGACGTCTTTCGACGTCTATGTCGAAATTATTAATCTAATTGTTATTAAATTATTCTCACCTTAGTGGCCATGTCTATGACTTCTTCGTTGTGGAAACTCAATAATCAACGGCAAGGGAAAGACTGACGTTTGAATGTTCCGACTGGTAGGTATTTATACGTGGTGAGAACGAGTCCATTGTGTCCAGTGGAAACACTCTCGCTACGTGAATGCGATCATTCGATCATCATCAGCTGACAAACTTTAGTCCAGTTACTAACCAAACGTGTTAATCATTTTCTATCATTGCTGACAACTAACTGATCGATTTTCCAACGATCTATAGTCATCAACGTCCATATATTTTTTAGAATCTAGTGTCATTATAATTTCATTGCCATTTTTTCTCGGTATATACATCATGTAGACGAATTTTTATTTTTCACCAGTGATACCAATATGTTCTCATTTAATGAGGATGACACTTCGCACCTGGACAATACCTTCTCGAACCATGAAATGCTTTCACCGTTGCGCAAGGTCGCTTTAGTCCTCACTTTAAGTGTAACGTTTCCGTCACGCTAGGAAGACAAGCCATGAATACCTAATGGACAGTCTGCAAGAAATTTCATTTTGATTAAAATAGTTCAAATTTTTTGTATAAGCTCACGTGCATAAAATTCTTATAATTTCCATTTGCTCGTAATATATTAATTTAACAATTAACATAATTAATATTGGTCAATCTATTTTTTTTACGTAATTATAATCATGCTTATCGACAAAGTCGAAAGTTGTTCCATGAATGAGTTAAACGTAGCTACTGTCTAGTTCATCATGGATGAGTCATCTTACTCCAATGGAATAAGATGAGCACTGACCTTGACCGTGTGAAGAAAACACAGCTCCCGAGACAAGATCATCGATCCCAGCTGGAGAAACCGTTATGTCAGCAGGTCTACTCTCGAGGTCGTCGCCGACTCATCCTCCGGTTAAGCGAGTCTTCCTGTTCTGAGTTACGGTCATTCAACTCTGACGTTCTCTCGCATCTCATCTCTCTCCTTTTTCTTATCCCATTCGCCATACTTGTTCTGACAGTAGCAGATGATCACGAGATCACAAGAGTAATGAGCCATGTGGTGTCTAGTGCTGTTTTTCTCACGTTCCTCTCGCCATGGCTCGTTGACTATGAAAACTCCGCGTTCCTGCTTAGCACGTGCTACAGCTACGTAATGCATGTCTAACTGAAAGATCACGGTCAAGTTCGTAACTGATCGTGAACCAACGGAGATTGAACATGCGAGAAAAAAGATTCAATGGATATTAATGATACTGAGTGTACGAATATTGCATGAACGATCGGATAAAAGTATAAAAGAATGTTACGTATTTTTACCTGACTTTAAGCTGGACTAACCTCTTGTTCACTTTTGATCATTTGCGAGAAAATCTAACGGCAGGCTTGGTTCATATTTCAACGATATTTTTTTATCAAGGATTCGACGAAAACGAAAGTCACACGTGCTTCAAGATCTTGGATCTTGATTGAATCTACTTGTATGGAAATTAGGACAGTCACCCGAGCCCTGTGCCATCTTGACTAGAACGTTGACGCCGTTGCTTGTTGTATTCGGGAGTTGACACAATGCATACTTGCAGAATTTTTAATATCTTTTCGACACGCGTGGGTGTGTTGCTATGTGCTATGGCCTGAGAAATACTTTCCCTGTAACTGTCACTCGACGAAAGATCTTGTTCTCGGATATGTCACTAACTGAAGGATCAGATACCGACGAGTGTTACGCGATTTGAAATTTCGCAACGCCATCTTGATCGTGGCTCGAATCTCGTGACATTGATTCCCTCCTGCTGAGTTTCATTATTAGTCTACTTCGACTTGGTTTAGAATTCTAATCAGGCCATTGTTCTTATATGAATAATCATCCAGCATTTAAAATCGATAAACTTCCAATGAAAATAGAAACAGGAAGGATGACTTTGGATATCCTTTAATTAATACTGACTTTAATTGATTCGTTTATGGTGACATTCGATACATCGTGAAGATTTCTGTACTACAAGACTTCGTATTGTCAATCGTGGAACGTGTCGTCGTAAGCATGGTGGAAGTATGGTCGTAAATACTACTCTAGGCCTCTGGTTGACAGTTTACGTACAGAGCTGAAAACGTGCATTCGTCTCTATTATTCCTGTCAGTGTTCATTGTGTGCCCACGGAAGAAAGTAGTGCTTTCTCAAAATTAGTACAGAAGTACAAGTACATCTTTCCAGGACTTCACAGACAAGCAGATAAATAACAGCCATAAGGTAAAACAGTGTGAATTATTAGTCAACGTTGCGTTCTTATAAAATAACTGAGGTTAGGTCGCCAACAAGCAACTGTCTCACGCATTTCCATATATCTGCAGGGGTACATTCAAAATGCTGAATTAGGCGATATTCTTCTCTGTCTTAACTATTTTGTAAGAGTAGGTTAGAAAAAATATACGAAAGATATAGTAGACAAAGGACCGTGGTCCTTAATTTTTTATTTACAAGACATAAATAATAGGAAAAAGAAATATCGCAAAATATGGTTCTTCGTTACGATTGCGCAGTCTCACAATTAATGGTAGGCAGCATAAGCAAGTGGGGCGTGAGCCACAGGGGCGGCATGGTAGGCAAGAGGTGCGGGTGCAGCGTACTTGGCGACGACAGGGGCAGCCTTGATGGCGACCTGAGCGGGTTCCTTCTGAACAACGGCGTTGAATCCGTTGTGGGGATCAGCGGTGTAGTGAACAACACGACGGGTTCCGTCGGACTCGATGAGGGAGTAGCTACCCTCGACGACGTCACCGTTGCGGGTCTCCTGCTGGCTCTTGGTGTCACCGGTGATGGTGTCATGGACATCGTAGGAGTAGCTGTACTGAGGGTTGGGGTCGTAATCGGCATCAACAGCGTTAGCGTAAGCTACAGCAGGGGCGGCGTGGTAGCCAGGGGCGATGACTCCTGCGTTGACGGCAGCCACGAAGGCGGCGAGGATTACGAACTAAAATTAAAAAAAAAATATCCATTGAAAGAGATGTTTGAGAAAGAATTTACTTTTTCCAAAATTTTCAAATCAACTAATTTTACACAGGGTATATGTAATTCTAGTCGTGTATATGACGTTTACACACCTTGTATGCCATTGCGATTGGTTTGATCGGTGCTGATCGAATGATGTTGTTAGCTAGTGGAGACCCGCTTTTATACCTAGTCAAAGGACCGACCGAGACTTCCAAATCCGCCACACCCAAAGTCTCTTAGTTGGCCGTTCGATTCCAAACGGTATTATGCAAAAGGTGTCTTTATACGTGGCGTCTCTTTCTTACGCGTTTAAGCACTGTGCACAATGCCGAGATAAAATGTGCTCTACTTTTTTTGTATCTATTGGCGACCAGTGAAATGTCAAATGACACGCGCCATTCGTTTTCTTCCCTAATCGACTGTTCCGATTAATAATTAATAATTCTTTGGCTTTCTCTTGATAAAAGTTGTACCATTGTGTCTACAGGTATAACTTATCACGGTCCAATCAGCCTTAACAAAGAGACGACTTTTGTACGAATCAAATGATGGTTCGTCAAAAGACATAAAGACTGGATCAATCGATACAGATATCAGCTGCAAGATATACATTAATTCTTATTTGTAGGTAGGTAATTAATAGCCATTTGGAATTTACAGATCAATTGTATCACCTGATGTAACATCATGGCCGACATTCACTGACTTTACCTAACGCAGCCCTCGAGCTATTCTTCTTAGGGCAGGCGAACAGGTAACCCAAGTAGATAGATGCACGACAGAGAACGTAACGCTGGTTAAGAGTGGGAAATTTCAATTGGTCCAGCCAGTTCAGACAATTGGTATAAGCTACTACATATCGCTCCCACCTGAAATCTTCATAGTAGATACACAATTGAAATTTAGATGAAGTAACCAAGAAAACTGGGCGTGGTCTCTGTTCGAAAAAATGGACCAAAGTGTCTCGGCAGTCTTCACGTTGGTATAAAAGGGGACCAGCTACTCAACCACAGCATCAGTTAATCAAGCTCTCTCGATCAACTAAAATGGCATTCAAGGTAGATACACGAATAGTAGAAAAGTATAAAAAGTTAAAACAGCTAATAAAATAGTTGAAGCATCACAGAAAAAAAATTGTGAATTGATAAAGTGGAATTTAACGAGACACCGTTATCAGGATATTCACTTTCATCTCAGTGTAATCAGTGATTCTTTTTGTTGTGATCTCACATAATACAAGTGATCCACACGTGATAAACTGCTGAATATGTTTTATTGGAATTGTCAGTTTAACTCAGGAATTATCGTTTTTAGTTCGTAGCTTTCGCCGCCCTCGTGGCCGCCGCCAACGCCGCAGCCCTGGGCCCAGCACCCCTTGCCTACCACCAGCAAGCTGTCCATGCTGCACCCCTGGCCTACCACCAACCAGCAGTTCACGCTGCACCCCTCGCTTACGCCCCAGTTGCCAAGGCTGTAGTCAAGACCGTCGACGCCGACTACGACCCCAACCCTCAGTACAGCTACTCCTACGATGTCCATGACTCCATCACCGGTGACGTCAAGAGCCAGCAGGAGACCCGCAACGGTGACGTCGTCGAGGGCAGCTACTCCCTCATCGAGTCCGACGGAACCCGTCGTGTTGTTCACTACACCGCTGATCCCCACAACGGATTCAACGCCGTTGTTCAGAAGGAACCCGCTCAGGTCGCCATCAAGGCTGCCCCTGTCGTCGCCAAGTACGCCGCCCCTGCTCCTCTTGCCTACCACGCCGCCCCCGTTGCCCACCTCTCTCACGGATACGGCGCTCCCCTTTACCACTAAACTTGACTCTCCATGATCGAACATAATTATTTATATTTATATTTCTGTAAATAAAATAGCCATTTTTCCGAATATCTTCTCTTTCAATTTTTGTTAACTTGTGTTACAATTATATGATTTAGTGAGGGTTATCGATACCTGCGACTAGTTCAAGTTCGAAGAATATTGAAAATGAGCTAATAAAGAGATAATTAAGAATTTGGTGTTCTCTATATCTGCTGTGAGTGCGAGAAGAGAGAGGTTGCTCCAGTAATGAGTGGTACTCCTTTAGAAAATCGACTTTGCTGCTGCTACAATTTTAAATATACAAGTTTTTAAGGATTTAAAGTATCGAAACGATCTAGTTTTACTTGTTCACCTTTTTTTATTAGGAATCTGAAAAATGTTCCACTTTTAAAATTTTAAAAATTAGGAAAAATTATGAAGGGTGTTGCTGACATAATCTGTTATTCAGTTTAAACGCATCATCTGTACATGGTTTTACCATAAAAATCTAATGGATGCGCTTTTGGATGCGGAGTTTTCATAGTCAATGAGCCATGGAGAGAAGAACGTGAGAAAAAGAGTCGGCGCCAGATGCCACATGGCTCATTACTCCTGTGATCTGTTGATCATTTGCTACTATCTAAGCAAGTACGGTAAATCGGATAAGAAAGAGGATAGAGATGAGATATTTAATGAAAATAGTATTATCATATAGTAGAGCTTGTTCTTTCAGTAACAAATTTATATGGATTTCTGGTATTTATATTATTTTGAGCGTTGTCAGAAGAAGTGTTATTTTTCAACGCTATCATGTTCATATTTTAAACGCTTTAAGATATCTTGATTCTTGTGCTGTTCGAACGAGCAAAAACTTATGTATATAAAATATAGTTTAATAAGGTTTAAATTTAGTTTGAATGATTTTAATTTTTGATCTCTTTTTTAAAGTTTATTAATTTACGACCAGACTCATTTTCTAACAACCTTATAAAATAAGCTTATTTTATAATCAAAAGAATAAGATCAAAACAATTTAAGTAGAATTGGACGGAGTTGATATTTTACCCCTATTTATAATAATCACCCGCAATGTCAAATATACCCTGAATAATATCGTTTTTAAGCTAACCATATACTGAAAACCGAAACCAAAAAATGGTTTAAACCACTAAACATCAGAGTTCCCATCAATACAGAATGATTTATGAAATTTTCTTGTATTCCAGAAGTAAAAAGAATATTTTCATCCCCTTCCAAAATTCTTAATAAAATACACCATTATCCTAACGAAAGCCAATAAATAAAAAGAAGGACACAAAGGATTAAATTGAGATAAAACGCTGTTTTATTTACAGGTAGATAAATATAAATAATTTTGGTCTAACATGGCAAGGCAAGTTTAATGGTAAAGGGGAGCGCCGTATCCGTGAGAGAGGTGGGCAACGGGGGCGGCGTGGTAGGCAAGAGGAGCAGGGGCGGCGTACTTGGCGACGACAGGGGCAGCCTTGATGGCGACCTGAGCGGGTTCCTTCTGAACAACGGCGTTGAATCCGTTGTGGGGATCAGCGGTGTAGTGAACAACACGACGGGTTCCGTCGGACTCGATGAGGGAGTAGCTGCCCTCGACGACGTCACCGTTGCGGGTCTCCTGCTGGCTCTTGGTGTCACCGGTGATGGTGTCATGGACATCGTAGGAGTAGCTGTACTGAGGGTTGGGGTCGTAGTCGGCGTCGACGGTCTTGACTACAGCCTTGGCAACTGGGGCGTAAGCGAGGGGTGCAGCGTGAACTGCTGGTTGGTGGTAGGCCAGGGGTGCAGCATGGACAGCTTGCTGGTGGTAGGCAAGGGGTGCTGGGCCCAGGGCTGCGGCGTTGGCGGCGGCCACGAGGGCGGCGAAAGCTACGAACTATAACCAACAAGATATGATTATCTAACAATATTAAATTTGCATTGATTAATTAATCAAATGAAACACTGATCCAATCTATTCGAGTTTCTCATGACTGTATATCAAAATTCATACTTTTCGTTTTAGCTCTTACCTTGAATGCCATTGCTGTGCTGCTTTGATCGGCTACTGAACCAAACTGATGCTGTGTATCAAGTTCCTCGGATTTATATATCTACGAAGCCACTGCCGAAACACACTGGACCTCTCACCTATGTAGCTCACTGAGATAGAGTTCAGTTGCCCTAGGCGACATGATCGCTCTCAGCCCCAACCACTCTTTGTCTCTGTCTTGCTGCTGTAGCGATCTCGTCGATCGCTTTCTATCGTAGCACCTATCTTGAATTTTGGGCCCAGCCGTAGGTTATTCTACAAGGACAGAAACGAGTGAGGTAGGAGAGTCATGATGATTATAATCTGATACATACCGTACAACGTGTAATGAAGGGAGAGTGTGTAGCATTAGATTGTAATTTTATTGTCCGAAAAGAATTAGATCAAGTTTATTTGAAGTAATGTTATAAAGAGAAATATTGGTTACAGATAAATTAACCATAGAAAAAAAGTGCATTGCATGAGGAGTTATGGGACAGAAAGAGAGAGAGAAAGAGTCGAAAAAGGGCAGGCAGTTCAGGCAGTTAAAAAAACGAGAGGGATCAGGATGACGTAACGCAAAAGAGCACAACGTAACCATAGGTGTTACGTGATCGCAAAAGTGGATCAGGAGAACGCGTGATCCGGACGAAGCGGTGAAAAATTTGGGGCGTGGCCCTCCGTTTGGTTTGCCAGCCTGCTTGATACCTGCATGTGTTACTAGTCTGTCTTGCTGCCTGCTTACTAACACTCATTTACCTTAGAGTCATTATTCCATATGATCTAATACGTATTACTTGGTATATGATATCCCCTAGGGGATTATCTAGTTAGAAGTACAACTGACTTTTTGACAAATCCAATTGATTTAGGAGCAAATATCAATCGTAATTGTGACTTCTTTTCTGCTTGATCGCACAACGAAATTCAAACTGTGGTCTAAATAAGCGTGAATGCGCAATAAAGTCTTCCCATCTAGTGAAATTCTTAGTAAAAAAAAATTGCCTGAGGCATAGATGATTTTGGTAGGGGACTGTACCTAGAACATATAAAAAGCAAAATTGCTATTCTATTCGCATCATTCGATTAGTTCTAACTTGACTCTGTTTTGTAGATCTAGGACGCACAGGGAGGCATCTATGTTTAAGATGGCTACTGAGGATTTTTTATTCGTGTATCATACACCGGTACAAATGTGTCGAAGTTATACGTAAAGAATCTTTTGAATCCTTCGTTGTTTGTAGGAAACTTTTATAACGCAATGAACATCGTTAGTCTCATATGGAAACTGCAAATATGCGGATCCTCAACCATTTTTGGTTTGACCATGAGCTTTCGCGCGATATTACGGTTGCTTACTTGACTCGATATTTTTATATATTTTTTATTCACGATGTCAAAGTTCGGGATCGTTATTATTTAAAATCAAAGTTCACTGTGCTCCGCCGTTCTCATGTATTGTCTTGCATCGAGGAGACGTTCGGTAGACTTGCAGTTGACCTCATTACCTCAATCAGATTCGACAGGTCTGCCATATTGTTTCCATAAAAAATATTATCCGATTGTAATCCTTGTATAATGACAGTATCGCGTCACTTTCTCTCACTTGTTTCTTTTTCTTCTATGAATGCCTTACTAAACTTCTATTATCGCTTATTGATTTTATATAGCGATAAGATATATTAATCCTGCTATCCATTCCCTCGGGCACTGTCTGAATATTGTCAATGCCTCAAGCGTTATTGATATTACGACGGTTACGTCGTGGTTAGGTTATAAATCGCATGACGACAATGCAGCCCAGTTTTGCGTTTTGGATCACAGTGGATCATTGTGGATACACGCACACCTGGTGAAAGTTTTACCACAAACTACGGGCTACGCAGATCCAATGGAATTCTACGCAGCTGTGTCAAAAAATTAAACGATTCTTTGTCTGCAGTTCATCCCTCGTTCATATCATCAGCCATTTTTTATCAGCTTTTTTTAATTTCCGAAATTTCAAAAGTTCCAATACCAGGTACAACTAATTCTTCCAGGCATTATTTCAATTTTTTTAAAAATTGTTTACATTAATTATTCTTACCTTAAGTGTTATTTATATACTAAAGCCTGTATTCAGAACTCGCTTTTAGTGCTAATAGCGCACTTTTAAATTTTTTCTTAGTGACTTTTGACTACAAGTGACTCTGTTAGCGACTTTAAGAGCGAGTTGTGAATACGGGCTAAAATCTCTAACGTCTGAAATTATTTAAGGGTTCGTGGAGGGGTGAAATAGTAAATAAGAGGTAGACAGTCTATCTTGTACTTCACAATCAGTCAGTATATAAATGTTGTAACGATTACTTCATGGCTTAGTCGGTCACAGTCGTGTTACTAACAACTGGCAACTTATTAGACTTTGTCGATATCTGGAATAATTTATCGATTGGAAAAAGGTGCCAGTATTTATATACCGATTGTCGATATTCTCTCTGCAATATCCGTCGTAACGCCTTTCTAGTAGGCGCCACTCGTACGTTGTTTTCCGTGGTTCTCGAATCGCGAAGGAGACGGCGCTCCAAGACACTCTCGATTAACATTGAACGACTACACCGGATTTTCAATTGATGACGATAAACGAGGCCCAGTGAAGCAGCAAGGTGAGAAAAAGTGCGAAATTCCATCAAACTCAGAAATAACACTGAGCGGCGTCACGCTCAGTCAAACTAAGGAAAAGTTTGAAGCGATCGGCGGTACCAGTCGTACCCTGGATCGATAGACCTTCCTCCGTGTTTTCATCTAGTTTTGCATGCACCTTTCTTTTCCTCTTCTACACCTTTCACCATAAATTATGACTCCATGCGTCATTCTTCCTTCCTTCCTATCTTTTTTTACAGTATTTCCATAATCGCTATTACCTATGTCCAATACTTTTTTCATCTGAAAAAGTGTATCTGAACAATCAGAACCGGAAGGCCACGCACGCCATCTTCTTTCTCATCCTTCCGGTATACGTATTGGGTGTTACGAGGGTGACTTGTACAATTATCAATACTTGTTCTCAAACCTGGGTGGGTCATTGGTTGTTTGATTGGACTAGGGCGGCCAATACTTTCTCTCTCTCTGTAGCCAAAGACGGTGAAAGTATTTCTTACACGTCTGCGTTCAAACGGCCGAATGTCTCTACGGATCTTGTACAGAATGACAATGCCGAGTTCTGGGTCAGAGCTTCACTTAATTATATGTCTTCTTCTCGTAACACTCATCTTTTTTCTTTTTTCAAATGGCCATAACCTATAAGCGAAGGACAAACGTTCATCTTCTTATTCGTTCGATAGCAGCGCCACTGCGGAGGAATGCTCAAGTTTAAGTGGCTCTTCTAACGGACAACGTATTCAACTATTTTAATTCTCTTTAAATGAGGTAACTACATTTATGATTAACTAAGAATCAATTAGCTATGCAGATTGTAGTATCATTTATGTTGTATTCCAGATGATATTTAATCAATAGACAAATATTTAATCAGCCAGACCACAAACACCTGGAGTGAAGCAAAAAAAGGCATTTCAGAGGATTTTAATTGTACAATCAAATCAACGATGCTTGACAGAAGTTTCATTGTCTATGGCAAGGACGGAAGACGACCAGGATATTGGGGAGTACAGACAAAAAGGATGAAAGCCTTTCATTGTTATCTGGTATTCTCTGCAGTTCATCGATAACACAGTCACGGTTGTTTGAGGTTTTAGTTTACCTCCTTTCATCCCATCTAATTTTCTGCTTTCTTTAACTGACTTCTTATCTTCTCCTAAATTTCTATTTAACACATTTTTTTTATTTCAGAATTGCCCATCAAGCTGAGAGATATATATCATCATTATTCTTCTTCTTGAACCCTCGAATCTTCCTGTTAATATCTCCATCATTCCAACCAGTTGCAAAGTAGTCCCAATAATCGTATTTTAACCTTTGTCCTCCGTTTGAAGGAATCTCTCCAGAAATCTCCCACCTTGTCTGGGCCAGGAACAGCAGACTTTACTGGTGGAGGGAACTTTCAGTGAGGCACACTATATAAGAGAATGGCAGAGCAGGCTCCCGATAAAGGCCGTGTGTGTTGTCTGGTCGTGGTCTCGTTCGCGCCTTATCTCAATACCGTCCAAGTAAAAGCATTGACCAATTGTCAGGTAAGTGGATCACCTCATGACAATAATACCAATAAGTAAATATATGCAAAATTTTCTTCAGAACATTGAAACCGTATACCAACCATATACAGAGCTACTCCACTCGCTTTCACTGCCCAGTCGAAAACTTCCCAAACAAGAATATTATTGCCAAGATATTTCTGTACCAGTATATCACGTAACTCATTAATGGCGTTGAGTGAACCGGAGCGAAGTGCGTTACATAGTACACCGGCTAGAACGTATCCACGTTATGTATTATAAAGAAAGAGACAGGAGAAAGGACACTATCCCAGTAAACCGGAAGTTCAATGCTCCTGCTGATAATTGACTTTGAGAAATCAATATGGATTTATTGATACCTGGCAATTAAAATGTAATCAATTAAGCTTCATTAAATACTACTTCTACTCTGGATAAACTTTAACTCTGGCAGTTATCCGTATGTGTTACCAATTGTGTCACACAACTGGTTCACTACATGAAAACTTGGCAACAGTATCTGGGCCGGTGTCCACCGGTATCCGGTGCACGCATTTTGTACCACTGGATGTCGACCACTACCCTGTTCAACTTGTCTCCTGGAACAACTATCTCTTTTGCATTACGCAATCGCTTTCTTTGTGCTTACGAGTTATCCCGCACGATCCAGTATTACGTCAAGTGTTGGAATATTATTATAATTAATTTTGACTTGCGACCGGATTTCATAAATTTTAATTAAATTCATCTGAACTCTCATCTCTTATGAAAAGATGCTCTCTGAATCAAAGACTCCGGTTTTTTTGTTCATACGCCAGTGGGTTAACGAAGAAGTTGGATTTCCTTTTATGTATACATACATAAAAAATAGAGAAAATAAATAACGAGAAAGAGAACGCTGTTTTTCCTCTTGTACACGTGAAGGAGTCATGGAAATACAGCGAGCGAGAAAGTAGCGAGAAATTGACTCGAGCGCGGAGGCTAATCGCGAGAGAGAAATCGTGCGTGAATCGATGCATGATATCGAGGAGCAAATATTCTATAAATTCTCCGAAGGACAATGTACATTTAATCATAAGATCAAAAAACGCTTATACCCATATCCGGGGATTCCCCGTACGGAGCAGCCTTGTAGATTTTAAGCTTTAAACAGTAAACGGTTGACCGTCTGATATACATATGTTAAAGCAAATGGCTTTTCCACATATTTACGACCTGTTACTTTCACTTAACTATTAAGACCGAGTAAAACGAGAGCGAACAGAACGGTCTGTCTCCGCCGTCGCGACGCCCTCCTGTCTCGCGTCCCACCCTTATTCATGTTTATTACTTATACTTTTCTCAATGCTTATATTTATCCTGATTCAATTGCCTTAGAGAGACGTGTACGTTACATTGCTTTCTCGAAAATAAAATTTTTTAACGACTCTGTAAAGTCTATTAGATTGACCCAAAACGTCCAGGTACTTTTACGAGGTAGGAAATCAGCTCACTTCCCTAGTTAGTAACTCTCCATCCAACCTAGAAAGTAACACGCTTTCCATAAGAAGACTGGTACACTTACGTTAGAGATGAGGAACGGGACTCCCATCATTACATTTTGTACTTGAAGCATTCATGTAATAGATTACACATTGATTGAATATGTTGGATGGGCCGTTTGTGTACTTGTTTTATGAAATTGAAGTTTAATACAATTTTTATATTTTTACCAGGATGGTTTGCCAGGCGGTAATACTCTTGGCGCTGGTGGCGATGATGATAGCCACGACTATTGCTGCCCAGAATCCATTTGATGCAAGTTCAGTTTATTCTGGAAAGGCAAACATTGGTCCCTTGTTCACTTCAGGACTGAGTGCCACTCAGAATAGTTATCGCGACAACAGCTACGAGGATAATGCAGTGACACCAACGCCATCCGCTCCCAGTGGTGGTGGTAGCACTGGTATTAACTTCAGATCATCTGCAGGACAGGTATGCATTGAACGATGAAAATTGAATTAAATTAGTCAATCGCTACTTGATATTTTTAGGCATACAGAAAAGTAAGTGGTGCCAACCTGGAACCTGCACGTGAATATCAGCATCAGGTACCTGTCAGAGTAACATCTGCTCAGCCTCGTGGACCAGCCATACATCCTACACGTGGTGGAGCGCATCCTCAATTCGTAGCACAAAATGGTGATCCTAGACTCGAAGCTGAGGAACTTGAGGAGGAGAAAGACGAACCTGATCGTCTGGCTATTCTACTTCAGCAGAGCAAATTTGACTGTATTAATAAGCAGACTGGTTATTATGCCGATGAGGAACTTAATTGTGAAGTCTTTCATTACTGCCAGGACAATGCCAAGCATTCTTGGATATGTCCTGAGGGATTCACTTTCCATCAAGTACATTTGATCTGCATGCCACCCAATGGTGACATCACCTGCAAGAAGAGCTCCCAGTATCACTTTGTTAATGAGTATCTCTACAAGCCTCTAAATCTTGCTGAAGCTGAGAACAAGCCTAATGTCACTCTGCGTTATAGCGAGAGATTTTATCCTGCTAATATCTATACGGACGAGCGTGAGTCTGGTGATTATCAGATTACACCCACAGGCAGTTCAGGTGGAGGTCTACCACGTCGTCCACTTCCTCAGCAGGTATCTAATTTTGTATTAGATTTGTGTAATATTCATTAACGTATAATTATGTGTATTAATACCTGAAAAATTTTAAACAGGTATTCCTGGGTCAGCAGCCATCACTAGGTCCTCTTTCCCAAAGGTCCCAACCACAGATTGCACCACAGTTCCGGGTACCGGTGAATCAAGTCTTCCGTAGTCCTGAAGAAGTGAATATTCCCCTTCAGCAAAGACGACCCCAACCTCAGCCACAATCTCAGCCACTTCGAAGGTTCCCCCAGGTGCGACCTGATGATGATGATTATGAATAACCTGAAATTCAAGTTGGTTACATCAATCGCGCAGGATGTCATGACGAATCCTTTTCTTATCATTATCATTTTTAATTCATCTTACTGATTGTTGCCTTCTGTTCTGAGCTCCCACTTTATAGTCTTCTCTTGTTATTTTTTCACTTTCTCGCCTCCTTACCTCGTTACCTCATTACCTCCTTTTCCATTACTTTTCATTACTTCTTTACTTCCTTCCTATCATGTGTTTTACTTCCATACTTCTTTCTTCTTCTTCTTCTTGGGGATAGACATTAAGGTGGGCAAATCTTGTTCTCGTGTGAGCGACAAGTCTTTAATGTATGAATGATCTGTATAATTGTGAGTATTGTAAATCCTTGAATATATGAGTTCTCAGAATGAGTTCTCATACGTGATCGTAAACGAGGAAAGCGAAAGAGAACTGAAGCCACCTTAGACGTTTCCTACTTGGTAACGAAGGTGGCGACGTCCGAGATGGGCGCCAGTGTAAATATATTTACAGAAATTAATAAATATTTGGCCAGAAACTATTGACAATATCACATTTACTTACAATCGCATAAATATGACAATATCCGTAGAATACTTGAATATTTCATTGTATACACATTTTAGTATGTATCTTGAATAGTTTTGATGACTGCCCTATATGTAACTCAGCGGAAGAAAACTCGTATGACAGGTTGAATATCTATGGGCGTAAATAAATTAAGGTTTTAAATAATAATTCATACTTGACGTTCCCCGGGTTGCGGATACTCAGGAGTCTTAAACTTTCTATCCATCAACATATAACGCAACATGATTCCATTTAATAATTCCATTTGGAAACTGGTTTTAAATTAGATGGGCAAAACATTGGGTGGCGACATAATTTTTACGTCTACAATATTATGTATTCCTTCTTCCTATATCCAATCCTGTTTATAAAGCTTGATCTTTTTCTGAAAAAGAAATTCTGTGGAGCTCTTCCACGTGATATAAAGTAAGAGGTAAGAATTTTACTATTCGATAAAAATTTATCAGATCAGCAGCATAGTATATGATATAAATCAGCATAACAAGAAGATATACATTACTTTGGCGTACTAGTTGCATAAGAGCGTCACTAAGGATTCATAGGTAATATAAAATTACGACAAAAGCTGGCTTATTGCATAGTAAGGAAATTCGAGTAGCTCTGGAATTTGAGTTCCAGTTTAACCTTAGAATATCAGGAACTTGATCCTTGACTGGATATAAATCCAACAGGCAAAAAAATATAAAGAGATGCCGCCATGACTGAAATCATATATGCGCACGCAGCTTTCCCCCACTCTACACTGTTACAGGCAGCACGTGTTCGCCAGCTAAACAGCTCACTGTCGCTCACGACACGGTAAGGTACGGGTCGACTGTAGTACGATAGGCGACTGGTGGCAAGTTTCACGCCTGGGTGGTGCAATGGGGTAGTTGGAACAACATTGGAACTTGTGTTCAGTTATGATGATACGTCAAAACCGAACTCTTGTTCCATTAGCCTAATCTGCAAGTTGCTTAACATGAATCTGTTTAAGTTCTCTTTAGTTAACTGAAACCTCTCAAGAGGAATATTATAATTAGATTTGAATTTGTTGATTGCACCACGTTAAGCAACACTACAGCGGGCATCTGTCGTTCCAACTGTTTCATGAAGCCGCTCATTGCGTCGCTTTAGTCCACTCATTGTGTGGATCAGTGTCTCCTCTGACGCTCATCATGACAGTGAGTGATCTAATTCTAAACGGTAATAATAAAAAATTAATAATTCTAGTAGTATCTTGCATCTTAATACCTTGTGGATAATTATTCTATTTTCTTTAAACGTTAACATAAACTTATCACGAGCTCCTTTTATTACCGTCTAGACTTGGACTTTGACTAGACCGACGTAACGAGCAGTGCATCGTTCTTGTTTGAATTTGCCCACTGCGTCGCTATCTGCTGAAGCGCCGTTCCTACTGGAGTTGTGAAGCGACAAGGCGTAACCAGGGGCACAGGAATCGTCGCTCTCATGAAACAATGATTTATGGTCCAGCTCTTTTCATTCTTCCACCCCAACATTGGCACCGGATCCCTCAGGGTGCTGTGCCAGCCGATGAGATACTCTAAGCCTGACTAGAACAATAAGGAGTACCAAGCAGCAATGCATAACCTAAGATCCTGTTTTAACATTGTAATGTTACGTCATTGACTGAACTCCTTCCAGGGTCACCCAAGTCCTCTCACTATACCGTTCACTGTACTGATCTGATTTAAATCCTGACGATACATATGAGAATACCGGAGGATCGTTTAAGTGATAAGCTTGATTTCTACTTCACCTTTGAACATCAAAAGTGTGACACTGAAACTCAAGTATCACTACTATCTCTCCGGCCTAATCACCGTGAACGACACTGAGCTCCACAATGAGTCGAGCAGTACAGTGAACGGCACAGTGAAGAATCTGAGTGTGAAGAAGCCGTATGCCTTGTCTACGTGCTATGTTTAACATGGTACAACAAATTATATTTATTCTTAGATATTTGTATTTCAAAAGAAAACTAAGTTGAATATTATTGATGAATTGAATGGAGAGTAAGCTGTACCACGTTAAGCTTATAGACTTAGCAATAGAAATGAGTTCGGTCAGTGTGATGTAACATCACAATGTACAACTGGAACTCAAGTTCCATTACCACTTTGGTCTCCTCACTGTGCCCCTCAAGCTTAGGGATACTCATCGAACACGACACAGTCCCCTAAGTGACACAAACCGTGCCGTGCCATGAGCGGCAATGAGCCGTGATAGAGCGGGAGGACCTTAGGCATAGCTAGTAAGGAGTGCGGAGTGGGGAGATCTAACTGAGCAGGCGCATGTGTAAAAATTAGACGCAGTCTAAACACTAGAATTGCTTTGTTCGGAAAATTTGTAAGGGAAATGGCATACGAATATACGGTTTAAAATAAATATTCAAAGTTTTATTTGTAGATACATAAGGTGCAATATATACTCGTGAATACATCTTCGAATTTGTTACTAGTACAATTGAGCCGTTCAGTACACACATCGATTAACTCCATAAAACAAAAAGTTGAGAAATGCGATGAAGTAATGTATATTGTAATTACTTATTATTCAATGACCAAAAAAATTTTGCCGTTTAATGGTGCTAATCTTTATTATTCAGGAAAGTTATTATAAATATAAAAAGTTATGACTATACCAAGTGCTTTGACACTTAAATTTAAGATTTTTCAAAAAGTGGAGTTAATCGATGTGTGCACTGAGCGGCTCAATTGTTAATTAGTAATCTAGTTCATAGTCTCATGCTGTGTTGGAGAGATAGCGCCACGTGTGTATTCTAGGAGAGGCTGTTTTTTGAGTAAATCTTCAAATCGCGCCTACTTCAAGTTTTCCTGTAATGATAAAATTAGTATTGCTAATGATTGATTTTAGATATTATTATGCATCTACCAAAAATTGATTAGCAAACACATCGATTAGTCGATTATACAGATCACTGCAATTATCCAAGGACCAGCTGAATCGTCTTTGTGTATATTACAGATTTGACTTCTTTACACTACATTTACTCAATGACTAGACTTGGTATGGCAGCACATGCAAAACACTGGTTCCATTATTTTTGTTTATAAAACCGTCGTATAGACGCCAAGTCATTATGAGCTAAATTTCAAGAAAATTATACACTCACTCGTTCATTCGTCAAATTAACTAGCAGAAAGCACGCGATTATTTATATTCAGACGAATTGCTGTTATTTGGTTATTTTTTTTATTTCTAGCCACACCCGCGCACACTAATTAATACATTTTATACGCATCCCTCGTAAGTACAACACATATTGCACGCGCAATCTCTTAAAGAATTTCTTTGCCGGTCAAATGTTCTTACGGATTTGCTTGAACGCTTATGCTAGCCCTAACAACGAGTTAAGTCTTGTGTAACTTTGTATGCATTGGTTTTTCAATGCATATTCTTTCTATAATGATGGATTACAGCAATTAACACTGAATGCTTTAAATATTTGCGGATGGCATACCTTTTGCCTCAATAAATTAATAATGTACAGTTGAGTTAGTGCATAGCTTGCAAATATTAACTTATAAGATTGAACGATTCAAACTTCTTGTAAGATTTGTTTAGATAATTAGTAAGTTATACTAATGCCTGTATATTCCTGCTAGAATTTCAATGGAATAAACGTTCGTCCAATCTGTCTCTAGCATATGTTTGAACATAGCTGATCTTCAAATCCTGTGTAAAGATATCCTCATCCTCATCCTCATCCTCATCCTCATCTTCTGACCACTGTTTATATATACTGCGATAAGTTCTGTTATATTGGGTTGTAAAGAACAAGAGTCATGGCGAAAGAGAATTGTAAAGAAACCAATCACTCTTTTGTAAGAGCAGATATGATTGTTCTTACCAAGGATGTCATGGTACCAGTACTAGTTCCATTAGCTGCTGAGAAAATGCTTCCTGTAAGATCTGAAATTAGGAAGAGAACGACCATTATCAAGAGTAAGAAACGTAGAGCATCAGTGAAAGAACGAATTTCTAAATTAAATAGTGGGCAGCACAGTAATGATATCTATGACTTTGATTGTGTTCCATTGTCCCAACAAGTCTCTACATTGAGTTCTAGAAATTCCACAACCATAGAAAAATTCTATAAGCTGAGACGATTGAAAAACACAAGCAAAACCTCGGAGTTGGCTTTCCCATGCACAATTCCAGTGTCACGAGCTCCTTCCTTTATCTCTCAAAGGAATGTTACCTCTAAAACAAGTTTATCTGCCAGTGTAACTAATTTTAAAAAAATCTTCAATCAAAAACTTGAATGTTTATCAAGAGATGAATCTCTTACTATCCAAACTGATGGACTAAAACGGAAATTAAATGACTACAATATTGTCTCAACAGACAGGGAGTCGAACAGTGAACAAAACAAAGATAAAAGCGAAATAAATATTTATACTTACGACAGTATTCATTCACTGAAGAAAAACAATTCTACTGAAGCGAATGAAAAGCCTGGAGGGCCAAGTGAAACTAAATCTAGTAATTGCACTATGGACAAGTATTCTTGGCATGACTTGAAAAACTGGCTACCACCTTCGCAAAAAATCTTTAAAGTAGAAAAAGGAGAACAGACCTTTGATGAATTTAATAATAGAAGGAAACTCAATTGCAAAATAACGTATTCCTGGGAAATTATAGGTGCTAGTACTCAGACTTCGCAGGTACTTGTACAGAACTCATGTCCTAAGTACGATGTCAATGAATATAGGGACCTGGAGACAGTTGTTACCAATGGGAATGAACAAGGAAAAAATCAATGTAGTATTAAATACTCTTGGCAAATTATTGGGGAGGGTATACAAGCATCCTTAGCAGACAGCAACATGGATTACTGGAAAGGCACTATAGTAACTCCAAGAATATCTTGTACCAAGAGACAAACTGACTCTGTTGAAAATGTTTATGAAAAGAACAGAAAAGGAATATTGGAAATTGGTGATAGTAATAATATCAGAAAAAATTTGTTAGATGGAGTGAAATATATATTTTTGAATAATGAGACTACGCAAACTCAGATGGAAAAAGAGACTCAGGCAAATCGTCCAGAATGTCATGGGACGTACTCTTGGCAGAATCTATCAAGGAAGCATTTACAACCTAAAGGATACTTACTGAGAGGTGGATTCAAGGAGACTAGAACATTTAAAGATATTTTTAATAAGGAGACATTAAAAAAGACTACATAAAAAGACTTATCATAAAATCATATTACCTGGAAACCACTATTCTCTTATAGAAAGAGACAAAACTTCCTGTTTCAGAGAATCCTCCCTGCAACCCCAGAATTTTCCAGCATGCAAAGCTATCCTATGCAGCTTGACTCCAACCACAATGAACAAATGCTTTGTACAAATGACAGATCATTGAACTGTCACATCAAACCTGATGATTATGAAGTTTTTATTGCAATGGATAAAGAAGATATCCATTTGCCCTTTGTAGAACTTCACAATGAAGTAACAACCAGTTGCTGGAACCTGACATTCATCTCAATGGACAAACACAAGGAACTGTTATTGGATTCCTACAAGGAAGACGGAATACATCCTGACAATACGTTAGCAGAAAATATTTTAAAAAAACACGTTGCACCATTAAGGCCCAATATAACTGAAATACATGAAATCCCAGCACATTGTGGAGACATAAAAACACGACAAAATGAATTGACGTCACGGCTATCCAATGCTCTGGCAAAATTGAAACAATATAAACAGCGTAAAGATGCAAATTGGTCCTTGGACTATTCTTTACTGGATGTGAAGGACGATTTCTCTGTTAAGGATGCAAAACTACCAAGGCACGTTGAAGAAAATATCAAAGGAATAGTTGACTCAGCTCAGGAGTATATTGGGAAGCTGGAGGAACAACTTCAAGAATTGAACTGTGCTGATCAGCAAGTATGAGATATCATTATACTGTGAATAAAATTCATTTATACTATGATATCGTTCGTGACAGATTCTTAATGATTTCAGATAGAAAGGAGCAGTGAAAAAACATTGAAAGACATAGATGAGACTTATCAAGCTCTAGTGGATGACGTATGTAGAGAAATAAATCTTAAACGGCATTTGCTAAGAATGGAAACGGAGGTATACAAGAATGAAGGTCTAGCACCACTTAAAGCTTGTAGACAAGAAGTTAACGCACAAATACAGAGTACCCATCACCTTATTCATTTAATAGAAACTATGCTTAGTCATCCTCACACTTTTACAAGAGACAGACTAGGAAAGATTGTAGCTGCGAGTAGCAACATGGGAAGGTAAATATAAAAAATATAGCCTCCAACTTCTGCTATTTTTGGATTACTATAGTAAACTTTTTATTAAAAGGATACCAGCTGTTCCACTCCTGGAAGAGCTTCCCTATGTAACGTTCAGTCGGCCCACCAAGTGTACCAGAGATGAGCTCCTGGCAAAGTTCTCTGAGTTGGGCTGTGTCCTTCGCATGGGCCCTGCACAATTATCTGACATCGAAGAAAGACCAGCATCGTTGTTTGTCAAGTGGTTTATTGCAGACCCTGATTACGCCGCCGAGGAGCAGACTTTCATAGTACAAAAAGCGCCTGGAGAAGTGCTCGATCCTGCCTCCAATGCTTTTGAAACTGTCTACGAGGGTTCAGAGAGTTCTTGCTTCATCAGGGACTTGCCTGTAAATGAGCCAGTAACATTAAGGGTTGGAATACAGGTAACAGATACAGCCTGGAGTGTACACCGTATTTCTAAAACAACAATACCTGCTTACAGTAAGTATTTTGAACAGTTTCATAACAGTGATATCACATTTGATTGGGTTTTTCTTTCTTCTAGGTTGGGTTATTGATAACAAAAATTATATGATTACAAACAGTGGAAAGATAGCTGCTAAAATTACAGATCAAATTAATACACTGCTGTCTGATGGACCACAGTTTAATACAGATCACATAATTGAATTTAAAGTATGTAGAATGTTGCGAGTTGTTTGAGTTAATAAAATGATTAATTTTACTTTGAGATTAATAAAATTTGCGTATAGTTTCTAGAAGCATCTCAAGATGGTAACGATAGCGAGGGTGTGGCTCTTGTCTTTGACCCAGAAGGTTGTGAGGATACTTTGAAAAGGCCAGGGGCCTTACTTATCACACCACATGGTAAAATCTTTATCGACGGGGAAGAAAAGTTGATGAAACTACCTAAAATGCGCTTTGGTACACGAATTGCATTTACTGCAGAGCGAAAGGACAAGGATACATTGAGAATTAATATAGAATGTGCAGACAAGGCAGTGACATATGACTGGACCGTACAAACACCATTACATTTTGCCATCCGCTTTACAGAGTACAATAAATGGAATATATTGGTCAAATAAAAACAGACAATCATTAGACAGAACGCATTTATTTACAAAATACATATACATTTATTATTAAAGCTATTTAAACTGATAATAAAAATGAGTGCCTTAAATTAGCAGTGGACTTAATTAACCAGAACATCCTCTGCAACCACAGTGAATACATTCCACTATCCTACCTTCTTCTAACTTTCCCTTTGGTACCCGACAAATACAATTAGTACCAAAATTTGTATCTCTAGTTTGTATACAGCGCAAGCAGCACAAGTTCTCATAACCAACTTTCTTCCACTTTGCTATTAGATTCTGATCAGCTATCTTTTCATTCAAGCAGTAGTCATAAAGTTCTGAAAGCCCGAATAATAATACATTAAAAAATAGAAACAAAACCTCTAAACTTGCATTCAACAAGAAAGAATGATATCCACTTACCACGACTAATAGCTTTTCGCCGGTAGAACAGATCGTATATATATCTGGATTTCTGATGATGAATTTTAAAAATTGGCCAAAGAGATTCCTGTTTCCTTTTGCCTTCGTGTGGTTCAGTTTCAGCTGCAGTAAAGAAATAATTTAACGTCAACCATAACTTAATCCATGTCGATCATAACCTATAAAACGAAATGATTACCTTCACGCATTTTTTGCTCCAATTCCTCGAGCGTAGGTTCTATAAGTTCCCAACCATCTGGAGGTGCCTTCTTGCTTCTTCTTACTTTCGGCATTATGCTTTATTTCCCACACTATTAAGAAAATCAATTACGCACCTTCCCCTGATAGAACCCACAGAAAGCACAATAAACTTATGTACATACACAATCTAAGTAAGCGTCGTTATGATCGAACAAGCGAAGAGTGTGGGAATGTCGAGCGACTTGAAAAGCGGCGACCTATCAGAATCGAGAATCGATTCCTTCAGACACTGAAATCTAAAAAAACTAGTATTAAGTATCAAACGTTTTTACAAGACTATTAAACGACTATCAAACGATTGGAAGTAGAAAAAGTTTGCAATATTGTCTAATTCAATGGAAACACATATCGAGAAAACGATGGTATCGTATCGATTGAAATCTTTGATTCGCATGTTTTTTTTTTCATTTTTCTAGCAAACGGTGGACAATCAAACGTTTTTATTAGTTATTTTGTAACTATCAAACGATTGTGCATCGATTAAACCCCTGAAAAGCTAAATCCAATTAGAAACAAAAAAGAGTCGGCCAATTTCACACCAGCTTTTGATTTTCTGAAAAAACTATTGACTATCAAACCATTAGAATAAGAAAAAGTGAAAAAACTAAAAGTTGGCCGGCCAACTTATACAGGCTCCTTAATTACTAAACTCTATTCAGAGTATTAGTAATAGAGTCTTAACTCTATTCAAATATACAGAGTTTGGTATGGTTAATGATTCATTTTTATAGAATTACTATGAATTACTAGCACTGCTCAGCATTCAGAAATGTTTAGCGATCCTTCAGTAGAATTATATAGAATTATTAAAAACTCCGTGTACAAGATGACAAAAAATGTAAAGATTAATTATCTTTTTCACAAAATTTGACATCATTTTATCTCACTAGAAATATTTTGTTTAAATAGTGATAAAATGCCGTCTACTGTGAAGCGTTGGCATATGTGACTGCAGCAGTTTTATGAAACCTTTGCAGCAAGCTTCGCGTCAGGAGGATTAGTGGCTAAAGTTTCTCATGAAGTTAGAGCTCAAGTATTATTTGTCAATCGATCGACAATGGCTGGTATAAAAGGTTATTTTTTTTTTTTTGATAATTTAGCTATTATATCTTAAGGATGAATGGAAACAAGAGAAACAGGTTACCGTGCTGAATAGGTTGAAAAAAATATGAAGTATAAAGTCATAACCTTGTGCTGTTAGACATTGTTATGCTTCAATTATCTTCATCTTGATTCTCGTATAATTTATTAAGAGTGTAATAAATTTCCTTACGCGAAATTTAGTTTTTTTTTTTTATTTCAAAGAGAATTGTCATTTGCTAACCTGTATTATTGTGGTATTTACATTATGAGAAGTAGGTTGACATATTTTCTGTAAAGTTTTATTATTTTGTCAATATGTACTGTATATAATAATGTTGTCATCATTTTGTCTGTCTTTTATATTCCAGTAAAAATCACTATTATGCAATATATACTATTTTACTGTTGGGTTATATTCTAACTAACTTGTTTTCTGTTCCATGTTATTTCTGTTGATGATTCATGATTTATAGCGTAAGTATATGTATAAAATGTTGTGTGCTACAATATTAGGTTACCACAGAAATTGATTAATTACTCTTGATTTCAGATTAATATCTTTGGCATTTGCGGGGTCCATTGGTATGACATTTGTCATCCTAGGTTGTGCATTGCCTGCATACCAGTAAGTGAAATGATATTTTTTTTTTCTAATATCTAAATTATGAATATTTTCAGTGTATGGTGGCCGTTCTTCGTGGTTCTTTTTTATATACTTGCACCAATCCCTACATTAGTAGCACGGCGTTATACCGATGATTCAGGAAGCAATAGCAATCCCTGCATGGAACTTGCCATTTTTGTTACCATGGGATTTGTAGTATCATCATTTGCCCTGCCTATTGTATTAGCCAGATCACCAGAAGCAGATCCAGTGGTATGTAAAATTATCTACTTATACCTGTATATGTATTAATTATTTATTAAAATAATTCCAGATACAATGGGGTGCATGTCACTTTACGCTAGCGGGAAACGTAATAGTTTACTTGACACTGATTGGATTCTTCATGACTTTTGATCAAGATGATTCTGACTACAGTATGTGGTGATGCAGTTCTAACATTATGCACTTGCTGAGGTAAAGTGGCACACCTGTTATTCGTTATTTCCCATATAGAGGGTGTGCCACAGTTTGCAAACATTCCATAGCACATAATTGCTAATGAGAATCACCTTAATACAATACTATATATGATACCTTGCAATTGAATATCCTAAATAAGATTAAATATACAATTATAGATTTGTAACGAGATCAACCGGAAAGGCTCCATGCAGTGACTGATGGCTACGCTTTAATTCTAAAAGGATTAAACTTATTGTATATTACTTACATGTAAATGATAATATAGATCTTGAGCAACTTAGGTTAAAAATGTGGATACATTAATGTTGGCCATCATTTGAACAAATGAAGTACGTTGATCACGGTATGATTAAAATATGAGTTATCAATTTAGTACAGGTGAAAAGTGAAAAGTACCGTACATCCAATAGCACGAAATGGTTGTAGAATTTGAATTTAACTATTGGCGCAGAAATCTTCATCGTAAGATCGGTATTAATATTTTGCATTTATATAACGCATAAAGACATATACATAAACTTATTCTGCAATAAGTTGTCATTTTGAGTTCAGAAGAAATGACAGTGATACTCGGTGTTTTAAGGAGACAATTTGATACATTTAGAAAGTACATCAGTCGATATGCTGCCAATAAGAAATACTGATTTGCAGGGAGAAGTACCTCCTAAATAAAAGGAAATATAATAATGTCGAGATACTACATTATATAAAATTAATGCAATTACACAGAAAGAAATTTCCAGAGAAGTCTTGTCATTTTTTTTTACTTACCTTTTTTTATAAGAACCAACACTTGATTTTATTGATTGGTTGAAATATGAAATGATCTAAAATGACTCCCTTTCATTGGCAGTGATTATTTACACACTACATTTTGTGATTTGTAATCTATGTACAACGCAAATAATATATAAGGCGAAGCGATTTACTTATATTCGGCTACATATTTGTCATTAATTGATTTCATAATGTTATTTAATAAAAGTATTTTGAGAAAAATGAGATGCATTATAAATTAATAAGGATTATTCGTTTTAACAGTTTTTATATTTGTGATATAAATTCACATCAATATTATGTCTTCAAGAAAAATAAAGTAAATCTACTATTACATATAATGTATAAATTGTATTTAATCTTACATGTGTATATCACATAATAATTCTTTACAATATATAAATATTTCTGTTTTCTTCGTGGTCTCTGCGGTATAAAATATTAGTCACCTAATGTTACCCTCTACCTCGATTAAATTATTGATAACAATAATTTGGCTGTTGTAAATTAACTAAACAGTATAGAAAATTGTTAGCTGCATAATACTATATTTGATTGATCGACTCTTGTCTTCTTTTGATTATAATTGATTAGATGATGCAGTATTTTGATCATGGATGCAAAAATTCGTAATTGATGAACAAAGTTATTATTGTTTCAGCTTCAGATGCATAATTACAATTCGTAACGGAATGCGATAAAATTTTCTAGAATATCTTTAGTTATTTCTGCGATAAATTCTTTCCAGAAAATTTAAGAAAAGATCATGTGGAAGACCCCGAGATATCTGTTGTATATGAGTGTGCATAAGGTTATAGCTCTCCTCCTCATAAATGGAATAGGTTGTTGGTAAACCTAGTTCGTTGTAGAGTTGTTTGACTTTAGCGGCCTTTTCAGCATCATCATATCCGTAACAATCCTTACAAGATAAAAAAAATAGATGTATACCATTAAATATCTAGCAATTGACGTTGATAACAGACGTCTTATTTACCTCAAGAATTTTTCTTTGGGCAGGTGTTGCACGTTGTAAAGCGACAACAGCCAACCACGAGCACTTCCCATCTTGAATATCACTACCAATTTTTCCTATGACTTCGGAATCTCCATAACAATCCAAATAATCATCTTGTACTTGGTAAAAGTGGCCCATCTCTAAAAGTATAGTTTTCGCCTGTCTATGCATTTCAGGATCTCTGATACCTGTCTGTTATTATGATAACAAGTTAAAAAGCACCATAAATTAATTATCCGCAATAGCAAATGTAATGTCACTAGAAACCATAGAAATACTCACAAAATACATAGCCAGCGTGATGGGCATAACAAAAGAATAATAAGCAGTTTTATATTTGACAATAGCATTGTATCGGTCCATAGTGTAAAGATCCAAATTTGGTTTTTGACCAAAATTCGTGGCTAGCTGATCCAATGTCTGACCCATTACTGTCTTGAGTGTGTTCTATAAGTTTTAATTTTTATTTAATTTGTCAATCTCTTCTAAAGCTCTATATATAATTCCGAAGCAATTTACCTCATGGAAAGTTTCCATAAGATCAACGTAACAGAGTTTGTCTCTAAAGTTGGTCCGTAGAAGATGGTAAACAGTTTGTTCCAGTAGGATTCCATCGTTAATAGCAGATAAGCCAATATTGTTCACCAGATACCAGCAAGGCTGGCCTCGACGTATCTTTGAATTATCCATAATATCATCCTCTATCAGCAAATATGCCTGGAACTGGACAAAGATACAATTCTCTCAATTTTAACACTGAATAAAAATTTACTGTTCTCCACGATTGTATGTAGGATTACCAGAATGAAAATATAAATGAAATATACAATAAAATAAAGTACACTATCTATTTTTCAATATTGCCGTGCTTGAGGCAATTTTATGGAAACAATTAAGTACGTAGAAGATAATTTTTCATAATCGGTTAAACTGTGTAATTGATAGTGCCAAAAGTGCATTCTGGATACACAGAACCTGTTGGACATTTATTAAAGGAGGATTATAGGAACTTAATCCTATTATGACAAACAAATCTATGCATACTAATCGATGCCAATCAGTATGGAATGCAAAAGTCAATATCATAATTATCAAAATATTATGAAGGAATTACCAAAATACAGTGTACATACAATTTCTAAACACCAGCCTAGAACTCGTGCCAGCCGTATGTTATCCTCTGTCAGCTGATCTCGAGGTGCCAGCATTTTATATGCATAGACCAGGGACAGTCCACGATTTTTCTTTCCACCAGGAACATTATATTGTAATACCTGTGGTTAAAAATATATATAGAACTTTTTGAGATTAGTATATTGTCATGTTTTACCTTAGCTAACCATTTGGTAGCATCTGGAATGTCCAGGTGACGTCCTGCATCCGTAAGATCTCTAACGACATCAGGCCATATAGCCATCATCTCTCTACTCTCTTCCCTACTGGCCATCCCAGTGCTTTGTGGCATCACATTATGAAAAGATGCACTTGCCATTCTGAAAAAACAATTTATATAGCATTTAGTAGAAAACTACTGCTTATTATTTAAAGAAAAATTTATCTGTGTTACTTCAATATTGTACTTTTTCAAAGTTGCGCAGTACAAAGCCAACACGAAACTAAAAATCTTATGGAAAGAGGCAGCCTATATATACCTATTATTATCATAATAACCTAGGTTAAGTAGGCTGCGTAGCTGCTTATATTACAAACCATGACAGCATGCTGTATTTCACTCAATATATTACTCAATGGTTTTTTTTAACTTTTTTCACCAAGTATATAATATAGATTCTTTATCAAAGTAGGCCATGAAAACAATGATACTTTGCTAAAATTGACATGTGGTACATGGATTAAAAACAAGGATTTAGTTGTCAATTCAAGCTCTATGCAATTAGAATGTTTATAATACTATGCCAGGGAGCAAAAACATTCCTGAGACTGAGAAATCTTCTAATTTAAATAATGATTCTAAGGTGAGATAATCATTGTTTAATTCTATTATATGTTTTTGTATCAGCATTATTGTTTCATACCATGTAATATGTTTTAAATTTTGTCTAATAAAAAGGGTAACCCCAAACATCCTGATCCAAGAATCAGTGACTCTCTGACAGTGGCTATAAAGACAATAACTCATCGCGGTACCCAAACAATAATACATTGTCCACCGAACTTAACAAAGGAAGACTTCATAAATATGATCAGAAATACAAGAATATAAATGATAAACGTAAGTGATATTCTTTACTAATTGGAATTATAGTGCCTACATCTCTTAGCTAATTTAATAAAAATTTGCTTCATATCATATGTTTAAAATACGTATCTATCATATATGACATTACTTATGGTTGTTTAATCGCTGATAAATATTAATAACCGGTTAGCATAGCTTTACAATATTCGAGCAGATTTATGAGCAAGATTTCGGCATAGATGAGAAAATATTTAGAAATATCTAAAATATTAGAAATAAATGCCATAACAGAATCGAGAATTACTCCAGAAAAGGCATATTGTACGACAGATGAATAAATAATAAATTAGAACTGTTGAAATAATTTAATTCATCTGCGTATTCATACTTATACGTCAGAGATTCACTTCGTAAATAATTAAAAAAAAAAGTTTCCCCTGCTCTTGCTTCTGTTTATTCTCACATAACAGGCCAGATGTTCTCTAAGCTTGCCTTAGCTTTTGCTACTGCTTTAACTTGCAAGCTTGATAATTATTGTTATCAAAAACAGAAGTAGGCTAATATCTCTTTTAAAATAATATATGGAAACACGTATAAACACGCCATTCCGCTAATCGCATTCAGTTCAACTCATATAAATAATTATCTTGAGTATAGATCCATATGTAAATACACATAGCACTTGTAGCTGAAAATAATCGATTTAGATATCGAATATAAAATTACTGGTGATACAGCTGATAATCACTCATAATTTAATGGAAAAGTGATGGACAAATAGATATATGTAGATATATGTATTTAGTCAAGCAGTCAGGCGTTCAATGCGTGACTGAAATAACTGATGTATTTTTTGTAGGAGAAGCTTGAATACATAAGGGAGGGTCGAATTATTTGGTGGAGATTTTCAGGTGGATGCTATGCGACGATTAGTAATGAAAAAAAGAAAAAAGATCTAGGAATACATAGCATCATAGGAAAATATTGTAACAATAGTATTAACAGCATATCATTTTACCTGATATGCCTGGTTGGTAATTTCCATGTGTCTTTGATTATACACAGGTGTTTTTTCAATGCTATTTTTAAATGGGATGTTGCACTTGCGTAGTTTCGTTGAAGACCGGTTTTATTTAATACTAACGTAAATATTTTCACGTTGAAAGACATGTCAGCGATGATTAGTATCACGTAACCTCTTTGTTAGCGTAGAAAATCTACGCGCTTCTCAGGTTCGAACGTACCACATCAGAGCACCTAACGCTTTATATATACATATATATAATCTACATTGCATATAGGTGCAGTGTAAACAAGAATCATGGAGTAGAATTAGTAGATGGACATAGGTATAAAATGATGATGACGATGCTGCAGAGACGCTAAGTGAGGTGTGGGATTTGCCACTACTAACTTATTGCCTTGTCGGCTCTGTAGGAAAGTTATCTGGTATTCTATGAACTATGAAGAAAATTATAGCAGTGCCATCTCTCAAATTGTGATTAATTTATGTAGATACTAATTTTTCGTTATTATTTACTTCACATAAGTACTATCCGACGTATTTATTCATTTTCACATTAATAATGAAAGATATCTCTTTTCTTATTACTATATAGTTTCATATATGAATTATCTAATAAATTTTTCTTTGTTCGATGGTGCTGGCAGTCTGTACTTTGCTAGTTCGACTTCAGCCTCTGCAAAGCTTGAAACATGATAGCAAAAATATTCTGGATTTTTGTATTCAGCTTGTTTAGTTGCACCTGGTCCAACAGCTGGAAAAAATACCAATCTTTTCATAGGAAACTGATAGAAAATGGTAGGTGAACTTACGTTGGTTTGGAACTTTGACGCATTTCTCACTCAGTCCTGGAACATTGGGATTTGGAGTTGGTTGGCTGCTGATCCTTGTGCCAGATGTTTGCTGCTGGCTATAAGCACGACAGATGATTGATGAATATGATTTCTAAAAGCAGAAAATGTATGTCCATGTAGGAATGATCATAATGAAATCTTATGGAGGTTATGAAGTCCTTGAGACATTGACTGCTATTCGGGGTCAAACGATTGTGCTTCTTAAATTGTACGAACAAATAAGGATAATAAACATTATCTAAAGTTTTATGAATACCTGGAGATTAAACGATTTATTCATTGCGCGAATCATTTTCACTTGTACCTACAAAACAGTACCTAGTAGAATTACACTTATGCAAAAAATTATATAGACGTTCTTTCACTGGCGCAAAATCCAAAAGACTCATTTTCATTGGTTGGAGTTACATAATGGACTAGTCGATGGTTTTGAGGATTGTCGAATCTGCCATTTCTTGGTCGTACTCTTGAGTAAGGTAATTTTAATTATTTCAAAATAATGAAATAATATTGTCACAATATATTACTATTTTTGTTTCTGTTGGTAATTTTTGTCAATTTGTTTTTTCGTTTACCATTAAAAATAACATTACCATGTAGGGTAACCTAAAAGTATATTTATTTAAGTTTTGTTCTCATATATTTTAGGAAACGCAACAATGTATAAGATTTTGCAATATAAGTATACCGATACGCCCGATGGTAAAGATGGAATTAAAAAAATGTTCTATACTTGTAAATATGCTGCTGCCTTTGGAGGAACATTGGGCCTGTTTGACCTCGTATTTCATTCCCAAGTAACAAAATTCACAAGTAAATTGAATGTTCTTGCAGCTTATATAGTCCCAGCCGTGGGTTTTACTGCTGCTTATACAGCAACAATTTATATGGCTACAAATCTGAGAGGAAAGGACGATTGTTGGAATTATACTTTTGCTGGTATGTTTGATATTTAGTAATACTTTTACTGCAGGTATCATTCACATTTATTAAATTTCAGCCCTAGTAACGGCTGGAGTAGTTGGAATAGCACGGAAGAATATGTCAGACGCAGGTGCGCTGCTCCCAATACTTACTCTATTATCATTTGCTTACAAGCGTGGAACACAACATGGAACAAACATATTCAATCCAAAAATTGTACGGGAAGGTAGAGTGTATTATCGTGATTTGTCGCAAACAACAGATTATCCTAAAAATTACACAAAAAGTTCATAAATTTGTAAATCTTACAAAAGTTTAATTGGTAGAGAGATAAATAAATTCTGGTCCTAAATCATTTAACATTGTATCTTTATTTGTGGGCAAGGAATATATATATGCTCGTACATGACATGTATAAAATGAAAATTTTACTTAAATAAAAAAGTTATGACAAAACGATCAGTTAATAAATTACGTTAAGGTCTCTCCTTTGGTAACCTATAAGAATATGAAATTATTACATTCTTTATGAACGGTCATTATTAAACGTATTAATATACATACACAGGCTTCAAGATACTCAATTCTACGTTCCAAAGTGGTTAGTTTCTCATTGAGAACAGCTAAGCGCGATCTGCAGGACATATCTGTAATACAACAAAAATTAAATAAGCACTTCCTGTTCGTTCACGTCCTTATCTCTAATCTACTAGACAGCATTGAATGATCAAAAATATGTTGAATATTACCGAAGGAATTTAAAAAATCCGTAATCTTCTTTATGCTGCCAGTTATAACCTCAATATATTCCCGATTAGCCCAGTCCTGTTGAATTTGTTTTTGAATGGCTTCTCTATGTACTGCAGCCATTATTCTTCCAACTGTCAGTAATAATTGATGTTTCGGATATCGATTATTTGATCTTAATAATAGTTGACAGTACCCGAATGAACACTTTTATATGAACAATACGAACTATAAGCTGATGAACCGATCGAGTATGAACGAAGCACCGTGAGATGGAGTCAGTAAGAACACAAATTTTGTACCGTCGACCATTTTTGTTCCTATACACGTTGACTGAATAGGTAAATAAAGTGAACATCTTATGTGATACATTGTCACGCAACTATAGGGTCGCTTGCATCTACGAATGGACTTTATCAATTGACATACTATATATAGTTATATATTATATATATCAGAATTGCGAGGCACATGTATCATAGGTATGTCTAATCTATTTATATTGAGTAAATGCTGGAGAGATGTCATGGGCGTAGGCTCAGTCGGTAAACTTATTCACCTATTGGGTGATTTGTTAATCAACAAAAGAGGAAGTCCATTCTTTACATATTTGCTTTTGCACTTTGTATGGCTTAACACATTGTTCTGTACGTACATAAACAATAGCTGAGATGGAATTATAAACAGAGTCTAAAAAGAAAGAATGGAGTGAAAGTTAATGGTAGAGAGTTTATGTAATATCACACTAATTTTGTATTATTTTACGTTCTTTTATTTTCCATTGCACTGAATGATTTTATTGACTCACTGCTAATAACGTGCATGTTATGATTTTCGGAAGATGTGCCATTTTGGCAACGGTTCGCCAAATATCTGAATTTTCTAAACAATTTCACAATAGCAACAAAGGCATTTCGTTTTCTGATAGTGTGTTCCGTGCAGGGAACCGTCGACAAATTGAAAGGCAAGTTTTCGACAATAATGATTTTGTCCAAGGCTTTCCATAATTCTATTCAACTCTATAATTAGATCCAGTCAGGATTTCCCAGTATTTCTACCACTGTGTGCTGGAATGGCTTCCACATCTGGACACGTAACCAGTCATGGTGCAGTCAAGGAACAGAACAGGCTGTCTCTTGAAAAATCCCCATATCTTCGGCAGCATGCTACAAATCCTGTACAATGGTATCCATGGGGCAATGAAGCTTTGGAGAAAGCGCAAAGGGAGGACAAACCCATTTTCCTCTCTGTTGGATACTCTACTTGTCATTGGTGTCACGTTATGGAGAGAGAATCTTTTGAAAATACTGAAATAGCATCAGTCATGAATAAATTTTTTGTAAACATTAAAGTTGACCGTGAGGAAAGACCTGACATCGATAAGATTTACATGACCTTCATACAGGTACAGCTAAGAAGATTTTGGAGCAGATTCTTACAACACTGCATGTCGATGAATGCTTGTCAATTATTTTTATTTACATTACTTTATTTACAGGCAATTTCAGGACATGGCGGATGGCCCATGAGTGTGTTTCTAACACCAGATTTAAAACCAATAACAGGTGGTACATACTTTCCACCTGTTGATAAATATGGTCAACCAGGATTCAAAACAATTCTACTTAGTGTTGCTCACAAGGTTCATGCCTTTTAACAAATTACTAAGTATTAATTCGTTAAATCCTGCTGATTTAGATACTATTTCTTACAGTGGGCTGAGAATAAAAGTGACATTTTAGAATCGGGATGCCGAATCCTGGACATATTAATGAGGTCCACTAGAGATAGCAGACAGCCAAAAGTACGTGCACATAGAGAAACATTTATAGAACGTTTAGACTAATATATATTTAATTAAACTAAAAAAAACAGGAACGCATTATTCCACCAATTGACGTCGGATACACTTGCGTCCGACAACTAGCTAGTAGCTACGATGATGAATTTGGTGGATTTACAACTGCACCAAAATTTCCTCAGCCAGTCAATTTTAACCTGCTTTTTCATATGTATGCAAGAGAACCAACTGGAGCATTAGGTGAACAGTGTTTAAAAATGTGTCTCCATACTTTGAAAAAGATGGCACATGGTGGAATACATGATCACATAGGCCAAGTATGACGAAAAATTCGCCATAAATTAGTGAAAGCAAAAAATTTATTTTCATGTAATAAAATTTAAATGCTGTATGAGCATTTCATTTCAATTTCAATTCATTTCTAGGGGTTCGCTAGATACTCTGTTGATGGCAAATGGCATGTGCCACATTTTGAAAAAATGTTATATGATCAGGGTCAACTTTTACGATCATATACAGATGCTTATATCGCAAAAAAGGATGCGTTTTTTTTAGAAACCATTGACGACATTGTAACGTATGTTACTCGAGATTTACGGCACAAGGTGGACCATTTTAACAAATCTTTAATATTCACTTCTTGTCTAATAGCTATAGTTAACGTCTACTTCTTTAGGAAGGAGGATTTTACAGTGCAGAAGATGCTGATTCACTACTTAGTCATGACTCTAATATTAAACGAGAGGGAGCATTTTATGTTTGGACACATGATGAAGTAGAGGATCTCTTGTCTAAAGAAATTCCAAATCATGATAATTTGCGTCTCTCAGATATATTTTGCTATCATTATAACGTCAAGCCAGAGGGCAACGTTGCGGAGCATCAAGTCTGTACCAGTTTATTATCATTATATAAAAAGATATTGAAATGAATTCCAGATTATCATTTATATTTACATTAACAGGATCCGCATGGAGAATTAACAGGGCAAAATGTCCTCATTATATACGGGAGTTTGATAGAAACTGCAGAACATTTTGGATGCAGTTCAGAGGAGATTGAAAAATATTTAAAAGAATCTCGTGCGATATTATTTGAACATCGCTCCAAACGTCCAAGACCTCACTTAGATGATAAGATAATAACTGCTTGGAACGGTACGAATATATTTGTATTAGTAAAATTGAAGTATCTAATTGCATTCTAATTATTGCAGGATTAATGATAAGCGGATTATCGATTGCCGGACTAGCTGTTAACAATGTAAAGTACATAAAGTACGCTGAAGATGCTGCTAACTTTGTAGAGCGTTATCTGTTTAATAAGGAAACAGGATTGCTATTACGTAGTTGTTATCGTGGTGATAACGATACAATAACCCAATGGTTCGTATCGTCCTGATCAAGTGATAAGTATTACGAAATTATTATTTTTTGTTATCTATGGTAATATGACATGCAGCGCCGTCCCTATAAACGGATTCCACGTGGACTATGCTTTTATGGTAAGAGGATTGTTAGATCTTTATGAAGCAAGTTTCGAGGCTCATTGGCTGGAATTAGCAGAAAAACTTCAGGCAACTCACGACGAACATTTTTGGGATGAGGACGCTGGTGGTTACTTTGCTACCACTAAGGATGATCCTAGTGTAATCCTACGACTTAAGGATGGTACGTATTGCGGGCAACCATTGTTTCCTTTGTAGTTCTTGCATCGTTGCGTTGTGGGTTCATCTAGTAGAGACCAAGATAATACTGGTTATTTATCGTAGTACGATATATGTAAGGTAATGGCTATTAAGTCCATGAAAACGCTAACGCCACAAGGTGCACATGGCCCGCGGTCACGTGACCAACTTAACTAAAAGCCTTTCTATTTCAAAGACGTCAAAATATTTATAGCGCCGGCTGTTTAGTGTTAGATCGCGGTCAGCCAAATAGTTAACTATACCAGAGACTGGATGTTCCTGAATGTCGATTATGCAAAAGGCGTAGCACCCTGGGGAGCATAAAATTAAAAACGCAATTACATTAATTGCATTATCACCTGTTTATTTGTCTATCTATGATTTGATCATCTTTATTTTTATTCCGCAATTTTTATTGGTTCACTCTTCTTCCTTGAAAATAGATCATGATGGAGCAGAGCCATCCAGCAACTCTGTAGCTTGTAGCAATCTACTGCGACTGGCATCTTATTTGGACCGCACTGAACTTAACGAGAAGGCTGAGAAGCTTTTATCATACTTCCACGAATCGATCACCCGCATACCAGCTGCGTTTCCAGAACTCGTTTCAGCACTGATGTTGTACCATGACAATGTTACACAGGTGAGAACCATTGATGTATTCTGATGGTTATTTTGGGGCTGAATTTGGATGGATCTATTTCAGAGAAAATCTTTCTTTTCAGATTTATATCGCAGGTCGTAAGGATTCTGATGACACTAAGGAACTTTTAAGGGTGGTGCGAGAGCGCATTATCCCCGGAAGAGTATTACTCCTTGCGGATCGTGAATGCTCTGACAACATCCTGTTCCGTAGGAGCGAAGTAATGGGCAACATGAAGTCATTGGGTGGACGAGCGACAGCTTATGTTTGTCGTCGTCATACTTGTTCGTTACCAGTTACAGAACCCGGTGATTTTGCTGCTCTTCTCGATGTCAAGCCTTAGAATCATCAATTGATGTAATGATGACACTCCAATTCGTAGCTGTTAGCCTATTAGGCATCAGTGAAAATGAATCTTGATATTTTGATTTCTAGATGCAACAATGTATTGTGGATGATCAGGTATATCCTCTGTACTAAGGCGTTATGGAGTTAAGCTGGGCTTATTACGCTTTCGTCGAGATAATTTATACAATTATAATGCCTCTGTTTTTGTCCCTGTATAGGATGAGTTGAATAAATTGTCCCTTGAATTATTTTTTATCCGGATTTTTTGTAATCGATTCTGATACTGGAAATCAGTCAGGTTAGGAGTAATATTATGTATCACAAGCACGATAGCCGTGTATATATTTAGAGTATTCTATTTTGAACTTTTGCTCAGAGACTATCGAATATTTTCTTTCAAGTACGTTGTAGCAATTCGAACGGTTACTACTCGTGCACTTCCTGTTAAATCACTGATCGATTTCCGGGTTCTTTATACAGTACCTCTGGAATGACCTTAATTTAACAGGACCATCAAAATAGAACCTGGTGCATCCATCTGTCGTCCTCGGAGTTTATCGCTATGATGTGTAGTCTGATGATTTCAAGACTCTAGGGTATCCCCTCTCCAAAGAGGGGGACGTGGTGTATGATTCGTAGAATGCCTTGCGATCTCCATCAAAGCCTTAATGCGATGAGTTCAAAAGCATAAAGACAGTGAGAATAAAGAGAAAGAGTCATTATAGAGAATTTGAGAAGTTTGTTAGTACTTCTAGTTTTACATCTTCCTATTGTTATTAAATCCCAATTGTCAGGTTATCCAAAGGCAGACATAGAGAAGGACTTATGTATTTCGTTCTATAACTTTTTGCACTACTGCAGTAAATTACAAAAATTATATTGAAAAGGACAATTTTACTTGTACAATAGGCTAATCTGAAATCCAATGTGCCCGAACACAAAATTAGATAACATTACTAAGAATATTTACAAAATATAAATCTTTAAACCTTCATTATAAATTTTATCAACTCTCCGTATCATCCTCAGATTTAGTCTCCGTAGCAAACATTTTCAAAAGGGTTGACCATGAATTTTAGGGGATGCGAGAAGAGGGACTACTACCAGCTGAAGAGTGGTATTCATATAGTCCATGTCAGGGACACTAGCTGAAGTAGGAGTGCACTCCCCGAGTATGATGATGCTTTGAAAGTATGTATGTACAAACAGTGAGAAATGCACTCTGGAGATGACGGAGATGTGAACAGTATAAATTGGGTTACTGGATCGTGCATATGGATGACGTGAAGACTGTTTGCGATGGCCTCTCGTGTATTTTAGATGGACGACGAATGCCAATGAAACCAAGACGACGACGATGCTACGAAATGGCTCCATCGAGCACGAGCCCGAGAACAGCATGGATTTCTGTATATTTCTTACCGTCCTTGTTCCTGGCCTACACAGTAGAATAATGTGGTCTCTCTCATTCTCCCACTCTCTATCTCTTACTCTCTATGTACCATTCTCATCCCCTTGTATTCTAGAAGATGAGTAGGTAGGCTGGAGACCAAGGCGCAGATGGCACGTTCACATAGGGGCGCATGCGTTCCTTAGGGTGACGTTCGACGTTTCCTCAGTCACCGGTCGACGTTGCGCCAGGCACCGTCGACGCAGAGCCTGGAGACGCGCGCTTCTGCCTCTGACTGTGACTCGGAGTCAGGTCAAAGCCGCACGAGACGGTGCTCCTTTATCATCGCGTCATGATCTTCGTACGTGCTCCGTCCTGGCCATTGGAACCAGCGTCGTCGTCGTCGTCGTTTTCACCGTTGTCGTTGTCGTCGTCGCGGTTGCCGCCACTGTCGTCAACGTGGTCGTTATCCTCGTCCTCGCTATCCTTATCAGATATCTACGGATAGGTGTTAACGAGATACCTAAACCACTGGTACCGATCAGTCTCTTCAGACTCTGTAATGCTACACTCCGAATTCCGTACGATCCTATGCTCTAGACCCTGAAGAAGAATCCAAACTGAGGTTGTTCTCCTGCCACGTGAACACTTGAGTTCATCAGGGAGACTGTAACGGACTGGTTATACAGTGAAGAATAGACAAGTAGATAAGAATAGACAAAGAAGTAAAACGGTCCAGAGAATCAAGTCGTCGGAACGAGCTAATAGAAAGAAGAGCAAAGGTCTGAAGAGACTTAGGAACTTCCGGTAATACATTCTAGTGCACCGGCTCGAAAAATGTCCTTACATTATTACCCACAAGGGTATCGGTATCGTTCCGCGACGAGGACGAGTGTCAGCGGTACACCCGGTGAACAGGGTTCGGACAGTGATGTGGCCGAACTAAGCGAACTGGAGGATGATGGCGACGAAGAAGAGGATGGCGACGAGGACGAAGAAGCCGATGAAGATGATGACGAGGACGAGGAAGGTGATGAGCTACCGTATCCGGGATTCGTGCCGGTCGCTCTGCGTTATCTCGACCAGACTACTCGACCGCGCAACTGGTGTCTCGCACTCATTACAAATCCATATCCTTTACATGTAAAACCGCCTTTGGGCTTCTTAGCTGAAAACCGTCTTTACCATTTTCATTAGTTCACCTCTAGGATGGAAGAGTGCGCGCGCGCGACTTCGCATCTGTCTGTTGTAGTTTCTACCTTTTGCGCACACACCTTCCTGGCCTAAGGTCACGGTAGATCGTTTCATGTCTCTAGCACTGTCTTACTTCCATCGACATCTATTGTTACCCATTTTACAGTAAAATACTGCCGATCTGGGTAATACGTGAAATTACCTCTTTAAATTTGTAATAGCTATTTCACTCAACAAGTCAGTATACTTCGTTCAATATAACACTACATGTACAATAGCACTTTACTCAAGAGTTACCTGTTCACGGTTCACGTTGGACTGGGACTCGATCGATTTCCCTTTGACAACGATTTTACGCGTGGGGACTTTGATATCGGTGACGCGTACCTGCTCCAATCAGTGGAATGGAAAATCAGCTCGATTTCTACGTCAAGTTTTATTATGCTAAACGACCTGGAAATTTATTGTTAACGTTATTAATTATTATGCATCGAGCTAACAATAGTTAGGGAACTTTTTTTCTGGTTTTCTCCATTTTAGTATTACAGTTCTATAGCACATACCTGTTACTCGTTGCTGGGAGACAATCAAGGAAAATACGACACCGGATGCACGTGCTTGCTCTTTTTTACTGAGAACTTCACTGCTTTTACTTTCTCTCTCTCTTTCACTCTCCGATCTCTTCTGCTCTTCGCCAAGCCGGTCTTCATTGTCCTTATAACAATGGCTATGACACGGCTTTAGAGGTTAGTTGCCCTTTGTTTGAAAAATACGTAATTCCGCTCCATTTATCTCTCTCTAGCTCATGTCTTTTGAGTAGTGACACAATCTCGACACAGAGATATGATTTCTAATGTAATGAGATCCGGTTTGGCATCGCTCAGACAATGACTACAGCGAGGTCATCGTTCTTCGAAAATTTGCTACGTACCTCAGATCGATTAAATAAGCCAGGTTATAAGGATTCCTTGAGGTGGAATCATCGGACAGTCATCCTAAAAACACCTTGAAGCTTAAATACGTATATCTATCTGGGCACGGCTAACCGCTGAGGCTGACAGCGTTAAGGTAAACATTCCGGTCAGAGTTAACGTTCACATTTTTAGGCGCGACATAATCATTGCCAATTTGTTACACAGTTTATAGTTTGGTCAGGACATTACGGGACGATTAATGGTTCTACGGTACTATACGGTATAAAAAAATTTTTTAAGGAAAAAAAGAACCTAGAGTTTCGATCGAATTGGGTCACAGAAACGGTTGTTAAGTTTCTAGACCGGATATACACGAGAAACGATTCGATCAGGCTCTTGAGACTACTAGGCATAGAATTAATTTTCCATTGGATTTCATGTCAGCTACTTGAGATCCCTCGAACGTTCGACATTTATCAAACCGACGGGATCTCAAGCATTCGGGTACCCGGGGTTCCTGGGTGAGGTGGTCCGAGATGAAGGATGAAGTAGCGCTATTTTCGATTCGCGAGGCGGACTCTTCCGGAATGCGGTGGTATGTTTTACGGTCAGTCAGGTCGTACGATCGGCATAGGCCTGGGTCTGAATTGGAGGAAGTAACGTCGAGCGCGACGCCTCGCCACCTGGCGGTAGCGGCACGAACTAATCTGACATCAGTTTGATATTTTTGGTTAGGTTAATTTGCGCTCGGTAGAAATAGTCTTTATGGTGATGCGAATAATTTTATAGGTTAGGCGCCTTATCAGCTTGGCCGAGAGAAGCTCGTTATGAAATCTCGGCAGTTACTAGAGGAGGTGAACACGTCCTTGGAGTACGGATAAGAGGAGGTCCTGGATGCTTGATGTAGTACTTTGAGGAGGATGAGAAAAAGGGTTGGAATTGGGTCGACCGCGAGTCATAAAGAGAAAATACCTTAGTAGATAGGGAAATGTACTGTGCGTATATGTATATACGCCATTTAACAGAGGGTGCGGTTAGAGGGTGGTTCTTAAGATTACCGTAAGCCTACCACCCTACCCTTAATCGAGGAATCTGTACCAACAGATAGGAAGACAGTATAGCAGTAACTTCTCTCTCTGCATTAAAGCCAGTAGAAGATGCTGGAGCCAGCCAAGCTGTTTATTGATCGGGCACCCCTGGGTTTCTGGATATCAGACGAGTTCCACACCCTTACCCATAAAATTTCATGAAATTGTGCTTCGCCTGCATTTATAGGTTACGTCATATTTTTATAATTCTTCAACTCGCGTTTACCAAGCATACATACCGATTTTATAAATAACATACTGTCGCTGTATTACAGCCAATGGTAGCAATTTCTCAAACCACCCCTAATGGACGCTGTCCTTCATTCACAAATATCGGATCTACGTGTCTACTTCAGACTTGACTTTACCCCGATTCCCCATTAGCCTCTTGTGGCTTATGTTTTCCTCCCAGGGATACCAACCGAAGTTGGGACTCACCCTTATAAGCGACCCCAAGCGATCTTATGTATTATAGGAAGATCAATCAACCTCCAAAGTGGACGGACAAGCTTGCCCGGAATTTTTTCTTTTTTTTTTCTTTTTTTTTTATATTTCATCCCCTATACCATCAAACCCAAAAATATACCACTCATCCCGCTTTCGTCCACTCGACCCTGCGCGAAGTCATTCTCGAAATTCCCGGACGAAAGTTAACTATCCTAATAGAGAGTAAAAGAAATAGCGCAAGAGTTGCTTTGCTGAGGGTTTTGCTCTACTTGCTCCCTCAGTGAACAGGAATAGCATACGTACTACCAGTGGCGTCCTCGGTATTTTCACTCGAGTATTCACCTCTCGAATGGCTTGCAATTCCGCCTGGATTATACCTGCATACGTTTCATGACTATTCCTGCATCTATGACTGTGCGCCTAGGCAGTCACACACGTATACATACAAATTCCACGTATAACGTAGATACGTGTCGAGCGGTAAAGGTTCCCTACGATTCTATCGGGGATGAGTTCAGATCGATAGCATTCATAGTTTTATTTCCGTCGCGAAAGCTCGGGCTTCGTAAAGCCGGAACGTATATACGTACACCCGTATATGATCGATATACGTAAATACATAGAGCACATGGGTGGAATAAAAGAAGAATATCGATCAGCCAGTGAATTTCAATTATCCTCATGTAATTTCAAGACGGACGTCTGTTACCGTGGAAATTGACTTTAGTTCAGGATGCAATGAAAATTTCTGAATGACATACGTGCCCCTTTACCAGGTCCTGGGTCATTCGTTTTCTCGATTAAGATAATTGCCAATTGCCTCTGTCCTAATTGGGATCAGTCTGTTGACTTTAATCGTCGTATGACTTGTTTTGCTCATAAGGACCCCCCTATGCTGTTCGGCCAATATAATTTTCCTGGGTTTTCAGGTTATGTGACGTTACTTCGGTTTTTATTAATCCCACGTGGAGAAGTCAATTGTAATCTAATTGTGTTTGCCTCTGTGCGATACATGGTGGTTATACGAATGAGAGTGGTTGTTTGGTATAATTTTATGGGGGATAGACAGAATACGTGGGTTCATCCCGGAGTTCATAAAGGTTTAATGAATGTCGAATTCCACGGGACACGGATGGATTTTATGGTTTTATATATCTTTTTATAGACTATTGTCAATTGTATGGTATATTGTTATTATGTTTAGATATGTATGGCAAGTTTTGTATTTTTTATTTAAACTTCTTACGCCCAGTCGATTTTACGTACTATTATTTTGGGCTTCCGCTCGCTTGGCAACGCTCATTGATTTCCTGGTAGTTCACGCTTTGTTTCTAATGGACAATCATTCAAACTGACGAGGAGTCATTCGTACGATAATAATCATACGGGCTTTATTGTAGTCGCTATTTCGGTAGCTTGTGATTAGCCGAACCATTATGAATTGTTGAGTATTTCTTTTATAGCGAAATCAAATGGTTAACTAATGCGAAGTAATATCAATCGATAGATTCTTGAAGGTTTTTAAGAACATGTATGGTATATGATTAATTATTTCCTTAACAATTGAACACGTGGTTCGAGAGGATAAGCATGATGGTTATCTTCTTGAATTGCATAACGCTTGGGATGTATCAACCGTGCGTGGACGATCAGTGCGTCACGAATCGATGCAAAATATTACAGGTGAGTTTATTTTTATGCAGTTTATTATTATTATTGTTTATCTTACGTATTAGGGTTCACTATTATCATTATCAGCAGTATCGAGGCTTGTATTTTTCATATCAAGCTGATACCGGTAAAGAAGACCAACTCCGATGTATTCTGTTCGTTAAATGAAATGTACGGTATTTCAATCGAGATTTTATATACCGATAGCAGCATGTCTTTCGTAATGACTGTGCTCGGTAGGTGTCAGACCCAAAGTTTACATAAGACTGGTTCTTTTTATATGTATCTTCTTTTTTATTCTGCAGCAATTTGCGTGAATTGTTCGGGAAGGTGATTTAAAAAATTTGTATATATCTGTCGGTAACTTAATATCACCTTTAGGTTTGCGTCTTGGGAAATCCGTCCGTTAGGTTAGCAGTGGGTCTGTTCCTCGGCGTGTCATTAGCCTTGGTAATAAAAGGGTGCGAGGGCGATAAAAGCGGTGCGCAATTTTGAAAAACCTAGCCTCTCGTTTGATCTTCGAGATATCTTGAACGAGTGTCGAGAAGCATAAATCATTCGTGGTTTACGATCGAAATTATTTTCAGCCCACTGCTTCGCTTTGCTACTCCACGCGCAGCTTAGCTGTCCGTTTCAAGCTTGATATTTCTCTCGGGGAATTTCTCTAAAACAGAATTCTTTGAAATGATTTACGTAGGCATAGGTATTCGCACGAAGTGAAATAAAGACAGATGCATTGTCATGGATTACACAGTGAATCGACGCTTTCAAAATTTTTTGACAGGTTGAAAGCCACGAAGTCAACAAGTCGCACGTGGTTTTACATAAAATCACTGAAATACATGTCAGAGGCAAAAAATGTATTTTCTACCAGTACAAAATGATTTACCCTTCTAGCACAAATTTTATACAGATTCATATACGATTTATTGAAGATTTTATAGTTTTCAACCTGTCAAAAAAAAAAGTACACGAACTCGCAGTCGGACTGTACGTATAAAGAGAATCGGACGTAAGATAAGACCTATGGATAACGAAAAGATAAAAAGTCCAGAATATAGATAAAATGCCATTTTTATAATTTTCAGAAATTCGACGACATTATATTCGCATTTTTCTCCCTGGAGATGACGATAAAGATGGTAGCAATGGGTATATACGGCAAGGGCACCTATCTGGCTGACTCCTGGAACAGACTAGACTTCTTTATAGTCGTTGCTGGGTAATTAAACGCCTTATAAATTTTAATCAATGGTTTATTAAGAAGTTTACCTTCCGAGTACAATCTGTGTATTTTAGCGCCTTGGAATACTGTCTCAATGTGGAGAATATGAATTTATCAGCAATACGAACGATAAGGGTTCTGAGACCATTGAGAGCTATTAATAGGATCCCTAGTGAGTATAAATATCATGATGCTGTTAAAAAATTTATTAAACAATTCAATCACCGCTAATATACTGACCTTGCATATATTCAGGTATGAGAATACTAGTAATGTTACTGCTGGACACTCTGCCAATGCTGGGTAACGTCCTGCTCCTGTGTTTCTTCGTGTTCTTTATATTCGGTATAGTAGGCGTCCAGCTCTGGGAAGGAATCCTGAGGCAGCGATGCTTCCTGAAGGCGCTGCCCAACATAAAGTATCCCGAGTAAGTAAATTCATCAATAAAATCATCACTGATCAATGATCAATGATCATGCCAAACGTTACGTTCCTCATTGCTCCCCGAAATGGCTACTTGGTTTTGAGCCAGGTTAAAACATAAACGAGGCTGGGTAGTGAGTCAGTAAGGGTAGCTACGTGCGGTCAAAGTTTAAATATTCAGATGAAAATATTAACGAGGTAAACTCATGGGAAAACTTACAGAACAGATCTGAGCCAACCAACCAGTAGAATTTCGTCAGTTAGGTTATACGGTGTGACGTCACTTGGGTCATATTTGTGGCACTGCCCCTAAACCAGCCCCCATGTATATACCCAATGGGTATTCAAACCCCTCAGGAAGAAGTTCAGGTGGATATGATACGTACCGACAGAATTTTCCCTGCTGGACTATATCTATATACACACATATCTACAGGGTGTTTCAACTCAGACGCATCAGTCGGGTCTAAGAGGTGTAGCGAAGTTTCTGCCATTGAGCATCGTTTGGCAAAATTCTACATTGAATAACGAATAAAATTGTATTATTAAAGTATATACAAGCTTTTCAAAAATACGATAAACATTAAAAAACCTCGAACGGCTCAAAAGCCGTTTATGAGATTCATCCGTAAGAGAGAAAATTTTCCAAAGGATATTTCATACCCACGATTCACTACTGGAGTTGGTCAGAGTACGCGTGTCCTTTTCTTAAGCGCGTAAACGCCCATAAGTCTGTCTCTCTCCCACTCGCATCAAGTATAGAAAACTCCAAAATCTCAAAGGTTCTTTTATCTGATCTAAAAGTCACGATAGGGTAAATCCACCAGTATAATGACAACCTCGAGACAACGTGAATAAGCACCCGTGTTAAAATCAGTATATACAGATATAATCTAAGTAAACGTGCCCTTTGACCTGGTCCCGTCAATCACTGGTGAGGTCAACTCTACTTTGGTAGACTTTTTCTCTAAAGCATTGTCCAGCATTGTTCGCTCAAAACAAATGCACGGCAGCAGCAAATTTTTACTATCGCATTAGACCTACATAATCCCCTATAACGTTATCGTGTCTCTGCGCTCTTATCACGAAATCTATAAACCGCATAGAGTACGTACACGCTTGCCAAAAATAAGCCTATCCATAGACTGTTCAATAGAGTCTGCCTTTATACAGTAGAGCTGTCTGCTTTTTGCTTCGGACACGAGATTAGATCGTATTGTCGTTCGCTATATCGCAACGATATACCATACAAGAGTTATCATTATATATCGTATAGCCTGATAAAAGTTGAAGCCACACTTTTCACCCTGGGAATTCGTGCATGAAGCTTCATGGCTATCAAATACTCTATCCACGCCAAAGACCTATGCTTACTGTTATCATTCTTTTTAATCGTGCCCTTAATCGATATACCCGTGTACAAATTACTATTCCCGCAATGCAATACAATCACGGGACAATAGAACGAATGCTAGCGTCGGTTTTATTAATTTCATCGTATTATGATCATTATTAATTGTATCAGTAGATATTATTATTATGAGAATATACATCTCCTAGTGAAATATAAGCGTAAGCATCAGCCCTAGAGGCAGTGACAGGCTGTTATTTCGCTGTTGCAGGTTACTCTCGGACGAGTACTCGGTTCGATCACGCATTTAGTAAGCTCTGGTATAAAGAGAGAGTGTGTGAGAGAGTGAGAGAGAGGGGGGGAAGAGTGCGTGCGAGAGAGAAAGATATATATATATATATGCCGTGCATATACATATTAGAATATAAATCTATCATACGACTATATCTATATAGTGCGTCTGCGTGCGTGTGCGTGTGTCTGTCTACATAGAGCATGCCACCTCATATGTTATGTCGTCTGCTACGGGTACTCATCTGTCTTATTCGTTTGTACAGTATACAACGTCAAGTCGACAGATACAAACCACATTTTCTTTGAGGAATTCATGCTTGGTTAGGACATATTCAAAAAGATATATATTTTAAAAAAATTTTTTTAATTCAATGCGAGAGTCGTGAATTATTTGAATAACGTTCAATGGCAGGATAAAATTTTAAATTTTTTTTTCCCTTGAAAAGTTCGCGGATTTACGGGGCGGAAGGGAAAACACGTGGATAAATTCTGCACTGTTAGGTTTTAACTGTCAAGAAAGAAAATGCTATGGTAGCAAGTCACGTAGTTCTTGGGATGTGCATTTCACTCTTGTATGCTCTGTCCGCCATTTGAAAGATTTCTTAGGATGTTAGGTATGCATGTGTCGATGTGAGCGTGTCGTAAACTTTGTAATTTTCTTAATATTTTCGTTATATCTTTTTATTATTCAAATTACATCTAGCTGTCTCCTCTCTGCCTGGTCGTCTGTCTTTCTTGGAGCCGTGGAGAGATCCGAGGATAACACGTGTCCGAGGAGTAAATTTCGACGGGGATTATTATTATTATTATTTTCTTTCAAGCAAAAAGGTCCGATCGAGAGTGCGAAAGCGTATAATGCAATTTACAGATATATTGGAAAGAGCCTTAAGTTTGGTACACTTGGACGGTGCAACGTCTGACTCGGCAGTCATCGATGACGATGAATGAATGCGGATGAATGAAATCGAATGAGAATGACGAACGTCACTGTGCACTTGATAATCAGCCTGTCCAACAACTAGGATAAACAAACACGCACGTGATACGTTCTAGATACATTCAGTAGACGCTACACGTGCACTGACTATAGCTTAGACACCATACGAATCAGTAAACTATACGCATAGAAGATGCATTACCAATACTGTTTATGCAACGATTGAACACTGCTGTGTTAATAAATTCGTAAAATTTTGGAAGAATTTATAATGACAGTCGTGTATTATTATTATACATATATACATGCGTTGCATTCCTGATGCAACGTTGTCGGTTTAATGGGAGAATACGTGATAGTTATATATATATATATATGTGTCGGATACAGTGCATATAGAATGACATTAATGCATTTCGTATAAATAATTCTTTACCTTTCTCACGATCGATCGTTCGGACATGCATTACGAAGCATGCCAGTGCATCCTCGTATCTTTGTGGTTATGTATGTATTTCATTAATAGGGATGATTTGTATTGCAGCGATCTCGAGAAGTATTTCGAATATCAAGGTCAGGATTATATCTGCTCGAGGCCGGATGATAGTGGAATGCATACGTGTAACAATCTGCCGCCACTTAAGCTTGGTAAGCGGAATGTTTTGAATTGAGCCGGGCGTGACGAGGTTGTTTGTATTTTTTTTGTTAATTCGTCATTTTTGTGTTTTAGGAAATTTGGTGTGCAACAGTACTGCAGTGCCGAACAACAATACGACACTGATAAACAATAGCTCTTGCGTGAATTGGAATTATTATTATACGGAATGCAAGGGTCAGGGGAATAACCCTTTTCAGGGCACGATATCGTTTGATAATATTGGTCTTGCCTGGGTCGCCATCTTTCTTGTTATCAGTCTTGAGGGATGGACTGATATCATGTACTACGTGCAGGATGCTCATTCGTTCTGGGATTGGATATACTTTGTTCTCTTGATTGTTGTGAGTTTTTTGGATTATAAAGGGAAAAATTTTATTGATTAGAATTTGAATTTTTATTTGGATTGTCTGCTTTTTCAGATTGGTTCGTTTTTCATGATCAATCTTTGCTTGGTCGTGATAGCCACACAGTTCTCTGAGACGAAAAAGAGGGAAATGGAAAGGATGAGGTTAGAGAGGGCTCGTTTTCATTCTACCAGTACGCTTGCTTCGTCTACAAATACGTCCGAACCGTCCACCTGTTATTCTGAGATAGTCAAGTAAGATTGATGTTGTTATTTGTGTGTCGAATTTTTGATTCTGTGGAAATACATGAGATACACTTGTTGTAGGTATATCGCTCATCTGTGGCGAAGGAGCAAACGTAGGCTGATGAAGAAATATCGGTTGTACTTATACAGCCGGCAACAGAAACGCGAACAGAAGCTTTTGAAGGAACAACAAGGTGGTCTGGTTTCTTCGAACACTGTGGGTCTTCAGATGAACAGAGCAAGGGGTGAGACAGGGAACAATTTTGTAATTTTTGTTACCCAGGGTACTGAACTGATTTTTTTGAACTGAACTGACAAAAATTGTTGTTCAGAGAGAAGAGTACATCATAGCAGATGCCCAAGACTCCTGGCAGCTCTAGAGAGTGGAGAACAACCGGGGCATGGGATTGGTAGCGACCTGGGTGTGAATGCAATGGTCATGGCAGGAAGTGGAAGTCTACCTCTAGCACCTAGAGCGAGCCCAGAAGTTTCCGAGACCGAGGTCTCATCTAACCAGTGCCGTTCAGGACTTCAGAGGATGCCGTCGGTCTCCAACGGCAGTGACAATACCATTGTCAATACAACAGAAGCCAACAATGCTTTGTTAAGTCCACCGTGTACTCATTACCGGAGAAGAAGTAGCGTCATGTTCAGCGACGTGGTGCTGCTCCACGGAAGTAGCGTGAACACTTTGCCAGGATCTATAGGAGCTGGTGAACGGAACGTCTGCTCCAGTGAGAAGATGACCCAGACTGGCGATGGGAACGTCTGGTCGACGCCTCAGCCCAACGTGCAGGTAACGACCACTGTCAATATATCTAGCTGTCAAATTGACAGTCAGCGAGTAACCTGCTTTGGTACAGGTGCAAACCGAGCTTGGTGCCAAAGAAGCCATGACTTGTCAGGAATTGCTTGCTCTGAGTGGAGCACTGAGTGCGGCTCTACCAACTGGTCAGCTGGCGCTGGATTCATTTTTGAATTCATTGACAAAAGGTAATAAAGAACTGTCAAAGCAAATTGTCAGAATTCAATTTTTCTCTATACAATCATCATACAGGTATATCAGAGCGGCACATTACCCTTGAGGACCAGGCGCAATGGCATAACGATCCTGATGCCTGCTCTTGCTGCGAGGCTCAAAACGAGCAGATCTGGCCGGAGGAAGTTAGCAAGTGGCAGAGTTCACAGACGCGAAAGATTCTCAAGGCTTCCGGTAGCTGTTTTGTATGCGTTCTTCGGTGCGTGAGACGCTGGATCAAGAAGCTCGTGGAGCATAAGTACTTTCAACAAGGGATCTTACTGGCCATTCTGATAAATACCCTGAGCATGGGTATAGAGTATCACAATCAGGTATAACGAAAGACCGTCCTATTTCGTCTCGTCAGTCACTGGAAATCAGATCAATAATATATATTATCGTTACTCGCCCTACGCACAGCCCGAAGAATTGACAGTGATCGTTGAGATAAGCAATATAGTCTTCTCAGCCGTTTTCGCCGTTGAGATGCTGCTGAAGATCATAGCCGAGGGTCCATTTGGCTACATAAGTAACGGCTTCAACGTCTTCGACGGCGTCGTTGTTGTTTTAAGGTAAGAATCCTTATTTCGCAACAATAATGTACAAGAATCATTTATACCCTCTGTTGGTAGCATTGTCGAGCTTTGTCAGGCCTTCGCTGGTGACAGAGGTGGTGGTGGTGGTTCGGGCCTGAGCGTCCTGAGGACCTTCCGACTTTTGAGGATCCTAAAGCTCGTACGCTTTATGCCCAATCTACGCCGACAGCTGTTCGTGATGCTGCGCACGATGGATAACGTTGCAGTATTCTTTGCACTTTTAATACTATTCATCTTTATATTCAGGTAAGTAAAGAATTATTAAAGCGCTCTTGTCAATTATCAAATGTTATAACAATTTTTATCAAAAAAAGAAAGACGTGCCTCAGACATATCCCTGAAGAATAATGATGAAGTTAATAAATTCATTTTGACTACTTTTCGTTATAAGGGATGACAAGATTGATCGATAAGAGTAGTTATACGAGATAATCCTCACTCAGAATCTATTTAGATCTATAATGAGACATTGTGAGGGATGAATCCGGCAGTCACATATGTCCTGACTTCGTGAGAGTGTTCTTGAGCCAATTCCACGAGCGGCTAGTTTATATAATTATATATATATATATACTCCTAGATTAGGTTATCTATCATATCAAATTTTTGTTGTGGCGATTATGTAATGCAGTGCGTTGACATTTATAATTTGACATGACAATAATGGTGTAATGGTAATGATGGTGTTGTTGGCACGACCGAGGTGACTCTTGCTACTTATGGCTTTAGGCATCGAAACGACCTATTTAGAGAAAAAAAAAGAAGTATACGTATATAATAAAAATATATCCTACGATGTATGCTTTATATGCGTATACCACATACATTATAATACATAGTATATATATTATACTTAAATATATATAATATACGTGTGTGCATGGTGCTTAAATGCTGAAAATGTCTAGTGAAAGGATCCTGATTCTTAACTGAGCTATTATGGGCTATATAATCACTCTCGTATTATCGGTCTTTCACTCACTCTTTCTCTCTCTCTATTTTCTTCTTCTTCTTTCCCTCTCTCTCTTTCTCTCTCTCAGCTATACAATCTCTGAAGGCCTCAGCGCGTGCCTATGTACCGATCGACATTAGAGTATTGCAATTCTTTTCGTTTATTTCGACCAGTACTCTCGGTTATGACATTCTCATATTATTATTATGCACCCTCCTTTCACGTTACGTTATTTCCCGTTAAATCATTTTCAAAGTTCACAAAGCCACTATTTGCTGACGCTCATTTATAAAAATCGTCCAAATTCCAGATCGCATGTCGTCCGATCACGTCATGCGTACCTGGTCTGAGATAACATGACCGGAAGTCCTTTTCCGGGACTCGGTTTACAGAAAGCCATCAAGCTGACTTCTCAGCGTCATTCGTCTTTACGTAGAAGAGCCTATACAGTTTCAATGGATGCAATCCAAATTAGAAAATGAGATTGAGACAAAGAGTAATATAGTTGTATAATACAAAGACGATAATGAGAGACCAAAAAAAGAGAAAAATGCGAGTAATGGACCCTTACGGATATATGAATGTACATTGCCACGTTTCGTTGTGTTATAGTATTCTTGGGATGCACCTCTTCGGTTGCAAATTCCGCGAAACGATGAAAGGCAGCTCTGACGTCGAGTGCGATAGAAAAAACTTTGACTCGTTACTGTGGGCTATTGTGACGGTGTTTCAGGTACAGGATATATTTTCACTGTCAGAGGGTTCTATACTAGTATATTATTATTGTTATTACTCTAACTTAATATTTAAACGCTAAAAAAAAAACACGGTACAAGCACCTCTATGCCCATACTTTTATGATTTCGAATATGAAAGGTAACGTATGAGCTTTTAGCATGAACCTCACTTGATGATGATGATGATGATAATAATAATAATGAACGAGGCTATATATATAATATATTTATCACATTGCTTAAATCGCATATTTTTATATCTTAGGTCATCAAGTACGAAACGTCCGACTTCGAATTGACGGTATTTGAGGAAACCGGAAGTTTCGTACCTTATGATCTGATATATATCTATAATAGATTATACGCTGCCTACTCTTATATATCTAAATTTTATATTAAAGTACTTATCTTCGCTCTGCTCTATCTATATCTCATACTTTGTCTATTTAGCATGATTCTTAAAGATATCAGTATCGATGGCTGATTACGTGTTTCTCGCTTCGATGGGAACGTTGGATTGTCGCTTTTATTATTACGATGTTGTTATGGCTGTATTTTTATGAGGTTATATCAGTATTTTTTTCATGTATTTTATTTTGCCTACGTGTCTCGTCGTTCAGCTGGATCACTTTTGCATGTTTCGAAGAACGTATGACCTGTGAGGTAGAATTTGTCAATCGAAAGATCGAAAATTTAGAGACCTCGTTCGATAGCGCTGACGTTCGTATATGGTTATGGTTAAATTCATTTTTTTATTTTAATCATGGTAAACGTGATTTTATATGGGTTTGTTGAGTCAAAGTGAAAGAGGGGTTCGAATAATGCATGCGTGCTTCGCGCGAGGATCTCTTTGTTCACGTGCACCCCCACCGTTTTTAATAGCGTTGCTGATCGATTTTATTATCATTCGGTCGCGTATTTCGAACCCATGAGAATCGTTAAGTTCGAAATATCGATTTTTCGATCCGACCAGAGGATATTCGACATAATGATAAATTAGAGATGTATGAATTGATAATTAAATTTATATAAATTTTCGGTGACTTCTGTAAAGGATAAATACACCATTACCTTGTTACACTATAGTACTATGACAGCACGCCATTACGCACTGGACACTTTCGAATCACCCTGTAGATTTGAGTATTTCGTTACATGAAGGAATATGGGCTTTTGATTATTTGAATTTCCCGGGCTAACTTTTATATACGTATCTTGTTTAAGTATACCTATCGTATTATGCAAAATATAATAAATGCAGACTGTTTCTCTGAAGTTGTTATTCAATATGTTTAAAATTTCTAATCGCACTGATTAGCTTATAACAATAATGAATATTTATTGCGTAACATCGTCAGAGAGAGACTTGCATACTTCCACGTGAAAAAGTAGATAGCCCTAGGAGTAGTTAGTGCATATTTTCAAGGTATATACAAACATATATGTTTTAAGGATATACTGGTTTACTTAGCTCAAACGCATCAAGTAAAGGTTACATGTCTGCGTAGGAAAATTTCATATTGCCAATGGCTTTTTGCCAAAGGTAATAAATAGTTTACCATTGATATACTACATGTTACCGTTCGCTAAGATCTTCGGCAGTGTGAAATTCTCCTATGGGTACGTTTGATTCCAACGGCGAAGCCAACTTCAGGTCGTACTTTGACGTTGAGTAGCCTGCTATGCATATGGAGGTTAAGGTGCCTTTCCATGTTGAGTGGACTAGTTGTGTAAGATGGATAATTCGGAAAACCAGACCCTTCATTGGTCATATTCGGTTATCACGAAAATGTTATCCGACAGAAGGGTCACGTGATGGCCGATTACTAGACTAGTCTGTATGACGTGGAAAGGCGCCTTAATTCAAAAGTATCGTACAGTCTGAAGTGGTTTTATTATAGAAATAAAATGGACGGACGGACTAACTTCACTTGGTGCGATATTTCACAATAAACCCTGCGTACTCTATCACATATATTGATGTATATACATATGAATAAAAGCCCATTGAAAATTGTATAATGGATAGTAAACGGAACGAATCGATCCATTATCAAAAAATCTAATGGGTTAGATCAAACGATATTACCAGTTTGATATATTTTTCAAAAAATCCCACATCAATAACTATTTTATTATACAACAGTTACTGTAACATTCTGCAATAGGTGCCTGTATAACTCACAGTCCTCTAGTTACTCTGGTCGTTCCTATATAGTTTCGATATTCATATTTCACATAAAATATCTAAATTTCTAAAGTCAGTTAAAATCCGATAATATAGATAAGATATGTACGTGCGCAAAAATTTTGCAGAATGTGACTACTACGAGTGCAGCTTCAAGTGACACACTCATTGCTATTTACTAGATATTTCGCTTTTAACGCAGGTCAAGGGTGTCTTCGGGTCATTGGCCTTTGGTGATCGATAATGATAAATAAATTTTTTCAAACAATGCTATCTATGCATATGCTCTCTGTAAATTACGTCAAAATGATACGGGGACACTCTTCGTGTGAATTCGCCCGTTTTTGAGGGTACTTTAGGCCCCTGGATTGTCTCGGTTGCAGCATCCTAGGGATGTACCTGTTCGGGGGTAAGTTTTGCATGTGGGCGGACCGGAGTCGGCCGTGCACCTGTGCCGAGGTGGTTTCGCGCCACCCAATGTGTCGCTGTGATCGAAAACATTTCAACGACATCCTCTGGGCCACTGTCACCGTCTTTCAGGTACCACTGTTCCTTACCCATATGCTTATAATTCGTGCATCCTGACCTAATGGTAATAATAGACATTTATATATAGTATTATCTAACATCAAGTTGACTTGATTACCTGACAAAGCATATAGATATAGTATATTGCCTATATCTCAATCCTGATACATATTCTCCCTCTTTATACATATTATACATTCTTACACGTATCTCTTAAGACTGATACGTTTTAATACAAGGTTTACATATGAGAAGTGTGATTTTTGGAGATTACTCTTTGTTCACTTTCTGGATACTGGATCGGTGAAAGATCAGATGTTTTTTTAAAGATGATTGTAAAAAAATTTTTTTGTCAACACCATTTTTTTTATTTATGCTTTTTTTCATAATTTCGTATACAGATACTCACCCAGGAGGACTGGAACGTTGTCCTCTTTAATGGGATGCAAAAGACTTCGCACTGGGCAGCTTTATACTTTGTTGCACTTATGACCTTTGGGAATTATGTACTGTTCAATCTACTCGTTGCCATCCTGGTGGAGGGTTTCTCGTCGGAGGTAAAATTTTTTATTTGTACAATTTTTTTTAAATTTTATTTCTATGGTTGAACGTGGTTATGATTTTTAGAGGAATGAGAGAAGAGAACGCGAACAGAGAGAAATGGCTAGACTAGCTGCTAAGGAAGCTGGCATCGGTAGTGATGGAGGATCATCAAGAGTTTCCAGATCTCATTCTGTGACTGATAGTGACACCTATACTCAGGTAGACTTCCGTTTTTTTTCTCTCCACTTGTTATATGTATACGAGAATTGATAAGACCAGATAGAAAGAAGCCTTGGTCCATTCGTGTGAACATTTGCTGTGTTGTATTAGGACCACAAAAATTCTTGGCAGAGTGCGGATGATCTGAGAAAATACAAAGACAATTTTACTCGCGAAAAACAGAACGGTAGCTGGAAACATTCAATAGATGAACCCAAATGTAATATCCAGAAGGAGAGCAAGATGATGGGTACCCAGCCTCCAATAATAACGCATACAGCTGCAACTCCTCAGGATTCACCCAACACGACCCTGGACGCGGGATGCAGAGAGTTCAACTGTCGTCCTGGAAATCCGACCTTGTCGATAGAGTCAATTGACAGATCAGCCGTAAGCGAACTGATAATCTAGATGAAAAGAAAGATACGATTGTTAATAATTCATGCAAATAAATATTTTAAATTTTCAGAGTCAGTGCAGCATCTCAGGTCTTTTGAAGCCACCGGACAATAAATTCGCGACGAATAATCTTATAGCTACTCAGCCGCCGCGACGGATCAGTCTCGTAGCCGTGATAAATCCGTCGCGACGCGACAGCAGAGATTCAAATTCTAGATATGCGTCATTAGACAATGAAAAATCGTTTGGATCTGTACAACGCTCCAGAGCGTTTGTCTCTAGTCCGGCTAGGATACAAAGAGGATACTCCTGGCGTCTATCGCGACCATCCTTACGGCGTAAGAGATCCCAAGAAGAAGACCCCCGACATACAACAATTCTTAACAATGGACGTAGCACCACCAGGTCAAATTCTATGTAAGGATTATTGTACTCGTTTTCTCTCAGTTTCATCTCAGGCATTGTCTATACTCTTTATATTGCTCTTAGAAATTGTGCTGACTATACAAACTACAATGGCGGATATCTTCGTGGATCCATAAGGAACGATACTCAGTGCGACACGCCAAACAATCGCACCGCCATTACGACGAACAATCGGAGTTTAAGTCCAAATAACTCGATAAAAAGTCGTAGCTCGTCGGTAGCTCATTACGCAGCATCTAACGTGAGTATCAGTTCTCATAAGATTAATTTTAAAAAATGATAAAGTAATTAAACCTTTCCTTCAGATGAGATGGATAGGCGATCTGTCGCGACAGAATTCTCTTCGCGGTTACGACAACATTCAGATGCAAAAAGTACCACTCCATGATGAGAATCCACTGAGCTCTACTCCAAGGACTATTAATAATCTGACTGTTGAAACTGGAGCACTACCCAGGATCAAACAGCTCTCTGAAGACCTGGAACCGCAACCTGGTGAACAGACGCCACCGTCAAATGGCAACGAGAGTGCCAGCAGCGTGGAGAAGATCAAGAAGATCTTCATGTTCTTCGAGCCGAAAGGATGCCTCAAAGAGAGGGATGATTATTCGCTTTATCTGTTCCCACCGAACAACCGGTTCCGTGTACTCTGTAGATGGTTCGTGGATCAAAAATGGTTTGACAATGTGGTTCTCCTGTTCATCGGGCTGAACTGTATCACATTAGCCATGGAACGACCTAATATACCTCCTGACAGCCGTGAGAGGTTATTTCTTGCAACAGCCAATTACATTTTTACCGGTGTCTTTGCTGTGGAGATGTTCGTTAAGGTACAACTTACTTGTAAATAATTAATGGTTATAATAATTATTATTGTTATATCTTTTAAAAAATATATTAAATTCATATCTTTTAATTTTAAGGTTGTAGCATCCGGTATGCTTTATGGTACTGATGCTTACTTCACTTCCGGTTGGAATATAATGGATGGGTCGCTAGTGACGATATCGATAATAGACTTACTAATGTCCCTGGTATCAGAAAGTAGTCCACGAATTTTTGGCATACTACGTGTACGTAACGAATGATAAAAATTGTGTTGCTTACGGTATAATATTTTTGTTCTTCATTTTATAAATTTTCATCAGGTATTTCGTCTTCTCCGTTCATTGAGACCACTCCGAGTGATCAACCGAGCACCTGGACTAAAGCTGGTCGTCCAAACGTTGTTGTCTTCGTTGCGACCAATAGGAAACATCGTCCTGATATGTTGCACCTTCTTTATAATATTTGGTATATTAGGGGTGCAGCTTTTTAAGGGCGCATTCTACTACTGCGATGGACCTGACATTAAGAACGTTCGCAACAGGACCGACTGCTTGGCCGACAAGCGAAATGCCTGGCTCAACAGGAAGTATAATTTCGATGACCTGGGCAAAGCGCTTATGTCATTGTTTGTACTGTCGTCACGTGATGGCTGGGTGAACATTATGTACACAGGGTTGGATGCCGTAGGAGTGGATCAACAGGTGGGTGTCTATTGTTCATTTGGAATTGATCTTTCATAGAACTAAGTACTGACCTTTGTTCATTTAACCGGTCTGGGTGATTTTAGCCGATGGAAAATTACTCGGAGTGGAGGTTATTGTACTTCATTGCGTTCATTTTGCTGGTGGGATTCTTCGTGCTGAACATGTTTGTCGGCGTGGTTGTTGAGAATTTTCATAGATGTCGCGAAGAGCAAGAAAAGGAAGAGCGTGTTCGAAGAGCCGCCAAGAGAGCACTACAGATGGAGAAGAAGAGGCGAAGTGAGTGGTTATCTTTTTCCTTGTTGTATATTTAAGGAAAGATGGTTGACGATGTATCTTGAATCTTTTAGAAATGCACGAGCCACCTTATTACACGAATTACTCTAAGGCAAGACTCTTTGTTCACAATGTCGTCACGTCTAAGTACTTTGATCTTGCGATCGCCGCTGTGATTGGTTTAAATGTTGTCACAATGGCAATGGAGTTCTACATGATGCCAAAGGCTCTTACCTACGCCCTGAAGATATTCAATTACTTCTTCACAGCTGTATTTATTCTTGAGTCGTTCATGAAGCTTTTGGCTCTTGGCTTGCATCTTTATCTGAAAGACAAGTAATAAAATATATTTTCTTGTGAATTAGTAACGAGCAGTGTCAATAGCTATTGATTTTCTTTCAGATGGAATCAGCTAGATGTCGGGATCGTCATCCTTTCCATAGTCGGTATAGTCCTGGAGGAGGTCGAATCCAAAATAATTCCAATAAATCCAACAATTATTCGTGTAATGAGAGTCCTGCGAATAGCGAGAGGTTAGCTTCGATGCCCGATGAAAGATCTGTTATTCATTTAGGAAGTAACACTGATTTTATGTTTAGTACTGAAACTTCTGAAGATGGCCAAGGGTATACGAGCACTTCTGGATACGGTGATGCAGGCGTTGCCGCAGGTCGGTAACCTGGGCCTCCTCTTCTTCCTTCTGTTCTTCATATTCGCCGCTCTGGGTGTTGAGCTTTTTGGTCGACTCGAGTGCAGTGACGAAATGCCATGTCAAGGTCTTGGAGAACATGCTCACTTTAGCAATTTCGGTATGGCCTTCCTGACCCTCTTCCGCGTGGCAACTGGTGACAATTGGAATGGTATCATGAAGGATACCTTGAGGGATGATTGCGACGACGCTGCTGATTGCGTCAAGAACTGTTGTGTTAGTACAGTAATAGCGCCCATCTTCTTTGTCATCTTCGTTCTGATGGCTCAATTTGTACTGGTAAACGTCGTTGTGGCAGTACTCATGAAGCATCTTGAGGAGAGTCACAAGCAGGTAAGAAATGAAAGTAGATACAGATCAAGACGTGTGGAGTATACATTCCAAAAAACTATCATCAACCTACCTTACTTTATTCCGTAGATGGAAGATGAATTAGATATGGAGACTCAGTTGGAGCGTGAGCTGGCAGCTGAGCAGGAGGAGCTGCTAGAGGAGGAAGAGGAAGAGGAGGACGACGAAGATCTAGACGAGGACGAGGGTAACGAGGATGTGCGAAATGCAAGACCAGGTTTATCAAAAGTGCGTTCACTACCGGCGAATTTTATCTATAATCCACCGTTAGAGATAGAGAAGGATAGGGAGAAGAGCCTAGAGGGTAACGAGGACGCTTATGAGATAGACAGACACCTGGCTTCCAGGACAGCACACCAATCACAAGCATCTCGACGGCTCTCGGAAGCCTCCGTCCTGGTCCTGAATGACAGAAGACGAAATTCCTCTCATCGTACGAACAACAGGTTTTCCTCAAAGTTTAAAGTGAAGCGGCGACAGACATTCCACTCGCATCAACGCGACACCTTGCTCCCGGTTGTCTCCTCGATGCCAATGCACTTCGAGGTCGCCGAAGTCATCAAGCCAACAAGCAACCTTAGCGTACCACGAATCATTCCCCAGCGAAACAGCTCGCTCTACGGTAGTACCAAGTACCTGCAACCACGAGCAGCTGATCTCCAGGAGGATAGATCCTTCCTGACCGTCACGAAAGCTTCTAATGAGTCCATTAATAGAAGATCATCAGTAACCTCCGGTCAACCTGGTGAACAGACACCTGCTGGGAGTTTGGGTACGTCCAGTAAGACTGGGAGCTATCTATTTCCTGTATGTGAATCGTATCTGGGTAGACATCGGAAATCTAGCGACTCTCAGTCCGCGGAGACAAGTATGAGTGCCAGAACGTTAAGTGCATCCGGAGTTTCAACTAGTTACGCACACTATGGTAACAACCTGGCCAAGAGCAGAATAACTGATGAGAAACCATCGCCTGAGGCAGACAACGACTTGGATGTTCAGTCTGTTATTAACGAGAGGAGACCGTCCAGCCTAAGAAGTAACAGTACTACAGCTTCCGCTAATGCTGGTACTGGTTATCAAAGCCTTCCGGGTAATGGTTTCGGTGATATTTATGCTAAAGACGAATCTGGGGAACGTACTCTTTCAAACGTTGCCAGCGACATAAAGATCTACGTGGATGACACGGACTCCCAGAGCAGTGGACACAGCAATCATGCTAAGAAATTATCTAGTCAGGAGGGTGACACTCCCACAAAGAGTGAGGCCGAGTTCCAGTCTACGGTGACCCCATCCTTAACGACGTCAACGCCAACACCGACGGCAACAACGATGGAGCACGTGGAGGAAATAAAAAGTACAAGGAGCAAGGATTCTTAATGATCGATGATGCCGTTGTGCTTAGAACAGTATGTTTATCTATTACTGGGACTTTTTATATAGTGAAACAAAAATAATTGTCCCGCGAAAACGTGAGTGCGTTACGTTGCGCATGCGCGTACGCGACTGTGCGCATAAATTCAGGCCGGTCCTGGTACCGCCTTATGAGAACGATCACCCGAGGACTTTTTCAGAAAGACTGTAGTGCATGACAATATAGCCTTTACTGTCACTTCGCTCTTGTGAAAAGTAAGATGAAGAGAAGAGGGAGAAACGCTTGAGAAATCATACCTTCGACTTTGACCAATCGAAGAGACCAACAAAATGGAGGACGCTGAAACCTCCCGGAGAACCTTTCTTGCTCTCCCAAGGGACTTTTACACATTTTATATGCCCACCTCGGAGCGTGCTCTTTTTCTACGGGTATTAAACGGCACGCGATTATTTTTATTGAGAAAATTACGTCTGCCGTTAATATACCGGACATACACAACTGTCAAGCACTCTACAAGTTATTTTTGCCAATTATCTATGGGAACAAAAGCACATTGAGATTCATGTAGTGGCTTTCGAAAAAAGCGCCATTTCGATACGTATAATCACATTCGAATAACGCGCTCCTCTCGTCTCTAGGTATTTCTGATCTTTTTAAAATCATGGCCTTCCTTATGTAGCTCTCTTCTCGCTAGACGATGTCGCCATCTGTTGTCAGCTAGTCGAGACCCGCGTAATTCGCGGATCTGAACTGTCTTGAGAATTTCTCTAAACTTCACGCAATTAATGTGACGTATTTCGGCGACACTACGCATTACAGTACCTATGACAATCTTGAATACCAATGACGGATTAACGATCGCGATCGTTTTATATAGTTAATTAGGAATATATTAATTAGCAATATTAATATGCACACACTGGTGCTAATTTTTGATGACTTGTTGACTCCTGGCCAAAAGTTTAGGAATTTACATGCTAGTCAAAAACGAGCGTACAAACAAATTTCGTATTCTAATTCACCTTGTCAGTCTGCTAGTCAGTCAGTCTGGAGGCATGGGAATTAACGAAGTCTGCATAGCTTTGATAACTATTATTCATGCAGCATATGAATTTATAACGATCATTATCTCTAGCCGATTTATCTTATCGACTCGCATTTTAAAATATCGAAATCGTCTATCTTCAGTTTTGTTTTTACTTTGACGTTAGACATTTTTCATTAACATCTGTGATATATTTTAATTGTAGAATATTTCCTAACAATCTAGAGCTAGTCACTTTTTAATAAACGAAAGAAGAAAAGCAACACAAAGAAATTCTATGTATATACAATATTATACTCTACACTTGGTGTGGTTTATTTTGATACTACTGCGTATAGTATTATTAACAATTGTCGGGTGAAAGTTTTATGCCTTCGAGCTCGTGCGCATGCGTGCAAGCGTGCGCGGCGAACGTGTTCGCGCTATTAGCTGGTGGTACGTATCATCTCCAGAACGATCTGTATGAAGATCATAGATACAAAGAGATAATTAAAAAACAAAATAGAATTTCTCTAGTGGCTATTACAATTACTAGAGGATAGATGAAATACGAAGTGAATTTGGCGGTTTGACAATTCAAATTTATAACGGCCAATCCGTGCGCGGCTCATCGTTTTCGTGAGATGAATCATGGTATATTAAATGAAGACAAGTGATGTAGAGAAATGTAAATTCAAGAAAGAAATATAATACCGGAAATTATGAATTAGTATTTCCGGTATCAGGTACCAGACCTCATTGACAACTAGAATCATATATATATAAATGTGTATATATATATATAGATATGTACTAGACGACTGAACTCCGAATTACCTAGCGTGTGAGCCGAGTGCAATTCATTGACTTTTAATAGTCAAAATCTTCTAAGTACGATGACGTGTATATCTTCTGTCATTTCTAATACGTGCCTCTCGAGCTTTGTTTATTCCTGTGTAGTAAAGTCTCTGTTTCACAGGCGTCCTGTCGTTCATATGTAGACCGACGTCCACGTAGCCGAGCCTTTCCAATTGATATTTTTTTTGGGGTTAGTACTAACGAGTTATAGATTATCTGAGATATTTAAATTTAAGTAAAACACAGTAAACGAAACGGCATAGGTGAACGTAGGCGAGATACGTTAGGCCGTAAGAGCTGTACAAAGAGTATATAAACAAATGAGAAAATAAATTGAGTAACGATTATGTTAATATGGAGCAACTTTTTTCTCTTATAGTTGATAACGGTCCTTTAATTATTATTAGTATATTGTGTAATTACTATAGCAAGGTACTGATATAAAACACCATTTTGGTACCGTAATAAAATATTTCTTAGGATATCAAGTTATTTCTCATCCATCTGGTGAACTTTGTGAACCGTGTACACGAATTCTATAGATACAAGTGTAGTCGTCGTTACCGTTGTTCGAATGAACTTTGACCTCCACGATTTCATACAATTTTTTCGCATGATTCTGGAAAAAAAAAGATGCTTGACTAATGTTAAAAATATTTCGGGGTTTACAGTGAGGTTGCGAGATCAATGTATTTTTGGGAGGTTCATTTCCTTACGAGCGACTGTACGAGTTATAATATAAAAAAAAAACATAGTTTGAATTTGACACTGATGTCGTAACCCAACACTAAATACCTGAACTAGTACCTTAACCTTGAAATATTGAACAGGTGAGGAATCATTGTCATAGATGAAATTACCAAATAGAAATGGTTCCTTGTCATCCAAGTGTTTCAATCCCTATAAATCATATTAATTGTATTCAAATAAATGAGGGATGAATTGTTGTATTTACCCAGAGAGAAAAATTTTTTGGAGCTGCTGAAGTTTCTCCAGTTGGTGAGATAGATTGTGGTATATGTTCCAGGCTGACACCAGATACATAAATTGGTTTCAGGAGTTTAATAACTACAGATCCAGCACTACCTTTGAATCCCCAACATTCACCAGGAAGTACACCTGACTGTATTTCAAGAAAAAGATCAACTTTGATTTGTTAATAGTTGGAGTTTATTGTAAGGTAAATATCCCAGTTACTAACCTCAGCGAAGCATCTCATTACAAAGGTATAAGTTCATATGGATAAAAAGGGAAGGTACTAGTGTCCCTGTTTCTGACCAGGCTAACACCCATTTTGCTTTTGGCTGTTTAACGAGTGGTGGGTCAAGCCTGATATGGTGAGGATACCCTGATCAGAAACTGGAACAATTTCAGTAACTGGACTTTTTACCTTATAACATTTGATACTACCTGTATGACGGCTCTTGGTGTATTCTTCTGACACAGTGGTACACCAAATAATGAAAGTGCAGGAATACCTTGAGAACTAGTGACAGTGTCTCTTGTTGACAATATTGCACCCCCTTGTAAATTAATTTACTATAGACAAGATGATATACTAAAAAGAGACATTGTACTAAATGGCTACCTGAGCTTTCTAATGCATAGTCAGTTCTCCCTGTCTTATCAGCATCATAGATTTCTAGTTCATGGCGTACCAAGTTGCTCAGGTTCTCTAAGACAGTCCAAAAGATCTATCTTTATAGCAGCAATGTATCACATTGCCTTTTAAGAATACCTTCGGCCACTTCATTTTTCAGTTTAAGCATAGTGTCAGATAATTTTGGAATTACACAAGCCATTTCAAGCAGTTTATTCTTGAGATCTTCATGGGACTCTCTGATGCTCTTAACTTCTATCTATAACATTGGACTATGATTATTTTGCCAACCAGATGGAAATAGAAATTTTTTTTTTTCACCATAAGGGTACTCAGATGCGACCTAACATATTCCAGTTCAGATTTGATGCTCATGAACGAACTACTGGCTGAATACTTGTCACAGAGATGTGATACAGACATGGCTAAAAAAATACGTGTAAATAATCAAATGTTTAACCCTAGCTCATCGTATCAGAGTCTGGTGGTCTGGAGAAAACTGCATTTTTGCGTGTTCCTCGTGACACCATTTTTTGTAAATGCTATAACTTTTGAACGAATTACTTTTAAAATTGGACTATAGTTTATCCTTGTTACTCAGAGTCTGGCGTTTCGAGTTCACTATAATTGGATCTAAAGATATGCATTTGTTCAAAAGCTACAGAGCAATAAAAATCGTCGGTCTGACAGACCATGCGTGATTTTCTAAGGGTATAAATAAAAGTCTGCCGAGCTAGGGTTAATACGAAATTTAGTATTGCGTGAATAGTATACCTAGCAGTACCTAAAATTGCAGTAATAATGGAGAATGCGAATGGCTTAAGCAGTTTTCGATACCAGGACGTCGTCTGACAATAAGGAGCTTGCTGGTAGTTGCCTGCGTTGAAGCAGCAATATGAGTTTTGGTGGCTCATTGGCTCATTAAGAAGATAAACATTTTTCACACTAAATCTTAAATATTTTTAGTACAAAATTGCTTGTCAACCTCAACCGTCAAGCTGACATGATGAAGATGACAGTTGAAACTTCAGGATGCAGAAAAAAAAACAAAAAAAAGGTGAAACTTTTTTCTGGGAAAGTCAACTGTATGTTTAATTAAATAGACAAGGCCAACTTTTTCAATGCTCAACAATTAATGTTAATTTTTTTGTACCTCTCAATCAATAATTAATCTACAGCTCTTATCTTTACTATAGTATTGCGCTACATAGGGACGTTTGGTTTATCTTATCAAGTGCTTTTTCGTTAAAATTACAAGAATAACGTTGTTTTTTTCTTATGCTCAAAACTATCCAAAATTTTCTTCAGTTATATTTTCTAAGGGCAGCATGTATTCGCACGTTTATACGACTTTCAAAGTCATAATCCTTAAATTGCGACTGAGCTCTTTGTAGCAGACCTCTTCCTTCTTCAACATTCTATAAAAAAAGTAATGTTAATTGATATATTTTCAAAATTGAAAAGTATTAAAATTTAACAGATAACTTACGTATGATTTACAAAGAAGAACGGCCAGTTCGTACATTGCATGAACGGTAATATGCTCGTCGCAATTATCTCTTATGGAATTGCGTCGTCTCAAACAATTCCTAAAACATTTCATACAGCCGCTTTGTTCTCCAAGATGAGAATATATGACCCCTTCTATAAGATCTTTTAGACCCAGCATTGGTTCCTCAAGTGGTTCCTGAGACCATTCTGTAAGGATAATTGAATTATGAACATCTTCTCATCTTTTCCATGCATTATGACTTAAATATCATTACCAGTTAAAATATTTTCAAGGGCTTCTGTGGTACAGGACGGTATTGCGTTCCAGAGATAAAGTAACTCGTACACGAGTAATTTATAATAGGATATCAAATGCGGTTGGCCAGTATTTCGATCGACAAGTTTTGGAACTCTTCGACAGACGAATAAGCCAAGTTGGGTATCCATTGATGTTCTGGCTATGAGATTCGTTAATTCACGATAGATGGATAAGAGTTCATTGAAATTCCCATCGGATCCGGAACAGACTGTAAACAATTAAAAAAATTGTATTTGGCTGCATAAAGCAATTGTTTATGTAATTAATAATTAAATTTCACACCTGCTGCAAGATAGGCATAGAAGCTTTTGGACCAGCGTGACTGTTTTTGCAATTGTATCAAGGATTCTTGTGCTTCCTTATAATTCAAAGAAATAAGATGACACCAGGCGACCTCATGAAGACAGAGCATTTTTATTTCACGTTGACTAGAAACCTCGACGGCTGATCCGTACATGAGTAAGGCTGCATTCAAATTGGACTACAAGGAAATAAGATAAACATTTATTTATAATGTCAATTAAGAATTAGAATTTCAAAATTGTCAATGTACCTTGAGCCGTTCTACTCGACCCATGAAAAAGAAAAAAAGTGCGGAATTTTGAAATTCCAACCGCACCTCGTCAAGAAGTTGTTCGGCTGCTTTGACATCCGTAATTATCTTCGAACCTTCTAGCGAGAAAAATGGTCTCACAAATGTATAATACGACAGCAAGCTGAACCTTTATCGCACAAATAGAAAGAAAAAAAAAATTTAGAAAAGCAAATCAATCTAAGAACTTAACGATAAATTACAAAAATAATAAATTAACTAACGTAGCCAGTGGTGCTCTCATATCCTTGCTAAGTCTTGCATACATTAGTGCCGCAAGGGCGGCGCTGCTGTCGCCTTTGAAGCCCAAGACGTGGGTGAGTTTCAAGAACGAAGGTGGAAGTAAACTGACGCACAGTTGAAAAATTCCATATCCAAAACTGACAGCAGCCATCAATCGTGTCACCTCAGTTGATTTAACGAAACTGTAATAATTATTAACCCGTTTTCAAACCGAATAAACAAGTTAATAAAATTCATAATGATAATTTCTAGATGGTTGCGATATTGTTTTTTTGTCACTACAAGCTACGAAGTGTCAAGATATAAATATCTTCGCTCCTATATCTGCACAGTGAATTCCATCTACACTTAAAATGTACCTTAATGCGCAGAATAATTTCGAAGAAACGTAAAACCTAATGATCCATACGTGTAACGTGTCAATTTCTAATGAGAAGTGTCAACGAAATAAGAGATGTTTGTAAAAAGAAACAATTACGGTGTCTGTTGTTCAGATGTGATGCCAGTGAGCGAGAGGAACATTGATAGAGAGCTTCGCAGACCTGACGGCGAGGATGCAGCAGTACTGCTGGAAGAACCATTATAGGAAGAAATCGACCATTCCGAGGATGAGCTCAGAGGTGTGTGATTCAAGGAAGATCCATTGCAGGGGGTGCTGCGATTCGATTCGAGTTCTAAAAGAATACAGAAATAAAATTAAAAGTAAATAATCAAAAAATTTCTACATACCTATCATACAATTTTATTCTACAAACCAGAAAGAGGACCATCGCCGAATGTATGCTTATACAGCTTCAAAATTTGTGAGTAGGTATGCTGATAGACTCTCCATGCTTTACGTAGCATCCAGCCGCCTTTTACAAAACCACTGAATTCCTGTTGCAGCAATGCCAGTATAGCAGCACAAACTTGAGTATCCGCCAGTACAATTTGTTGCTCGAGTTTGGTAATAAAATCATCCTGCAGAGAAAGACAATCGTTTCTCTTCCGTCTTAAGAGACTACAGTGCTTTTAATTTTCTTACGCCAGTTTGTTCCTTCCCTAAAACTTTACTCTTCATTAATTTCAGCCAGCCAATGTTACCGGCACATTCCTTTTCCATTTCCTTCAGCAGCTGCGTCGCCTCCAGGAGTTTCTCGTCCTCGAAAGTCATAATCGCATTCTGAAAAAAAATTGTCACAAAATCATTATAACCTAACAACAACAACACAGATAATAATAAATTACCGTCGCAGGTAATACTTGCCATAAATAAGGCAAAGCATCGTCCAGCTTTTATATGAAAGCTGTGAGGACGTTCCGCGAACAGATGATCAGCTTCCTCTATCTTATCATTAAGCAATAGAGAAATTCCTCGTCTCGCGACTTGCCAGTCAGTCTCCAGAGGTTTTGATGCCATGTCTCAGACAGGTTCCTGAGCTCGAAGAGTTCAGGTCCTTAGCGTGTCAATGGTCATAAATGCGTGCATAACGAGGACTCAATCGCATATCAGACCAGATTCACGTACCAGGTTAAAATATAAGTCTGCCGTTATTGGATGGCTGGTAGTGAGCATATTTACACATGGCACCGTCGTCTTGCAATACGTTACGAGAGAAAAAGGATGCCAGTAAACAGACACTGTGCAAACGATACGACTGACTTAACAGGGACAGCGCGATCAACCCTGCGAAGAGAGTGAATACAATTTTATTTTCAATCCCCCCTTACAGTCTATTTTAGCACCGGGGGTAAAACGTGTGAGTGGTACATGCGCGATCGCGTCAGACAAAGGAGTGTGGAGTCGTCAATATGACTAAGCATTAAATATATGAAATGGAAGCACAGAACCGAGACTCGGTGACACCAAAACAATTTTTGTTCCTTTTCTGACTTTCTTCACTAAAATATTGCGTACAATGATGTACGTACCAGCTGGTGTACGGTGCGTTCATTTCTGTAGTCTTTCAGCTTTTCTACAAGGACGTCTTTTCGATAGGTGTACGTTAAAGGGAGAGTCGACTGTATATTGATTTTAGTACGTAACCATGCAATTCAAAGTGAACGTGTATCGTTAGCATACAGTGTATCACAAAAGTATTCCAACGGTGGTATATGTAATATTTAAACGAATGTAAACTGTACTACTGTAGAATCTAGCTGCTAGAATCAACTTGGGACTGAAAGCTCCCAAAACAATGGGTTACCGCAAGTCATGCTTATTGCGCATAGCGTGTATGCTAGGATCTCATTGAAATGACGACTGACATAGTGCAACTGGCATAATAGCGTGCATGGCTGAACATCCCTATCACTCGCGATAAGCACTGAACAGTGGGGGCCAGTCGGCAAGAATGAAATTTCCAAAAATAGGATTGTACTGTATGCAGTGAAACCATTAAATAACACTGAGCATGCAGTTTGATCGAATTTTATGGAAATTGGACAATAAACATCCAAGTCATAAAATATGTATTATATTATTTGCAGTTATATGTCAGTTCAGAACCGATATGAAAAAAATTTCTCGAGTAAAATTTTTTAGATTTTAAGTCGGCTGCTTGTTTGTATTGCCGGTTGCCTGTACTTGGCGCAGGAGTCGATCTGTTGGCTAACAGTTATATATATGTACATATTGGCGACGAAAAGATTTCTACTCAAGAATGTAATAGCCACTGATTTATATTACGTAACGATTTTATACCTGAGTAGAAAATTAGAACATTGTTGCTATGGAACTGTTGGTTTGTGTGTTCTGAGTTATTACAATGAGATTCCTGACAGTTTAACTAATCGAGACTCATTCCTGACATTTTAACTCCTTCGGTCTCCGACTCTCGATCAGCTGTTATATATGTATGTACGTGTCAGTACATTGCGCAGCCTACCCCGCTTGCGCATGCGCAATGTATTGTAAAATTAGGGTAGAAAAACTCGCGCATGGATAACCTACAAAGTGAACGAAAAATTATATCTGCTATAAGTTTTTTGTTGTGATAATTTGTTTTTTTTTTTCTTTACATCCTACTCACGGTTGGATCATTGAAAATAACTTGTATTTTTATATAAATGGTACAGCTAAGAAAATCTCATTTCAATTCTACGATACTAAGACACCTCTGAGCAGAGCATTTTTTAAAAAGCGGATTCAATTAATACGAACGCACTTTTAATAACGTTTTATCAATGAACAATTAATCAGAATGTATGTTGTTACCTGACTAATGATTTGTTAAAATGTGTCGGTTAAGGTATGGGAATAAATATTTGTCTTATCAACATTGCATACATTCAAATGTACTGTATTAAAGTTAAATATAACGGTGAAAATAAATATTTCTTATTCGATACTTAGACGTCTGAAAAAAAGTCAAAACGATTGAGCATCGAGGAAAGGACGATAATCCTGGAACGACTGGCCTCCGGTGAATCCGGTACCAGTCTTGCTGCAGAGTACGGTGTTACGAATGCTGCGATCTCTTTGATATAGAAGAACAAAGAAAATGTTTTAAAACAGAAAAAAGTAATCGACGATGCCCACGGGAATAGTTCACAAAAAGAAAAAATTTACTGGCGTCGAGATTAGCGAGCTTGACGAGTGTCTGTACAAGGGGTTCGTGCAAAAAAGAAGTATCGGCGACTACACGAGTGGACCAATGCTACAGAAGGCTCTTCTCTTCACCGAACTATTGAACGGTCCAGCGTCGTTTAAAGCCAGCCACGGTTTCCTTTACAGATTTAAAGCGAGACATCGCATTAAATTATTGTCAGTTCAGAAAGATAAACTGTGTTCGGATAAAGAAGCCAGTCAAACCTTTTGTCAAGAGATAGTGCAATATCTTGAAGACAAAGGATACGCAATGCGTCAAATTTACAATGCTGATGAAAGAGGACTTTTATGGAGGACATTGCTGGGTAAAAGTCGTGTGACAGAAGCAGATAATCATCCAAATCGAAATATGAGCAAAGACCGTGCGGCAGTGATGGTTTGTGCTAATGCAACTGGTACACACAAGTTGCCACTTCTTGTTGTTGGCAAATCTGAAAATCCCACATGCCCTAAAAATATAAAAGTGTTACCGGTTACATATAGAGGTGAAAAAAATGCTTGTATGACACGGGAACTCACCCTTGAGTGGTACAAAAAAGCGTTCCATCCTCAAATAGACAAGGTGCATAAGCCAACTGATGAAAAGTTTATCCTCCTTTTGGACAACGCACCAATTCATCCACCGATAAAAGAATTGAATGCTCTATGTGATAAGTGCGAGGTTAGATACCTGCCGACAACTGTCACGTCTCTACTTCAGCCTGTGGACCAAGGAATTATTGAAAAAATGAAACAAAGTTTACAAGCGGAACTTACTGCGCTTGGTACTTACCGAGAAAAGCTTGAAAGGTATGCAGAGACTTATAAAATCTTTGACAATGTTGCACTGTTGTAATTTTCTTGGCTCGGCCTGGAACGAAGTGACTGAGATGGATGTCAGGAACGGATGGAACAACCTTTTCCCGCAGGACATCTCGGCGATGAATATTGACTATGACCTGCAATCGGATGCATTCTGTGAGATGATTCGCCAGCTTCCGGGACAGGAAGAGCTAACGGTGGAAGATATGAATAAGTGGTTGAACCAAGATGACAATGAACTAGGATGGAAAATTCTGTCGGATGAGGAGATCGTATCCGGCGTAGAGCTAGATAATCATCAGCAATTTGAAGACGACGAGCTCAGTGCCAAAGAGAATGACGATGGGGCGGATATTGCACAATCACCCAGAGCTGCTCTCGGCTGCGTCGATGGTCTCATCGCATGATATCAAACGAGGTGGGAATGTACACCGGAGCATCTTCAGTTTCTCGAAAACTTACGATCACTAAGTATAGAACCAATTTTATTCGAGAAACCGTGATACCGTGTTGTATAATCATACATAGATCAATATTGCAATAGTGTTACAGAATAATATTTATGTAACTCATGCATGAAAAACGCTACTTTTCGTGCCTCCGAAGTGTAGCGAATGTGGCGCTTTATAACTATGGACACGATAAAAATGCTGCGCATGCGCAAATCGGCCCAATTTTACATTATCGCACTAGTGCTTTCTTCTCGCACTAGTGCGATAAAGTAAACTTTGTTCTCGCGCGCTGTCATGAAATGCATTCACTTTGGAAGCCTTCCTTGCTCTTCTTATGGCTGCCTCCTCCAACGAAGAGATGTTCCAGTCACTTTGGAGGCACAAAAAGTAGCGTTTTTCATGCATTCGTTACAGAAAATATTATGCGATACTGGTACAATAAAGCGAACATTATACGCAGGTCGTGAAGTTTGTCACACTCACCGCACTCGTAAAACAAGCAGCACTCGCCTTCGGCTCGTGCCGTTGTGTTACTCGTGTGCGGCTGTGCGACCAACTTCACCGCCTGCCTATAAAGTTCGCTTTCTCGCACTTGTATCGCAAAGTACAATTATTAAAGCAGAACTATTATTTAATGATAAAAGCACTGACGTTAAATTAATAAAATAAAGACTTTTTCCAGAGATGAAATTCATGTTCAGCATCCAAAAAATCTCCGTATACGAAATTTCAGTAATTTTTGATGCACTATCGGATTTCCGGTACTCTGGGCCTATTTTATGAAATTGAATCGGTAATCAAGAAGTTAAACTTAAGATTTACTTAATTGGGTTACCTGTAGCAGCAATGACAGCCTCTAGCCAATTCTCCATAGAAATATTCCAAGTTGGCAGTGATTGTTGGATCTATGATTTGTGTCATATGGCAGCAGTATTTTGTTTCAACGAATCCTTTGAATGATCAGAAGTACTGAGTGATTCGTACTGAAGATATTTTGGCATACGCAAGAATCATTTGGAGTAGTAATGTAATAAACAAAGGACAATTTGTGTACATATAAAGAGCGACAGTCGGGATAGTCAGGAATATCTGAACATAAGAGACGATAACTAGAAACACTTGAAAATACAGAACCACAAAACAAACCTGGACGTTGAGGGTGCGTTCCGATACTCACTCAACCGCTGCGAGTATGGTTCTGTCTTATTCTATTGCATGCAAGTAAACAGGGACACAACGATACCCGCAGCGCTTTCAGCAACTATCGGAACGCACCCTGAAACTGCTGATTAGAGACACTTGGATATGAGGAACGTCGGTCTGAGATTCTTGGACGTCGGAACGATGAATCGAGATATTTTTATCATAGTCGGACGGTAACACAGTTCGATTCCACGATCCGCGACAAAAAATTTCTCTCTTATTTTTTTACTCAAAGAATACTTATGACGTAAATAAATCAATTACCAACTAAAAGTAAATAAATTAGGCGAATTACACAAATATATATATATATATGTTCGAAAGATCTTGACAGCTGTCAGTTTGAAGAAAACAATTACTGAACGCGAGCGAGTGAGTGGATGAAGTTCGAAGTCTGGCTGGATAGAATTAATTTACCGGCGTATTTTATACTTTCAAACTATGAAAACAGTCTTAAACATGAATCCTCAACCAATTCACATAGCATTACTTCGTAGTAGATATTCAGTGTCCTTCATTGCTAGTTACACATACTATATGCTGCATCGTTAGTTTTATCTACTCTATTTACATTTAAAAAAAAGTTAAAACTCTGATTTCGAATTAGTTTTAACCAATTAATGAGAAATTGTATTTTTCTTACGGACAAATTTATGATTGCCTCGAATACACCAGGTGTATATACATTTCATAGAATATGCCTGTAAATTTTGTGCCAGCTTTTTAAATTAATCGTGTATATATACATACATTGTATATATATAATCTGCGAGATGAGTGTATATGGCGTTGTTCATTGGCAGGAAATTGAATGAGCATTCAAAAGTACAAATAATTTTTCAGTTTTTCGGTAACAATGTTCAAATTTTTGTTTACGTATCGGGTGAAATCCGTCCTACAAGGGAGTACACAATTTAGATCAAATACGTCTGAGACACGTACCTTAAGGTGTTAGACACATAAAAGTGTTTGGTGCGTTTAATCTAGACAGCGTGAGGTGGAGATAAATGAAGCGAGAGAATATAGTTTAAATATAATAAATGCGTTATTATATACTTTGTATTGGTCAATCCATAACAAATATCTTCATATTATCTGTATGTCTATTTACAATTTTGTACATTGATTTTTATTAGCATTCCTAGAAGGAAATGTCATATAAACTCAAGTCCTTCGAATTTCTTGTCTATTACTTTAAGTTCCGGCATTACTATTGTTCCGTCAATGCCGAACGCCATAATGTATGTAGCAGTATGTCCTTGGTTCTCTTCAGTCTTTAATGCTACAATGACTGAATCTTTTGATTTAGGTAGGAACTTGAAACTGGAGAAACCTCTGGTTGGAATTAAATTGCCGACCTTGGTGACCTAAAAAGGAACAGAGTTAATTAAATATTAATTAGATTATTAGAAACAAATAATAAGTAAGGATATATGAGTATTCAATGCGTACCTTGATATTCAAGAAATTTTCATCGGCTATTAACATAATATTGCAGCCCATAAATTCATCCTTTGTCTCGTTGTAACGGTCTTTGGAACATCTACGAGGTAGAAAAAACCAGCTTCTGTGTATGTCACTCCATGCAGCAGATTCATGAATCATGTAGCCTGTAAAAAAGAAATTTCTACCAGAAATCATTAACCATACGTTCTATTTGGATACCATGAGTTTCTCGTGCAACATACTATATTTTGTGTTATAGAATAGATAAAGTTTAGTTTTCTTTATTCAAAGCAGAGATTATTCTTTGTGCAATCAATATATACTCTCTAAGTACCTGGAAATTCAATATCATATGCTTGCCGAAGACGGTTGTAGTTAGATACCCAATTTAAAGAATGTTTTTCTCCTAGAACAGATACAGTCTTAACCCATTGCGGATTATTATTTACAAATTCTCCAGCCGCTGTAGTCCATTCTTTTCCCATGCTACCAACATAGAGCTGTTCATCCTTTACCGTTGCCCATTCTGATTTAAAACCTGCAATGTAGAAACTGTTTTCTTCTAGAACTTTAAAAGTCCCAATTAATATCATACCTTTAGAATCCTTTCCATTGCCATCCATGAGAATAACCCAAGGATAAGCTTGATCACCTTCTATGTAATATATCATTCCAGTACGATCATCAAAAGTCACGAGTTTTCCATCAAAAGTAACTAATTCTGATAATTCCATGCCACGACCTTTCATAGCAAATGATGATGACAGTACGGACATGTCATTGTCCCAAGAAACCGACATAACATTTTTATTGGGAAACCACATGAGATGGCCCTTCTTCAAGTAACTCAGCCAAGTGTCTTTCTTGTCAACACTTTTAGATGCATGATCCAAATCACTGATAATTGCTATTTTATATGAAATACCGATGGAAGTCTTGGTTGGTGCCGTCAACGGATATGTCTTGTTATATTTATAATAACGACAAGGTGGTAAGGATGATTTAGCAAAATGAGATTGTACAGCATTGTTCATCGAGGGATAAGTATAAAACAATGTAATAACGAGCACAATAAAGACAAAAAATACAAGATACAGACTCTGTATACGAAAAGCACTATTGCCAACGCGATACACGTGTGGGGTCCGAAGGGCCTGTCGCCAATCCCGTACAGAAACCATCCTCTCTGACGACGTCTCGTTTACCTGGCTTTGTGTCATGTATACATTTAAAATCAACAGATTATCACTTTGTCGCACAGCACCACATATGTATTTCTTAAGTCAAGGAGGTCTGTAACCTTACTTTAGTCGGAGCAGCAAGGTAACCATACATTTCGCAACGAGCAAGTTCCGAAATTCACCACCAGTATAACAAAATCACATTGTGTCCCTGTTTATGTGCATGAAGTAGAGTAAGACACAGCCATGCTCGCAGTCTGCTAGTGAATTCCGGAATGTACCGCGTATTGTTGTGCCACGTTTAAAGAAGATATCCTGGATGCATGCCGCAATAGGAGTCGTGATACAGGCGCCAGCGCAATGTTCATACTTTTATAAAAGGTATTCTTCTTAAATTCATCCCAAATTTCCTACATACACCTTTTATTAGTTAGAATTTCTAGAATCAATCTATTATTTTAGTTGATTTACCGATTACGTTTTACAGTGCCACCATTGCAAGTAATCACATTTTTGCATTTCTTGGTCGCCTTTTTTTCATGCTGCAATAAAACGTTGATTATCCGAACTAATGAGGGGACATAGATGCGCGAAAAAACATTGCCAATGAAAAACTTTTCTACGGGACGAATCTCTGCCATATTTATATGGGCCAAAGTATGAAATCAACACTTTACAAGCTGTTCGTATAACCTATCGTTCGTATAATCGACGTTCTACTTTATGTACAGCCGTGAGCAGAAACGGTCCTTTAAAATATTATTGTAAGTTAATGCCATTACACTATAATAAGAACGCATCCCAGAAAGATTACTCAGAAAACTAGACTCCTAATTCGTAAAAAAACGTTTAATTTAGAAGTTTCAGCAGGAAAGTATTACGGATCGTTAATGCCGTAAATGCTTGAGGGATAACAGTATACTATTTTTCAGCAATGCATCAGAAACGTGTTGTTTACATGTTGCTCGACAATTCACGCTTAAAGGTTGCATGCTATACTTGTATGACGCAACAGCACTCTTCATAAGTTTGTAGACATATATATGTATACAGCAAATTGCAAAACTTGATGCTGTCATAGTTTTTCTCCGATTACACTTTGCTCTCTGGGTATAATTCCAAGTCCTTATCAACCTCTAATTGACAATAAGAAAGTTTATACCTCTACAGTAAATGGTTCTAACTTGGATGTACCAGATAGTATATGGTGCATATAGGTAAGTTAATTTCTGACTAGTGAAACAAATAGAACAGGAGAGAATGCCAAAGAGTAGGCAGTCTTACTATTGACTGGCTTCCCAGACGCAGTAGACGTACTCGCCCCATCACCTTGGTTTACCCTAGTTCGTCTGGCCACGTCTGCCCTGTACTGTCCTGCTCTGCTTTCGGCTCTATGGTGGAGTGCGGCGTCGCACTACTATATATTACAGAGTGACTCACTGCTCCTCACGAATGGCTACGGATTCTCACAATCACACACAAGGAACTCGTCGTCGACCCGCTCTTCCTGGCGCTCGACCCCTGCAAGGGGGTTCGTTCAAAAGTTATCTGGCGAGATAACAGTATTGAAACGCAGCTCGTGTTCTATTTGGAGTAAAAGTTTGTAATGCCTTTAATGACTTAGATATCAGTCGAATACATTTATATACCCTGTGCTTAAAAAATTGTCAAATAATACAACATTGTGTTTAAAGAAAACTGGGACACTTTTTCATACAGACAAAGCAGGTTACTAAAAATAGACACGTAGCAAGGGGATAAAATAAATCACGAATGCAAATTCCAAGGTGATTTGATGGCGTTCGGATTTTCAAGTCTACCAACGGTAACTTTGTTATATTTTTCTATAAAATAACATATACCTGCGAGTAAATCAAATACATAAATATAAAGGCACGATTCGACTGTCTCTACTACGTTAGGTTTGATTTCACTTAACTCTAGTAAGCTTGACTGGTTTCCATAGGGGTTCGCGTGGCTTGGCGATCGAAATGCGGCCAGATGATCCGGTCGAGATAATTTCCGGCATGCAAGTATAGCAAAGTCGAGTATCTGCTGCTAGGGGTGAACGAGCTTGGGGTTGTCGGCGTGGGGGCGGATGAGGCCGACGGAGTCGACGAGGGCGGCAAACCCTTCGTCAGTTGCGTGACGCCTGCCGGCTACGTCGCGCATATCGCGATCGCGACTTTAGGCTTAATGTCATCCACGTGCTTTTGCAAGCTCGCGACGCGTTACCGCAGTTGCGCCCTGGCGCCTTCGCATGCCTCCTTTGAACTAATTTCCTAACTATTGTCAAACAGTATTCAAGTTGAGAGTAAAATTACCCCGAGAAAAATAATGTCAGTGCATCGCAGAACCAGGAATAATTTCTGTACGAGGTGAAACTCCTACAAACAGGATACAACGCGTTCTGGATCTACTGGAGTTTCACAAAATGACAAGGACTGCAGTGCGCTGTCATTGGCTTCAACGGTCTAACATGAAGGTTCTATACTCTCTTGTAAGTAGCTTTATGGTAATACCTGATACATAAAAATATTAAATACTCAGCATGCAAGTAAATAAATATTTTACAGTCCAACTCAGCGCTATGAGGGATATCGAGCGGTCTGCAGGTTCGAGTTAAATAATAACAGCCAGGCTTTTTAATATATAAACAGGAACGAGAATGACGCACCTGTTCAGGGTATAAAGGGGCCAGTGAGCTGAGGTTGCTATAGGGGTAGTCAGGTTAGACTAGGGTTACCGACCTACTCGTACGCTGATCGCATCTTACACAGATGTTATGTTAGAATCAGCCTGAGTCTAAGTCCCACGGACTCTCGGAAGGGGTTTCACGAGACAAGGGGTGAGTTTGGCTGTACGAGAAGCATGCTCGGGGGATGACAGGACGGCGATGGAGGTGCGGTAGGAAGGTGGGAAGCGCGCGGGTGGATGCATCCCGCACAATGCGTACTGGGTTGCCCGTGGGGGAGTCCCAAACCGAAACTCATCGCCATCGCCATGGTAACCACAACGATGTGTAGGTACGACGCCGCGGCGCTTGCTGCATCGAGAAACCTACTTTCAAGGACGCCTCTACGGCAGCACGCTCCCCTTGGCAGAACTAGGTATATCTTCGGGGGGGAGATCGATTTTCTTTAGGTTTAACTAAAATAAAGAAGCCGGTTGCGTGACGTTCTATGTAACTTTGATTGCATAAATTAGCATATATCCTTGTAAAATTAACTGTGGCAGAAGTACTGCTTCCTTATCGGTCGATAACAGGCTCCACGTGTTTCAGGAGGATCAGCCCGACGACGAGTTTCCTACGATGACGCTGTCCAGGTTCTCGTAATGCTGTTAGCCAGCGGAGCGTCGATACCGACGATCGCCGGTGCTGTGGAAGAGGAGTACGCTCAGAGCGAAGCGAACAGCGGCCATTGCGATGGTTACGTCACCGATCATACCGATCTCGCATCGGAGATCGACATCGACGAGTCTGAATATCGTCGCGAGCTTCTGAACGATGTGAGTATATTTTATATGCATGTGATAAATTTTCAATTCAAAAGAAAGATGATCAATGTATTCTAAATGGTAAAGTGTTCCTTCTTCTTTCAGAGATGGCGCATGCTCTTCGACAAGGTATGCTTCTGAGAGAAATTTTAAGAGGAAATTTTCCTCTCTCTTTTCTTTCTCCCATTCAAGGATGAAGCTCACGCGACTTCAATTGAGCTTTCAGTACGATCCCGAGGGTTTCGGCGAGATTCCTCTCGAGGACTTCCTCGTCGCTCTTCAGAGTACCGAGTGGAAAACGGAAATTCCGGCGAACAAGCGAGACATCCTATTGGCGAGGGTGAAGGAATCCCGGCTTCAGGCTATCACGTTCCAGGACTTTGTCAACGTGGTGAGTGCTATTAAACATCTATCGGGTGTGCACTGTGGTAGTACATAATTACGAACCTTTAGGTGCATACTATACGTTATTGGACCTGTAACAATACAGCAGTCCGTAATAGTGTGTAATAAAGAGTGACATTGATGGTTGGACGATAACGAGCGCCTGAAGCTATACAACCGGCCGTGCGCCGGAGGTATGGCAGGTTGCCTGTCGTCAGGCGTTTCAAAGTTCGACGCGCATGCGCTGTAGTTATTCGCTAGGAGCAATATTTTTTCTTCTACGTCACAATCTTGGGGAGTATTGCATTACCGCTCGTGCAAACTTGGTAAAAGATATGTTGTAATTAATTAATAAAGTATAAAGTTATGCGAAACTTATCCACCAGAGGCGCAGACTTCGTGTAGCCTGTTGAAGGGTGTCTGACGCGCTCTTGACGTCAGCACAATGAAACAATGCTGAGTAACCGGGATCAACGGGTTCCTGGGCAAAGTCGGGATGTGAGAATGTGCTCCAGCTCGAGCATCGTCGAAAAGTTTAAACAGGGTCCTGGGGGAGAATAGACATGAGATCTGGAACGAGTTTGAGATGAAGTAGATCAAGATTGTTGGAGCATAACAAAGGGGGCCCTGAAATTCATTGTTTTAAAGTTTGCACCGGTGGCTCTATTGGTTTCGGGCAAATTGTGTGTACCCACGTCGCTTACTAGTGGCTCGCGAGGATCCTCAAATGATTCTGAATGGGTAAGGAGGCCGGGAGGAATCCGGGAGTCCGTGATGGCTGGCAAGAGAATCGCAGCAGAAGGGCTTACCACGCTTAAATAGATTTATTCTGCTGGATGGTCCGCCTCATTGTCCTCTTATTTGTCAAACTCTGAAAAATCTTGAGAAAGAATTCATTGGACAATGGCGCGCGCCGCTGAAAACTTCCAGATAAATATCGGCACAATGATAATCCGTCTCGTTCTCGAGCGGCGGACGCTGGACGGACCTTTTGTTCGGCTTTACATTCGCGTTGACAAGTTTTGAGGATTTTCCGTCTTTCTTCTCTTCCTCCTCGTTTTCGAAAGGCGCTGGAAGAGTTTGAGACCCTTTCAGCGTGCGGGGAAAGACGGTCATGTCATATTGACTGACGTTGAGTGCTTGGAAAATTGTGTGAACGAACGAGGGGATCAAATCATTTTTTTTATCGATAAATTTTCTTTAAATCTCAATAACTCCCGAGTCCAGAATCTCATCCAGTCCAGAGTCATATCTCTTTTTAAATGTTTCTTGACTGTTTATATACAGCCATCCTACGGTATTTCGTTCGAGCGGATTTCCGGCACAAGTACAACGAACTTCTCCGAATCTGCCTGGCGTTTAGGAATTAATGCAAAACCGGTTGCCGGGCGCAACGGCATCGTAGGCATCGTAGGCATCGTAGGCATTCCGCTTTCCGTGATGAATGCGCCGCCGGGATTCTTCGAAAGGGAAGGTGCGGGACACCTACCGCAGCCGCAGACACGGTAAAGCTGTTCTCATCGACGGTTTCGCCGCGACGAAGGCAGCCCGAACGATCTTTGATTTACGAGGGCAAACAAGGTGGTCCCTCTGTGTCTTGTTCCTTCGACTTCCTTTCTCTTTCTATAGTTTATGCATTTAGAAATTGGCAGACCTCGGCTACCGGGCCTTTCACTAACGATTATCCCCGCTGGCTCCAATCCAGATGCATTCCGGGACATTTCTTTGTACTTTCATACACGCAAGCTCTTCTGTATTTTGAGATCCGATTGAACGATGATCGTATACCAAAATCATTGCGGAGAATTACAGAAGTAAGCATGGGGCCCAGTGTGAGTTCCGAAGGGCCCTTAACGTCAGCAGGAAAAAAAATGCCCATTGGAATTGGCATTGTGCTCAAATTAGGGGCTGCTGTTCAGTGAGGTTCGAGAGCCCTAGGAGGACCTACCGATATATTAGTGTATTACGTATCTCCCTCGTTCTGACCTTTTTCACGTTATTCCGTCCGACGTTTCTCAATGACGCCGATGACGATTCAGGAAGGCACTCGGGCGCACCGTTCTGAGCTTGCACTTGGAATCGGCGAAAGCGGCATAAATGGTCAAAGAAATTTCGAGCCTTTCGATCTCCAAATACTAAATGCGATTTTAGAGCGACGATTTCAGATCTATGTACTATTCACCCCATGCTCGCTTCAGATGTATACTTGAATAGGTAAACAGTGTATTTCGATTAAGCGCGCTTCATTTGAACTGCCTGGTCTCTTGTGCCCGATCCACAGCCAAGCCTAATCTTTCGTGAAAGCAGCTAATCTCGAAAATAGAGTGGAAAGTCTCTTTGGCGATTTTTCCCAATTTTTCACTTATCTGGTATTCTTGCTAGGGACAAATTTTATATGCACCATACAATATTATTGTGCGGCGGAACAATTTTGGTTTTCACCACGTGACCCCGTAGAGGGTGCGATGAGAAAATGAAAAAATTTTCATGAAGCCTGCCAGTCCGAAGGGGTAGTTCAGGTCTGAGGATTTTGGTCGTTACCGATTGTCAACAGTCATTCATTCCCTTCCATTCATCGTGGCTTTGAGTTATCATTGGCATCTGCTTATCTGGTTTACCTGCCTAGTGGAGAATTTCGAAAGATTAACGTCGTTTAGGGATTTAACATTCCTTTGTGAATCCTTTCATTTTTTTTCTTTTTTTTTCGGGAAAAAGGAGGCTGTTCGAGCTCTGTACTTTTGTGTACAAACATATAATATTCCAGGGTCAAAGGGAAAAAAAAGTGTTATTTCATCCTTAATCTTTTTCTTTGGATCCGGTCCAATCGCGATGATCCGATGAACAGTGTGACTGGAAGACCTTGTCGATTCTCAGACGAGGCGTCGCGTACACAGGCAACGTCTTTATCGCCAGCGTCGAATCGAGCAGCCAGAAGAAGCGGCGCGTCGCTAATTCTCTGTTAATTTAGAACGCAGTGGGCGGTCTGCCGTGAGCTCTAGCCTGCAGTGGATCCTGGGGACGGTGAGGAATGTCCTCCTGCAGGGTGCGATATGGGTTTACCTTTCGTGGAGTCGTTGGAGGAAGCGACGACGGTCATGTAGGAGTGACAATCTAGGAACTTAATACAGTACAGTTATCGTCATGTGAAGATTTCTAATAAACCCATAAATCTTGTAGGATCCTGGCGGGTGGAGAAGAGCGGTTACAGGGAGCAGTCTGGTTTCATCATTAGTTCCTGGGCACCAGTTGCCGGATGACTTGGTGATGTCGGCAGTAGGTCTGTCATTGAGAAAAAAAAAAGGTACCGCGCTAATCTCATACCCAGAGAGTCTCTTACCTTGAGTTCATCCCTGCCAGCTCATCCTCGACGGCCTGACTTGGTCCGCTCCACCTCCCCGCCGCTTGGAGGATACTCCACCGCAAAGCGGCGTCTATCAAGGAAGACAAGGAGTCCTCAATTTTTCCGATGGACAGCGCGGTCGATCGGTGCCGACCTTGTCGGAGTGGAGGTAGTGATTAGCAATTAGCAACGTAGGGGTAGGTAATGTTTGCACAGAGCTGACCCGATGATTAGAGGGCCGCTTAGCAAGTTAAACACTGTGGTATACGCCCAGCTTACGATCCCCAGGTCCTATCTAGGCACCACTCGAGTGCCACCGACATAGCCGTGCCCATCATCGCCATCTATTGGATACCGCTCGCACTCGCGGTGGTCCCAGGAACCTCTGAGTCTTCTCTCTCGTTCTTCTTGACTCCTCATGGAGTCTTTCTCTTACTGGTAATTTCTTCCCGAGGGACTCCCTTGGATATCAATTATGTCCCTGGTGCCGCTCTGTGATGAGACCAGCCGCTGTCTCACCTCACACCGCTGGGACTCACCTCGTTATCCCTTGCCCAGGGCATCCCGACGCTCTTTTTATTCTACCTTTACTGTTTTTGGTATTTATCATTGGTTCTATTTTCTTCTTCCTTTTTTTTTTCTAAATAGGTTCCCTCTTTCGGAAGTTTTTCTCGAGGAATCGTCCACTGCCTTTTGACGCCGTTCGCCCGTTCAGACCTTCTTCTTGTCGGACGTCCCGGGACTGTGCGTCGCGGCGGCCTGTGTGATTCATAATATTACATTCATCGGCTCGAATAATATAAACAGACTCATGGGAACAAGCCGCCAGGCGTCAGAGTGGCGGACAGCTATGGCCTAACAGGATCTCCCTCACATATTCACGCGGCTCTCTTCAGTTCATCAATTTCCATACCTGACCCACGACCTTCTTCCTTCTCCTCCTTCGTACTCTTTCACTCTTGTGTCCTCCACTTTCCTTATTCCTTTCTTCGGCTTTCTCAAAGATCCTGGCGTTACCCGAGTACCCATCAATAATTTTTATACACGATCGCGCGCCCACCGATCCTTCAGAAATGTAGAGCCTTATCGGCACGCCGATAGAGATAAGGAATGCGAAGACAGTCCTTCGGCAGGGACGTTACAGAGACGTCGAGGTTAACGAAGTGTCCTTAGAAATATAAATGCTCAAGAGTACGTCGCTTCGTCAGTGGGTAATTTTACTTGATGCTCATTTATCTATTCATTGGTCGACCTAGATGGCGCTGAGCGACGTTTCTTCCGTCTATCCTATCTCTTCTTATTTTCTCCTGGTTTTTCGTTTTCAAACCCCCATATTTGTCACTCTAAACTCTTTATAGCCTGGTATAGCTCGGGTTTGCGCCAATAGTCCTAAGTGACTTAAGGCCCCCGTGTCACGTCGACAGGACACGGCCTCCCTATTAGTGACCGGTGACTTGGATCAGTCGAATGACTCCTCGCCTCCTGGCACAACTCCTGCTAAAAGCATTCTTAAATACGCGTCCTTATCTATGTAGATCGATGAGCTCTGATTGATAGCTCGTGCATACCTTCGACGGTTCCTTTGTCAACATTTTTTCTTTTTTATTTACAGACCCAGACCAACCCTCACTCTGTGCCCGCTATCTGCTCCTGTGACAAGAGCATTC